AACCCTCCGAACCCCCACCCCCGGCTACGGGCCTGCGTGTTTAGTGGCGTGTGTCTACCGCGTACCGAAATTTCACCCTGTAGGCGGCGCGACAAGCCTTTGTATTATCTGAACCATTAATTATGTTGTATACGGTATCTGGAAAAACACTATCTATAACAATGTCTGTAACACTGTCTACAAACCTGTTTATTTGTAAATAAAGAACATGGAATTGGGGGTAGGACAACCTTTTTGATCAGTGTTCTTTTTTTGCACCTACATGTAGTATCGTCTTTGAAGATCTGATAGTGCTCAATTTTTGTATGGTCTATTTTTGAGATCGACGCGGAGTATATGTTACTTTGGAAAGCTAGTGTTAGGAGCTAAAATTGCGTTTTCTTTTATCAGATAATTTAAATAAGGACTTAGTTTTAAGATCTATAAAGCTCCCCCCTGTAAGAAGTTACAATGTACCACAAATTCCACTAAATAAATTTTATTTGAAATGGTATAATCACTTTTAATGATAGTAAACTGTCTTTAAAGTCAAACACCCTGTAGATTTCACCGCAAGCAGCACGTTGAAAGAGGTAGAAGTGACTGCCAAAATAAAAAAAATACTGTTTAGAACAATTTAAACAGTGAGGTGATTATTTGTAAATAAAGCACATGGAATTGGGGGTGGGACAACCTTTTTGGCCAATGTTGTATTTTTATGTCTAATAAGGATCACTTGCACCAATAGTTAGAATAATGGGGGAGTTATGTATTAGCGTTGTTCACAAAGAGTAGGCAAGTAGGTCTATTCATAATTATTTCACCGTCCAAAGAGAGGTGAAGGTGACTAAGGTGGTTCATTGTCTCCATAATCGAATATTCTGGCTCTTCAGTCTAGCTTGACAGAAAACTGTTAGCTCACATGGTAACTGAACTCACTGTAAAATGTACCAATCTCAGTATTAACATAAGAAATGGATTCTACAATCCCTAAAACATAAGAAAAGACATATGACACACTACAGTACCTGAAGTTGTTGTTTTGGCTGCCATTTTGAAAATTGACATTTTACCTACCTAAATAATTTTTGTAGAAAAATGATTGTCATATTTGTATTAAGCATAAAATTTCGCCTCGAAAAACAGCTGTTATGGAAAAAATTTTAGATGTACCCTACCTTAATATTGTCATCTTTGTCAACTTTCACAGAGAGTTCGATGAGCTTATTCGGAAGGGATTTGTCATCCTCGTTGTGTCTCGTTCCCTTATACCGTGTGAGAAGAGACAATTAACTGCTTCGTGCTGTCAGTCTCGAAGTTTACTTCAATCTGCTTTCTGGGGCTCTCTTAGTTTGCTTGATTGCACTACCAGTCACTGCTTAAAGGGATAATTACTCTTCGTATCAGATCTATATTTCACAATAAAAACATTGTGAATAACTCTAGAAATATAATATATTTTGTTTTACCACAAAAACGGCAGTTATAGCTATTATTCTGATATCTGAGCTTAATTGTCTTTAGACCACGTGACCTCCATTGATGGCTATACTCTGTTAAAATCTCTTAAGTATGGGAAAATTGTTGTTTACTCCAGGAAAATTCATTTTTTGGCCAAAACGAAGAGTTATTATCCCTTTAATCTTTACTCTCCGAATTTTTTCAGGGTGTTGATCTTTCTCACCTTAGGGTGATTGAACACCTTTATTGTTTTAAAAATTGATAAATTGTCGGTAGTTATGACTTTTCATGTTGGCCTTATTAAAATCACCAAGAACAATGATTAGCAAGTAAGGATCAGAGGTAAGGCAATTTAAGCTTTAATATTATTGTGCCCATATGTAATTAGGCTCACTTGCTCCAAAAGTTAGAATACAAGTGTATTTACATTGCCCAGAAAGAGTAGATAGGTATTCATAATTATTTCAACGTCCGAATAAAGGGTATTTTGCTTTCATATATATTATTTAGGTGACAGATTTTCGAGAACTATGAGGACTTCTAAGATAGTCCTGTCAACCCTTTTGATTGGTTCTGTGTGGCAGATTCTATGGATAAATCAATGTACGAGTAAGTCTTCTTTACTGAACTTCATCGCTGTCAAAGAAGCCAGTCAACAAAACCCGATAAGATCGCCTCCTAGGATTGGCACCGAGTATGATGACTTGCCAGAGTCCGTAGAGTTCACATTGGAGCTTAGGTACGCTGTTGTGCGACCGAGGAATAACAGTCTGACAACTGGGAAGCGATTTGTGTATCTCATTGAAGGTCCAACGAAGGGCGTCATCGAAGGCTTGGAAGAAACAAAGAAACGCGACATCATTTGGATGACGTTTGCAGATAGGTCGGGAGAAATATACGCCCCGAATACGTCCGCTGGTTCCGGTAGAAGTGCGCTTCTTCAGCACGCGGTGAATTTAGCGGCCCAAATGAAAGACGGTGGTTATCTCTACTATATATTCATGGACGACGACTTGGAGCTATCGCTCCGATCAGATGGACAGGTCAATTGGAAACCTTGGCCCAATATGGCTGCAAATCCTTTTCAGCGGTTCGAGGGGTTTCTTATGTATTACCAACCTGCTGTGGGTTACGTGCGTTACCAAGACATGGTTAGACAATTTGTCAATNTTTAATAAACGCTGCACATTAGCCAAGATGATACTAGGTACTGCTAATCGCTGGTTTCTTTTCCTGGATCTCACCAGATGACCTCCTCTTTTACCCCTCTTCCTTCTTGTCTTAGTGTCATGACTGCTGTCATTCTGAGTGGAAACAATGCGCTGTATGGAAGGCTCTGTGTTTAGTCCCGTTACAGTGGATTTTGAGGCACGATTGGCAGTTAGGCAATGACTTTTCATGTTGGCCTTATTAAAATCACCAAGAACAATGATTAGCAAGTAAGGATCAGAGGTAAGGCAATTTAAGCTTTAATATTATTGTGCCCATATGTAATTAGGCTCACTTGCTCCAAAAGTTAGAATACAAGTGTATTTACATTGCCCAGAAAGAGTAGACAGGTATTCATAATTATTTCAACGTCCGAATAAAGGGTATTTTGCTTTCATATATATTATTTAGGTGACAGATTTTCGAGAACTATGAGGACTTCTAAGATAGTCAAATACGTGGCCCTGTCAACCCTTTTGATTGGTTCTGTGTGGCAGATTCTATGGATAAATCAATGTACGAGTAAGTCTTCTTTACTGAACTTCATCGCTGTCAAAGAAGCCAGTCAACAAAACCCGATAAGATCGCCTCCTAGAATTGGCACCGAGTACGATGACTTGCCAGAGTCCGTAGAGTTCACATTGGAGCTTAGGTACGCAGTTGTCCGACCGAGGAATAACAGTCTGACAACTGGGAAGCGTTTTGTGTATCTCATTGAAGGTCCAACGAAAGGCGTCATCGAAGGCTTGGAAGAAACAAAGAAACGCGACGTCATTTGGATGACGTTTGCAGATAGGTCGGGAGAAATATACGCCCCGAATACGTCCGCTGGTTCCGGTAGAAGTGCTCTTCTTCAGCACGCGGTGAATTTAGCGGCCCAAATGAAAGACGGTGGTTATCTCTACTATATATTCATGGACGACGACTTGAAGCTATCACTTCGTTCTGATGGACAGGTCAATTGGAAACCTTGGCCCAATATGGCTGCAAATCCCTTTCAGCGGTTCGAGGAGTTTCTTATGTATTACCAACCTGCTGTGGGTTACGTGCGTTACCGAGACATGGTTAGACAATTTGTCAATAAAAACCAACCCGTAAACTTGAACTGGGATTTTGATGAGTGTTTCAACGCTTTCCACAGAGATACCCTGTCGTTTCTCATACCGTATGATATGCACCTAGACTATGAATCGTGGTTTCATGGTGCCTGGATGACTCGTCAGTTGATCTCGATGTTGTATCATGGTTATTGCATTCAGTGCAACTCACTCCACGTCACAAATCGTGTATCACACAAAACTGTTTCGCGTTCGACTGGAAAATACAAGGCTCATTTTAATTACGAAATGCCGCGGAACTACATTTTGTCAGCTTTTCTGGTGGAAATAAAAGCCACCCCAGCCAAAACCAACCCGTTAATCAAGGCTGTTTTGAAAGGAACATCTTCGCGCCAAAGATCAGGTACTCTACAGCCGCGTCCAAAGGTCAAAATTCCAGGGGAACCAAAACGAAAAGGTGACCATTCGTACCTTGTGACGCCGGATTTCATCCTTAAATATTGGGACCATACCCATCCCATGATTCAAAAGAAATTAACTTGGTTGCAGAAACCCGAAATACGCAAAATCCTCGGGTTAGATAGCCGTCGTCTGCAAACTTTCAAACCAAGCACTTTGTACTGTGTCGCACCAAATGAATTCTCGCTGTTTATTGGACAATGACACTGTTTAATATCTTGATTTTCTAACGCATTTCAGCATTGGTTTTCTTTAAAAATATTTAGTTGATCGATATAAATGCATATTTAACGAAATTTATTAATCCGAAAAAAAGATCAACACTGTTTTCTAATTAATCCTCTCTTGACTGTGTATACTGTATGCACATACTCCGATCACTCGAGCGTCATCAGAGCTGTGCTGCTTTCTTGTTACTGCATTTTTTTTTTTTGTTCACTTTTCAGTAATTTTGGCCTTGTATTTACGAAAGAAGTTTAAGGCTCAAAGTTTGTATATTGATGTATTATGATAAAGCTAGTCTGAATACAAGTTGTGTGCACGTGTCAGCTATAGCTCTCTCTAGATCTACTTTAAATGATAAAATTATATGCAGATATTGTGGGTAGTGCAATATTAAGGTAATGTGTGTGCGGGCATACACCTTAATTTAATATTAAACCATAAGGGTGTGCTAAGTGATAAGAAACCTTTTAGACGGGGTTCCCATACCTAGATCGATCTAACAGGATCGATCCTTCTCCAAGGGGTTTCTCGCTAAATTGCTTTCAGCATAAGCCGCTTAGATGTCTGGCACGCCTACTGAAGCTGACAAACGATAATTAATTACCCCTAGCAGCTTCAGTAGGCGTGACAGACATCTAAGCCGCTTAAGTTGATTGCAATTTAGCGAGAATCCCCTAAGAGATAGACTGATCCACAGTTAATACGATAGTGCCTGGGAATGGTACCATAGTTTGGGTATGCAATGTAAATATGAAATCGTGTTTGGTTTTGAATGACGTGTATACTGTTATACATAACCGCATGTCAGCTCAGCTCAATTCAGTAAATGGCTATTAAATAAAACAGGACTAATATGCCTCCAAACACCAAGGTCTTGAAGCCTGTCCCTATGGTATTTGAAGCGGACGTTGGCCGAAGTACCTTGGAGGCGAACTGNAAGAGATAGATTGATTCACAGTTAATACGATAGTGCCTGGGAATGGTACCATAGTTTGGGTATGCAATATAAATATGAAATCGTATTTGGTTTTGAATGACGTGTATACTGTTATACATAACCGCGTGTCAGGTCAGCTCAATTCAGTAAATGGCTATTAAATAAAACAGGACTAATATGCCTCCAAACACCAAGGTCTTGAAGCCTGTCCCTATGGTATTTGAAGCGGACGTTGGCCGAAGCACCTTGGAGGCGAACTGACATTCTGTTGATTCGATGTCATCCAAACACAAAATGTGCCTCAGTGCGCTGGAAATTAAATAAATGTATTTTTTAAATTATAGTAAGGAGCTAAAAGATTGCATTGACTTTCGTTTAATATTAAAAATAATTAAATAATGACCTGTTTAAGACCTGCAAAGCGTTTCTTTTTCTTCATTGTTTTAATCAGCTCTCTTTACCTTGGGTCATCGGTGCAGTCATATTCGAAACCAAGTTCTTCTAAACGTTTTTTAAGGAGAGGAATGCTTCCATTGTTACACGTTTCCCTGAAATATATTAATGGCTTAATACATTTTACGTTTTCGATGAGCAGAGTATGTGTAACACAAAAAGGAAAAACATATTAATGCCTGCTTTGTTTAGTTTTTGAAAAAGTTATTTATGAAAATTTGAGTAATGGTATAACAATACGTACTTGTGCGTTTTCCCAACATCATGGAATACCATGAGCTGAAATCGCGTGACTTTCGCCTTCGGAAAGTTTGGAAGTTCAAAAAGGTTGAAATAGCTGTAAAATAGAGTACTGGGGTCATTTCATGTTTCATGATGCCTTCTGATCATGTTGATAAGTGTCTTTCAGCTTCAGTGGAAAGCTTTGGTAAACCTTGGATATCTTTTAAATGCATGTATTATTGAAATAAACAGATGCTTGTAATTATTACCATCCAACGTCTTTTCTAAGAAAAGAATACTAAAAGATGTATTTACTGTAGTATTTTTTTAATGTGTGTTTTGAATCCATGTTATTACACGTGTACCAGTTACATAAATTGTTCGTAGTACCTTGTTTCGTTGAAGGCCACATTGGTTCCTGCAGTTGTTCCATTGAGGATCATTTGAATTACCCCAGTGCTTACCTCTGCAAACTAAAATACGGTAAAATATGCAAATTATCCCCATAAACATAATGATATGATCTTATTTCAGTGTTCCCAACTGTCTAAAAGTGGGGATATTTTAAAGTATGATAAAGTTCAATGAAAAAATATTCGTAGAATAGGCCTATCATAAAGAGAAATCTATGTTTAGATGGTCCACACTGAAAAATGATAGGTCAAAATAGTCGATACTTCTGTTGGGAGCAACTTTTTCATTAAATGGTTTCTGGTCAGAATTAATCACATTGTAAGCTCAGAATAAAAATTAACTCTGGAACCGAAGTTTAAGGTAGGCCTATGTTTGTTGGTACTCATTCATCTTTTTACCTATCAAAACATCGATAAAGAAAGAATCTGTTATCGACAACAATATAAAACGTATTTTTAAACTACATTTTCTTTAATTAAATTCCGCAAAAATGAGAGATTAAAAGAAAAGACCTGTTTTTCTGTAGCTGAAACCAAAACCTCTCACCGCTTTCGACACGGCTGTCCAGTACATTCCGCCATATTGGCCCTGAAACATGGGACAGTCCTCTTCCAGCGGACAGCTGTCAAAGTTGATGCCTGGCTCCGCCTCCTGACCACACCAGGCGAACACGTGATTACCCAGGTAGCCAGTCAGGATGTCAGCAGAGGCCACGTATCGACGCCGGCTGCCGCTATAGTCGTGTGTTAGGGTGTATGCCGCCTCCCAAAATACCGCCTACAGAGAAGAACCAAGTTTGATACGAAAATAAAGTGTTAAGATACTGTTAATGACCTTTCGCGTTATGATTGTTTATAAACAAAACAGTTGAAAGTGCAGTTCGTTTATTGTGATAAGAAGGCAATGAAGTGCTGAAGAGTATATGTTTTTCGCAATGACTTTTTGTAAGAACCTCTTCAGGGTCAGTGGTTGTTTTAACAAACACTTAATACGTACCTTATTTGTAGGGACCTCCCCAGGAACAGTGGCTGCTTTAACAAACGGTTCGTAGTCCGCCATTGTGACGTTACACGGGTCTTTGTACATCCAAGCACGGGAAAATTTCTCCCAAAGATCTGTGCAGTTCTGCTGACTATGATTAGAAAATATTACTCTTCACCTGTGAGTTTTTGGCGAAAGTAATTCAGCTAATTAAAAACTGATTTTGTTCATTTTTTTATTGATGGAAAAAGGGTATTCGACATTGTTGTTTAGGAGTGCATTAAGAACTGATGATCCGCGGACAAACTCATTCGCCGACTAAATATGGCTGACCCCACTAAAAACCAATTCTGGTAGTTTCTTGATGGCTTCCGCCCCGTTAAACGGATTAAATATGGCTCCGAGGCTTAATTGCTAGGCCCCTGAAGCAACGACCCGTGTGGAGGCGACGAGACCATCAGGGTATTAGTTGGCGCTGCTTTTAAGTGAGTCAGCCATATTTAGTGCGCGGATCAAGTTGTTTTGAATGCGCTGTAAGAGGAACAAAGTCAAAAATATTACTGTCAAAATACGTAAACAAAAAAGGAAATTCATTTTAATTATTTCTTTGGATGCCTTTGCCTATTTTGCCTTTTGATTGGAAAATATATTTTGTAACTTTGACTAGCACTTTTATATTAACTGTTCTTTTAACAAAAGAAGGGTAAATAAGCAACTGCTGCAGTATGATTTTAATGATGTGAGAATGTAGTTCTATTTTGCTACCAGGATGTACTACTATTTTCTACCAGGAAGTAGTTCTACTTTGCCATTACCAAGATGTAAAACAATTTGCTAATCGGAACGGAACACGAACAGTGACCTCTCCTTAAAGCCCCTGTTACAATAATGACCCGAATACATGTAGAATTGGGATTTTGATAATATTTGGTAGTCAACATCATATCACTTCATGAATGCTTATAAACTTTGAATATAACAGTCTTTTCCTTTGTGAGGGTAAGCCAGAATTCTTTATCCAAGCTGTCGCCAGCCCGCTGTAACTGGGGACCCGGGTTCAAGATACCACATGGATAAGCATACGTTCGTACTTCAGACACAGTGCAGACATTCATGTACACAGATAGACAAGCAGTAGACATATTTATCCAAACTTTCATTCTATAAGATTTTTGTAAAATTTGCCACCAGCATTCTGTTGGCGGCAGATCTGACATAACAACACATGTGCCCGTACTTACACGTTCTCGCCTAAACTTTGACTGATATACTCCGTGTAGTACCAGCATTGTCCAATAAAAATCTCCTTGATATGACGGTTAGTCCCTGCACTCGCCGCTAGAGCTCGGGGCACCAGACACAGTGAGAGAAAAACGAAAGCAAGACAAGTGCATCTTAATATACTGCCCCCTACGGAGGAAGACATCTTGCTTTCAGTCTGAGCGTTTGTGTTGCTAGCCTGGGGGGGTCCCAAAACCCAAATAAATCACCTGCGACAAGTTGATAAGATAAACAACGGTAAGCAACACACTCAATCTAATGTCCACTAACCGCGTATAAACACAAACAGGTAGAGCGTTTCTTACACATGCGCTTCTACATGTGTGGATCTACAAGCCTTTGGTATGCGACGTATTACGTAACTACACGTACCCCATACCAGTGCGCCACCTTGAACCTTGTACTTCCCTGTTAATGTCCTTGCAAACCAGTCATAAGTTAGGCATACAAATATCACACCATCGAACTACAATAACACTGACTACAGAAGAATTGCGATGTTGCTTTTCACATATATTTGAAAAATTTGCTGGCCGTTAGTAGGTCTAAATTGTACACGTAAAAAAACTATGTGGTAGACAGTTGAAACGGAAACAGGAGCTCTAGCACATTCCTGCAGTTTTGGGACCCCCCTCCCCACCCTCAACTGCTGGTGAATCAAGAATAATGGGAATATGTAAGGCTCAAAATTCAAATACAAGTTGGCCTTTTATCTCGTGTATACCATATTGGTGTGCACCAGAATTAGGCCTTTGTTATCTTTCTCAGGGGTGGATCCAGGATTATTCAAAGGGAGGTCCGCGGATGCGAAGCCCAAGCCCCCCCCCCTCCCCCCGTTGGCGTGGGGTTCTGAAAAAAAAACGCATTATAGAGAGTCTTATAAAAAGGGTGCTTTTTGAAGCATATGAGAGAGAAAGCAAGGACCTCCTAAAGAATGCTTGGTAAGGCATCGTATCACATAATGTATAGGTAAAGAAACGTTATCTTTCTGTTTTGTTTCTTAGAACCCTCTCAATACGAGTGCTTCACTGCGCATGCTGTCCTAAATTATTAAGGACGGCTTTCAGAAAATTGTACATATAATATACATACATACATGTAGATAGATCACAGGCATGCCATATTGAAGAACCACCAACATAAAACATTGATAAGACAGTTGCATCCGATAAAATATGTTCCAATGGAGCGATATAGAGATAACATAGAGGCCATTCAGAATAGATGATCCGAGTACTAACTGATCCGCTGATTAAATATGGCCGACTCCACCAAAAGCGATGCCGCTAATTCCATGATGGTCTCCCCACCTCCGTACGAGCCGTCGCTGCAGGGGCCTAGCAATTAAACCTTGGGGCCAAAATTTAATCTATTTAATGGCACGTGTTGAGGCGGGGAGAACAATACAAAAATAGAAAAACACATGTTAACACATTTAAATAATGTGACTCTATTCTAAATATTACGTAGAATACGTTGACAGCTCTGATATTGAAGGATGTATGACGCACGAAATGTGAGTGGAAAAGTTGTTATATTGCAAATTGCTTTTGTTGAGGCGAGCATCTTGCTGCACAATCGAATTTATGTACAATTTAGCCAAATGCTCAAAAACTCTATGAAGCCCTAGAAGGAAAAGAGACCTAATTCCAATAAGGAAAAATTTTGTCATTTGTTATAAAATGACAGCATCAACATAATGATTAATTTCAATGGGGGATAATGAAATAAAATATAGTATAGATTAATATATGTTTACACCCGTATTTGTCATTATGTACCAAAAAATACCTGTCCATAAAAACAACCTAACACATACCATGAAATATATTAATACAATGGAAGATAATGAAGCAACATCTTTTTAAGGTGAATACATGTTTTCCCTCGTATATCAAACGGTAAGACTAAGAATTTCTGTACATAACAAACAACGTAATACAGCATAATAATTGATCATATCCCCTCCAGCATTTTATTGAAATCTTAGAGTGGCCAGTAATTTTACCAATATGGGAAATTTAATCAAAAGATACTCGTTTAAACTATAAGTGGGCAGTTTTTTCTAAATAAAAACAGGAAAGGATTGATAAGAAATTAAACGTTAGTGATTTAGCGTGAAATAATGGCTTCCTCCTTCATTCGCTAAAATGTATGATTACTGTAAATAATCAAGACAGACTACCGTGGTACTTTAAACTAAGGCAATCATAAGTTTTTGTTTCTCCGTCAATGTGAAAATACTCTGAAGGCGCCGACGTGATACATATTGCAACAAAGGCAGTGTTCTGAATGTCTGAAACCCACGTTATTTGTAGACGAGTAAAACTGGATAAAACGGATTTTTTACCGATTGTTTTCCTTTATTGTTCAATGTCAGCAATGTGCATCTCATTTACTTATCCTCAGATTAAAAATATTAAATCCAAAGATATTTCCTATTTTATTACGAGCTCTCGACAGTCTTCTCATTATGAGCGCCATGGAGAATTTTTGATTTATTTGTTTATTTATTTATTTATTTATTTATTTATTTATTTATTTATTTTCATTTTTATTTATTTATTTATTTATTTATTTTTCTTTTTTTTTTTTTTTTTTGTAACACAATGTTGAGATGCTGTTAAACATGAAATTTTTCAGCCTTAATATACAGAGAAACACAGAACTAAATGTAACTCACTTCGATGAAAAGACAATTGTCAAATGTCCCTGGAAAGTTTAGTGCTTAACGAAGGGTATTTATATCTCAGTGGGTAAAATTACAGTCTCATGTTCGACTATTTCTACTTCTTAACTGATGGGTAACATGATATCACTAAATGTCGAGTGGAAACTTTGATATTCTGGAAGATTGTGATGTCTCTGCTCTTGCGCATGCGTGCGAGTAATGAACCAGTACACATGTATATCCACACTGTGGGCCGAGGGAGCGGGCAGTTTTCCTGTAGACAATTCGATTACTTAAATGGAATTAAATAGGCCAAGCTCGAAAAATGAACAATTTATAATTTTTTATTAATTTACTGGTTATTAAGTGCTGGTTTGCGTAATATGACAAATGTCACAATGGGCGACTAAATAATCAAATATCATGTGCTTTAGCCGCACAGAATTTTGAAATCGAAAACAACATTTAAAAAGAAAATAGAGCCAAAATATTTATTTCACAGAATAAATAACAGTCATAAATTGTTCATAGGTTGTTGCCCAAAGATTTCTTTTCTTGATCCTCGTCACAAATTCTGTCACCTCCAAACATAAGCCCAAAATATATATCGTTTCTATATTTTTACTAAACTACAAAGCAGAAAGTGTATAGCTTTAAAAATAAAAATAAAACTTTTACAACGACCCTGCCCCCCCCCTCTACCCCTATGATAGGCACCTAGACTATGAACCGTGGTTCAATGGTGCCTGGATGACTCGTCAGTTGATCTCGATGTTGTATCATGGTTATTGCCTTCAGTGCAACTCACTGCGCGTCAAAAAATCGTATAACACAAACAACTGTTTCGCGTTCGACTGGAAACTACAAAGCTTATTTTGATTAAGAAATACCGCGAAACTACATCTTGTCAGCTTTGCTGACGGAAATTAGAGCCACCCCAGCCAAAGCCAACCCGTTAATAGAGGCTGTTTTGAAAGGAACGTCTTCGTGTCCAAGTCCAGGAACACTGCAACCGGGTCCTTGTGACGCCGGATTTCATCCTTAAACATTGGGACCATACCCATCCCATGATTAAAAAGAAATTAACTTGGTTGTAAAAATCCCAAATAAGTAAAATCCTCGGGTTAGATAACCATCCTCTACAAACTTTCAAACCCGCCACTTTGTACTGTGTCGCACCAAATGAATTCTCGCTGTCTATTGGACAATGACACTGTTTAATAACTTGATATTCAAACGCATTTCAGCATTTAGCGTTGATTAATCAAAGGTCTTTCATGTGCAAAATGTCAGTCCCATCTTCCTTTCATGTTGTATTACAGAATAATTTGTTGTTGATCCATCTCAAGAGAAACGGCCTTTGAATGAAACGGAGTAAATACCTTTCATGATAATAAGAGTCGTTTACTGTTTTGATTAAACCTTTTCTTTAAATGAACAAAATGCTGTAGGCCTATAATATGATTGTGTGATGTTGATCCATCCATCAACAAAGAGTCTTGTTGTATTTCAAGGCAATATTCATACCCTACTTGTTCTATTACGGATTCCAGTTTAATATTTTAGTGACGAAAAGTCGCTCTTTATTTATTTATTTATCAATGGTTTTCTTTAAAAATATTTAGTTGATCGATATAATTCATATTTAACTAAATCTATTAATCCGAAAAAAAGATCAACATTGTTTTTATAATAAATCCTCTCTTTGTTGTGTATGCAAATATATATAGGCCTATATTTTGTTGAGTAAACTGTTTGCACATACTCCGATCACTCGAGCGTCATCAGAGCTGTGCTGCTTTCTTGTTACTGCAATTCCGCAAGTAATGTTACTGTAGGGGTTCAAACTTATGGGGATTATTAACTGACTTAAAGTGCTGGTCATGTTCGAAAATGGGCATGATCCAATCTCTCTTTACATCTCCCTTTTTTGTTCACTTTTCAATAATTTTGGCCGTGTATTTACGGAAGAAGTTTAAGGCTCAATGTTTGCATATTGATGTATTATCGTTCGTCCTTATGATTAAGCTGATAAAGCTAGTCTGTACTCAAGTGAACGTGTCAGCTATAGGTCTCTCACAGCGCTAGTTCTGCTTAGAATGATAAAATTATATGCAGATATTGTGAGTAGTGCAATATTAAGGTAATGTGTGTGAAACCTTTTAGACTGGGTTCCCATACCTAGATCGATCTACCAGGATCGATCCATCTCCACGGGGTTAATCGCTAAATTGCTTTCAGCTTAAGCCGCTTAGATGTCTGGCACGACTACTGAAGCTGACAAACGATAATTAACTACCTCGTAGCAGCTTCAGTAGGCGTAACAGACATCTAAGCCGCTTAAGTTGATTGCAATTTAGCGAGAATCCCCTCAGAGATAGATTGATCCACAGTTAATACGATAGTGTCTGGGAATGGTACCATAGTTTGGGTATGCAATGTAAATATGAAATCGTGTTTGGTTCTGCATGACGAGTATATTATTATACATAACCACATGTCTGCTCGGTTAATTCAGTAAATGGTTATAAAATAAAACAGGACTAATATGCCTCCAAACACCAAGGTCTTGAAGCCTCTCCCTATGGTAAAGAAGCGGACGTTGGCCGAAGTACCTTGGAGGCGAACTGACATTCTGCTGATTCGATGTCATCCAAACACAAAATGTACCTTAGTGCGCTGGAAGTTAAAGAAATATCTTTTTAAGTTATAGTAAGGAGCTAAAAGATTCCATTGACTTTCGTTTAATATTAAAAATAATTAAATAATGACCTGTTTAAGACCTGCAAAGCGTTTCATTTTCTTCATTGTTTTAATCACCTCGCTTTACCTTGGGTCATCGGTGCAGTCATATTCGAAACCAAGATCTTCTAAACGTTTTTTAAGGAGAGGAATGCTTCCATTGTTACACGTTTCCCTGAAATATATTAATGGCGCAATACATTTTACGTTTTCGATGGGCTGAGTATGTATAAAACAAAAAGGAAACAACCTATTAACGCCTCCTTTGTTTAGTTTTTGAAAACGTTCTTTATGAAAATTTGTGTAATGGTATACCAATACGTACTTGTGCGTTTTCCCAACATCATGGAATACCATGAGCTGAAATCGCGTGACTTTCGCCTTCGGAAAGTTTGGAAGTTCAAAAAGGTTGAAATAGCTGTAAAATAGAGTTCTGGGGTAATTTCATGTTTCATGATAACTTCTGATCATGTTGATAAGTGTCTTTTCTGCTTCAGTGGAAAGCTTTGGTAAACCTTGGATATCTTTTAAATACATTGTATTATTGAAATAAAAGGGGCTTGTAATTATTACCACCCAACGTCTTTTCTAAGAAAAGAATACTAAAAGAAATATTTACTGTAGTATTTTTAAATTTCTGCTTTGAATCCATGTTATTACACGTGTACCAGTTACATAAATTGTTGGTAGTACCTTGTTTCGTTGAAGGCCACATTGGTTCCTGCAGTTGTTCCATTGAGGATCATTTGAATTACCCCAGTGCTTACCTCTGCAAACTAAAATACAGTAAAATATTCATATAATCCCCATAAACATAATGATATGATCTTATTTCAGTGTTTCCTACTGTCTTCTAGTGGGAGTATTTTATATAAATAAAGTATAATAAAGTTCAATGAAAAACATATTCGTAGAATATCATAAGGAGAAATCTATGTTTAGATGGTCCACACTGAAAAAATGATAGGTCAAATCATGCGTTACTTCTGTTGGGAGCAACTTTTTCATTAAATGGTTTCTGGTCAGAATTAATCACATTGCAATTTCAGAATAAAAATTAACCCTGGGACCGAAGGTTAAGGTAGGTTTGTTGGCAATCATTCAGTTTTTTACCTATCAAAACATCGATAAAGAAAGAATCTGTTATCGATGGCAATAAAAATACGTATTTTTCAAACTGCTTCCTCTTTCATTAAAAACTACGGTCGACATTCACACTAAACTAGAGCTAAGACCGAGTATACTGAATCCTAAATTTGAGCTAAATGGGTCCAAAATTAGAGATTAAAGGAAAATTAAGACCTGTTTTTCTGTAACTGTACCAAATGCTCTCACCGCTTTCGACGCGGCTGTCCACATTCCAGCATATTGGCCCTGGAACCTTGGACAGTCCGCTTCCAGCGGACAGCTGTCAAAGTTGATGCCTGGCTCCGCCTCCTGACCACACCAGGCGAACACGTGATTACCCAGGTAGCCAGTCAGGGTGTCAGCAGAGGCCACGTATCGACGCCGGCTGCCGCTATAGTCGTGTGCTAGGGTGGACGCCGCCTGCCAAAATACCGCCTACAGAGGAGAAACAAGTTTGATACGAAAATAAAGTGTTTTAAAAGCTACTGTTTTGAAATTAAATTAAAATGACCTTTCGCATTATGATTGGTTTATAAAAAATCAGTTGAATGTCCAATTCGTTTATTGTCATAAGAAGGCAATGAAGTGCTGAAGAGTATTAGTTTTCCGACATGACTTATTGTAGGAATCTTTTCAGGTTCAGTGGCTGTTTTAACAAACTCTTTATTAAAATACGCACCTTGTCTGTAGGAACCTCTCCTGAAACAGTGGCTGCTTTAACAAACGGTTCGTAGTCCGCCATTGTGACGTTACACGGGTCTTTGTACATCCAAGCACGGGAAAATTTCTCCCAAAGATCTGTGCAGTTCTGCTGACTATGATAAGAAAATATTACTCTTCACCTGTGAGTTTTTGGCGAAAGTAATTCAGATAATTAAAAACTGATTTTGTTCATTTTTTTATTGATGGAAAAAGGATATTCGACATTGTTGTTTAGGAGTGTATTAAGAACTGATGATCCGCGGACAAACTGATTCGCCGACTTAATATGGCCGACCCCACTAAAAAGCAATGCCTGTAGTTTCTTGATGGCTTCTGCGCCGTTAAACGAATTAAATATTGGCTGCGAGGCTTAATTGCTAGGCCCCTGCAGCAACGACACGTGTGGAGGCGGCGAGACCATCTGGGGATTAGTTGGTGCTGCTTTTAAGTGAGTCAGCCATATTTAGTGCGCGGATCTGCTAGTCCGCGAATCAACTTGTTTTGAATGAGAGGAACAAAGTCAAAAAATACTACTATCAAAATACGTTAACAAAAAAAAAGGAAATTTATCTTTAATTATTTCTCTGGATGCCTTTGTCTATTTTGCCTTTTGATTGGAAAAATATTTTTTTAACTTTGACCAGCATTCTTATATTAACTGTTCTTTTAATAAAAGAAGGGTAAATAAGCAACTGCTGCAGTAAGATTTTAATGATGTGAGAATGTAGTTCTATTTTGCTACCAGGATGTACATGTACTTCTATTTTCTACAAGGAAGTAGATCTACTTTGCTATTACAAGATGCAAAATAATTTGCTATTCGAAACGGAAAACGAGCAGTGACCTCCCCTTAAAGCCCCTGTTACAATCGCGACCCGAATAAAATTGGTATTTTAATAATATTTGGTAGTCAACATCATATCACTTCATCAATGCTGATAAACCTTGAATATAACAGTCTTTTCCTTTGTGAGGGTTAGCCAGAATTCTTTATCCAAGCCTGACCGTTGTACCTGGGTTCAAGATACCACAGACCCGTAGCCAGCAATTTCAAAAGGGGGGTTCTTTTTCTGAAAAGGTGGACCTTTTACCATGAAACCTTTGTGCACCTAGATCAAATTTTACCCAGAGTGGACCTTTTCCTAGCTAAAGGGGCGGTTCTTTAGAACCCCCCGAACCCCCCCCCCCCCGAACCCCGGCTACGGGCCTGGACCACATGGATAAGTATACGTTCGTACTTCAGACACAGCTAATGCAGACATTCATGTTCACAGATAGACAAGCAGTAGACATATTTATACAAACTTTCATTCTATAAGCTTTTTGTAAAATTTGCCACCAGCATTCTGTTGGCGGCAGATCTGACTTTAACAACACGCATGTGCCCGTACTTACACGTTCTCGCCTAAACTTTGACTGATATACTCCGTGTAGTACCAGCATTGTCCGATAAAAATCTCCTTGATATGACGGTTAGTCCCTGCACTCGCCGCTAGAGCTCGGGGCACGAGACACAGTGAGAGAAAAACGAAAGCAAGGCAAGTGCATCTTAATACACTGCCCCCTTTGGAGGGAGACATCTTGCTTACAGTCTGAGCGTCTGCGTTGTTAATTTGGGGGTCCCAAAACCCAAATAAACCACCAGCGACAAGGTGATACGATAGACAACGGTAAGCAACACACTAACGTCCACTAACCGCGTATAAACACAAACAGGTAGAGCGTTTCTTACACGCGCGCTTCTACAAGTGTGGATCTACCTGAAGTGTTGTGCCTCTGGTGTGCCACGTATTACGTAACTACACGTTCCCCATACCATTTAGGTTATACGTCACTTCCAGCCTTTCTTAATTAGTAAGTTTGAAGCAAGGAAATTTGCATATAAGAGAAAAATGAGTTTATTTTTCAATTTTGGATCGTTTGAAAAATAAAAAGTAAATTTTAGAAATAAATTTGTTCATTTACCTTTAATTTGATGTGTTATTTTTCATATCAAGGTGAAATTTTACTGCCTGGGACCAGTTTTACGTGCCCTTCCCCCTGCTGCATTTTAGTGCTTATTTTGGCCGACTGGCGGCAGCACCTTACGGGCCATGTCACTGGCAGGCTATAACATTAATGTACCCTGATTTTTTGAATATTGTTGAGGCCTTGAGTAGAAGTATTTAAACCTGAAGTGTAGTGTTTGTTGAAGCATGAAAAGTATTTTTAAGAGAATTAAACGTTACAATGGAAGTGAATGGGATTTTTAATAGTGGTTTGTAATCACTAGTGCGCCACCCTGAACCTTGCACTTCCTTGTTAAAGTCTTTGTAAACCAGTCATAAGTTAGACATGCAAATATCACGCCATTGGACTACAATAAAACTGACTACAGAAGAATTGCAATGTTTGGGGTTTTTTTTAAGAGTATATATTCTTACTTGTTACTTTCCTCCCTTGTGAGTCTATCCCATCCTCGTCGCCAGATATGGTATTGTAACGACATACATGTATAAAAGATTAAAATATTTATTACAGAATTAAAAGTCCATGGGACCAGTTTTACGCCACGTCCCATCCCCACTTCCCGCTTCACACTCATGACCTCTGACCTACATCACGTGACTTACTACATCATTACATCACAACGCCAACGGACTACAATAACACTGACTACAGAAGAATTGCAATGCTGTTTTTCACATATATTTGAAACATTTGCTGGCCGAATGGTCTGAATGGTACACGTAAAAACTATGAGGAAGACAATTGAAACAGAAACAGTGTGTGTAGCACGTTCCTGCAGTTTTGGGACTCAGTTTAGACTGCGCATGCTGTCCTAAATTATTAAGGACGGCTTTAAGAAAATTGTACATATAATATACATCAGGCATGCCATATTGGAGGACCATCAATATAAAACATTAATAGGACGGTTTTATTCATAAAAAAATCTGCTCTAATGGCGCAATATAGAGATAACATAGGGCCATTCAGAATAGATGATCCGAGTACTAACTGATCCGCTGATTAAATATGGCCGACTCCACCAAAAGCGATGCCGCTAATTCCATGATGGTCTCCTCACCTCCGTACGAGCCGTCCCTGCAGGTGCCTAGCAATTAAACATTTGGGCCAAAATTTAATCTGTTTAATGGCGCGTGTTGAGGCGGGGAGAACAATAAAAAAAGTAGAAAAACACATGTTAACACATGTAAATAATGTGAGTCTATTCTAAATATTGCGTAGAATACGTGTAAATGAGTTGATATTAAAGGATGTTTGACGCACGAAAGTTGAGTGGAAAAGGTGTGATATTGTAAATTGCTTTAGCGTGTTGCTGCACAGTCGAAATTATGTACAATTTAGCCATATGCTCACAAACTCTCTGAAGCTCTGTTTTTGCTCTAGAAGTAAAGGGGGCCTAATTCCAATAAAAATAAATTTTGTCATTTATTGTAAAATAACAAAATCAATATAATGATCGATTTTAAACAAAGGGGGATAATGAAATAAAATATAGTATAGGTTGATATATGTTTACACCCGTATTTGTCATATTATGTACAATGTAGAACCACAAATACCTGTCCATAAAAACAACCTAACACATACCATGATATATATTGATACAATGGGAGATAATAAGGCAACATCTTTTTAAGGTGAATACATGTTTTCCCTCGTATATCAAACGGTAAGACTAAAAATTTCTGTACATAACAAACAATGTAATACAGCAAAATAATTGACATAAGAGAAACCAATGGCTAAGTCGGCTCTTCAGAAGACAGACAAGCTCATATCCCCTCCAGCATTTTAGAAAAATCTTAGAGTGGCCAGTAATTTTATCCAATATGGGAAAATTTGATTTAAAAAAAAATACTCGTTTAAACTATAAGTGGGCAGGTTTTTTTTCTAAATAAAAACAGGAAAGGGTTGATAAGAAATTTAACGATGGTAATTTAGCGTGAAATAATGGCTTCCTCCTGCATTCGCTAAAAATGTATGATTACTGTAGATAATCAAGACAGACAACTGTGGTACTTTAAACTAAGGCAATCATAAGTTTTTGTTTCTCCGTCAATGTGAAAATACTCTGAAGGCGCCGACGTGATACATATTGCAACAAAGGCAGTGTTCTGGATGTCTGAAACCCACGTTATTTGTAGAGATGGCTTCATTTTGACGTGTAAAACTGGATGAAAGGGATTTTTATCTATTGGTTTCCTTTAAAGGTCAATATCAGCAATGTGCAACTCATTTACTTCACCTCAGATTAAAAATATTGAATCCAAAGGTATTTTCAAGATAGTCCATATTTTATTATTATCAACAGTCTTCTCATTATAAGCCTCCTGGAAAAATTTATTTATTTATTTATTTATTTATTTATTTATTTATTTATTTTTGGTAACATAAAGTTGAGATGCTGTTAAACATGAAATCTTCCAGCCATAATATACAGGGAAACACAGAACTAAATGTAACTCACTTCGATGAAAAGACAATTGTCGACAGTCCCTGGAAAGTTTAGTGCTTATGTTTATATCTCAGTGGGTAAAATTACAGTCTCATGTTCGACTATTTCTACTTCTAAACTGATGGGTAACATGATATCACTAAATGTCGAGTGGAAACTTTGATATTTTGGAAGATTGTGATGTCTCTGCTCTTGCGCATGCGTGCGAGTAATGAACCAGTACACATGTATATCCACACTGTGGGCCGAGGGAGCGGGCAGTTTTCCTGTAGACAATTCGATTACTTAAATGGAATTAAATAGGCCAAGCTCGAAAAATGAACAATTTATAAGTTTGTTATTAATTTACTGGTTATTAAGTGCTGGTTTGCGTAATATGACAAATGTCACAATGGTCGACTAAATAATCAAATATCATCGGCTTTAGCCGCACAGAATTTGAAATCGAAAACAACATTTAAAAAGAAAATAGAGCCAAAATATTTATTTCACAGAATAAATAACAGTCATAAATTGTACATAGGTTGTTGCCCAAAGATTTATTTTCTTGATCCTCGTCGCAAATTCTGTCACTTCCAAACATAAGCCCAAAATATATATCGTTTCTATATTTTTTTACTAAACTACAAAGCAGAAGTTGGAGCGAGACGACTTCAGACATTTATCACAGATATAACGATATCTACACACACAATAATTACTGTATCTTCGCTGTATAATAATCATCCTCAGATTGCAATATATTAACAAGCTTTTAACTGTACAATCACGCGGCATCAAATGTCTTAAATATGACACTTGAACTGTAAAACGCTCTCCCGTCTGGACCTAACACTGTTGTCAGTTTCATAATAGTTATAAGTAATGCTATGAACATTTATAAGAAATTCTATCAACATATGTTATAATATATATACCGTGCAAACGTGTTATCACAATACAGCATAACAGGAGCACAATAAGTCCTACTTATATACACTACAGTCAGTGTTTACTTTATTAATTGTTATGATGGAAACAGTAGTTGGAAACAGTAGTAGTTTAATCCCTTTTCATTATCTATTAATCTTGCCAAACATTTTAATCTTACAAGAGAGAGAGAGAGAGAGAGAGAGAGAGAGAGAGACAGACAGACAGACAGAGGCTTAAATTATTTGCAAGAAAGTGTATAGCTTTAAAGATAAAAATAAAACTCTTACAACGACCCCCACCCCGCCCCGCCCCTCTACTCCTATGAAAAACACGATTCAAGACAAAAACAGAAAATACATCGGAACTATACAAATATCGAGCAACATTTTGGGCTTAGAAGGGTATCTTTTATTGCGTTTGACTTTCAGGCAAAAGTTACTTGGAATTCAACCTAAAAGAACACACATGCGTTGTTCGTCTTCGTGAATGTTTCTCTTCTCTTTCTAGAGATCATGTGGTTTTATTCCAATTAATACCACTTCATCTCCACACATGTTTAATTAAGCACCGTTTTGTTGTTGATGTTGTTGTAAATAAAATTGCGTTTCCACGGAATGAAGTGAAAGAACACGTTCGAATCAGGCCAGATTGTGAATACAGCGGCCCTACGTGTGTATACGGATAGGGACTTTTCGACTTTGGGACTCGATCAGTACTAGGTATTGTTGATTGTAATTTTGTGCCAAATACGTATCTTTTATTCAACTGATGTGATGAGAAAGAAGAGCCCATTGTTTTCATACTATCTTGTTCTTCATACACCACATAAGTACTATGCTGATATTTTACAACAAAGTTCATTCATTGTCAGAACTTTGTTGTAATATAATTGTGGCAAAAGAACTAGATCCCAAGTTTCTTAGCTGACTTAGTGATTTAGTGATTTAGTGATTTGCCCCCAAAAAGGACAAAACTGATAAAGTGCACATTAATAGTTTTCCAAAAGATGTATGAAACTCCAACAATCAAACAGGGGTTTCTATGGATTTATAGAAAAATTATTTATGGCAGGCTGACTTATCACACGAAATGTGATGCATTATTACATCATTTAAGGTAGGTAGTTGATAAAATGTAATATCTAGTCACAAGGACGATGTGCTTTTTTTCTTCAGTCAACAGCTAATATTGAGATAGTTTTTACCTCCAAACACAGCTGAAGAAATTCTTCTCTGACTAGTCACAAGGAAAATGAAAACAGATGTACATATAACTTGCCCAAAATGGTCTTACCCCAAATACAAGTATTATTACATGAAGAAAATTCCTTTCATAAAATTTTCATCAAAAAACATGTAAAAGAACACATGTACATATGCTATGTATCAGTCAGCCAGGAAACTTGGGATCTAATTCCTAATTCTACACCCTGGCGGAGCGAGCAATAAATCGCTCGTGCGCTCGTTTGACCACGCCCAGCTTCTCGTGGTTGGTGACAGCGTCAACGGGCAACTTGGCATAGGGGGCGTCGCGAACGCCGTGCAGCATCAAAGTCCACTCAAAGAGGTTGCCCTCCTGCTCCAGGCCAGTGACAGGGGCTGTCTCCATGACGACCTCCAATCGCCATGGGCCCTGAGGGTTTTCTGCCCACATGTGGGTGGTCATGAACGGCCATTTGATGAACCCGGATGTACTGTCGTCATCACGGGGTCGTCTGCTGAGGATCATCGTCCTGGGAGGAAAAAGATGCCGTTTAAACAGTAATGTCAGACCTCTTTTTACAGTTATTCCACTGTTAGACCTATAAAAGTAATCTGCTTCAGGTATAATGTGCTAACTTGCTTCTTTCAAGTAAAACCAATGAAATCGAACGACTTATAAAAATTCTTTGAATTTGAACATTAAATTATTGCATCACCGGTCAGGTAAGAAAGAGAAACGAATACCTTTTTGGTTTATCCATAGCTAATTATGATAAAATTTTATATTAGAATAATAATAATTTATGTTAGATGAAGCTCTTACTTCGTTCCCATAGGGGAGGTCAGATACATGGTGACGTCACCACGACGAGACGCGTTAATGGTAATGAACGCCTGGACATGTTCCAGATAATTGATTTCATTGTCCTTGTCCTGACAGGCGTCAGTGTCGATGATCAACAGCAGTGGCTCGTTAGTTTTAAATTTGCTGTAAGAATTAAAAAGTAAACATAAATGACTTGTTTATGTTAAATCAACATACAAGTACATCTGTTTGTTGAAGATATGAGATCGCAACTATTTATTATATAGATACAGATCTATCAGTGTTAACGGAAGAAAAATACCAGTTTCTGTGAATCTCTCAAATATAAGTTTGTGACAAAAAATTGTGATATAACTTTTTATACAGCAGCGGCAAAGGCGCATTTATAGAATTTTTTAATATTTTTATTGGTGAACATATAGAAAAGGTTTGTGTCAATTTGTGTAATTAGTCAATCTACAGGAAATATTTCTATAATATCGATTATCTATAACAAACAAATTGAAATGCTATTTAAACTTGCTTCTCTTGAATATTGCTTATTGCTTAATATAACTTAAACTCCCAAGACTTCGTATAGGTGTGAACGGTAAACTTACTGCTTTCCCTGCACCGTGCCAGAGGAGCAATGGAACCGCTCTGGAACGCTCTTCCACTTGCCAGCCAAATCCACAATGGACCCAGCGTCTAGAACTCCATAGCCAAACAGATGGTTAAACTCCAGACCTGCCCCGTTTACCATCCATAGGAAGCGTCCTTCAGGGTCGAACAGAGAGTTCCGCTTGGAGGTGAGCACAGTCAGGTGTTGGATATCACGCCAGGTGAGATCGGGGCTAAAGGTGAAATAATAATGGCGTTGATTCTAGCAGTCCAAGCAATTTGTTATGAATTGATATAAAAAGGTTTTGATAACGGAGGTTGAATAATAAGTACTGTACTCAAAAACAACACAGGTCAGATCTATTATAAACCAGCACTTGTTGAATATCTAGATATATTTGTAGGCTTTATACAGTGTCTATTTTACAAAAAATAAAATAAATAAAATAAATAAATAATAAAATAAAATAAAACAACTCCTTAATGGCGCCATTCTATAAGGACTTTGTATTCAAATTTGTCAGAAAAAAACATGCAATTCAGTCCATATCTCTAGGAGATCGAGGAAAACAAGTTTTACGTCTTTGAAAAAAAGACTTGGGAGACAGGGTGTTGATTGGAAATATTCCCAGGTTAGTGTTAAAATGATAACATCTAATTATCCTTATTTCACTGCATGAGACTCACGCGTCTTTCCGGCTAAATTAATTCTGCACCAGACTTACTTTGCCTCCAGAGCGAGCGCGAAGACGCCTGCAGCCTCGGGGGCAGCCGCCGATGTTCCAGAATGCTTTGTGGTGACGTTCCCGTAAAGATCGGTGGTAGCCTACAATGTTAAAACACCATTTGTGATACCGGTCTCGTCTATTTCAGTGTGATATTCTATAAAATTACATATACCTGTTTAAGGTTGATTGTGAACGAGTTTTGGGATTATGTCGTAAAGATGTGCCGATAAAGAAGCTAGCAGTTTGGACCGTTCCTAATTTCTGTACAAATGGAAGGTTTCCAAAATATTGCCTATCCTTTATGAAGTAAGCTTTATGGATATTTTGCTTCCCCAAGACATCAAACGAAAACACATTATTGATTATTTTGCTGGCGGTTGAAAAAAATCTGTAGGATAGAAGATGTCCCTTGCGATTTTGGATTGATAACATATAATGATAAAAAATGAGCCGATAATTTCAGCACAAACACGCTTTTCTCCTGTCTACAATCGGATCCAAAACACACAGTCTACAGCAACACTCCAATCATCACTCTATTTTTCTTGTCATTGAAACAATCATAGATAATTTCCCCAAAGTCTTGGTGCCCTGAATGCTCATTGCCATCACTTACCACGCCAGCGTCGTAAATGCTGCTCTTCCCGTTGCTAAAGGTGGAGGCAAGAGTCGAGGAACACGACTCGTCATAACCCGCGGTTTGCCCGTCGTTGGTTGCCGAGTTGATGGACACTGTCCACATACTGGCAGCGTAACCGTCACAGTTGCAGTCATCATCAGGACCTCCGTCCCCTGAGGCCCACACGTAGATGTTCCCCTTCCCTTGACGGCCCTGCAGACATAATATGATTGTAAGAAGCTATGTAAAATTGATTTATTGGGGGCGATCTTTTTCCTCGGCGGTATCTTTTCGTCTTTTATCTCGAAAGATTGAAAGCCATTAACGTGATCAAATAAACAGATAATTTGGTCGAAAAGCTTGTTTTGATGAAAAAAGGAAAGGGCCGTATCACATGCCTGCCCCTGAGGAATAAGACAGTAATTCCAACAAAATTACGATAATGTACCTATTACTACTGGTTCAAGACGAGATCAATCCATTACCTCGTTTACTCCGTATACGATAGCTTTCATGGTGAGGTTCCTGGGTCCATCAACAGTTTTTCCGTCGTCTGTCGGACCCCCAGCTGGCGCTGTAAATGTCAATCTTCTGGGGCTCATGGCCCATAGAGTTGGCTTCTATCAGGTCCGTCATGTATGGTTGATCCAGCATTCGCAAGCCTGGTAGGGTTGAAAATACGCATATTGTTAAAAATCCTTACGATAACAAAAAATCTTAGAATCAGCAAATCATTTCATGAATTGGGTAGTTTAAAAAACAACACATTTGATTTAATTTTTTTCCAAAACACCCTGATCTGATTCAACGAAATTTTGTCTCATAAATCGGTGGCATTTCAAAAGCCCCACCTTTTATAATTATGTGTTACGTCATTCTAACTAAGTTTACTTATTTTCATTCATCAGTTCCCAACCTACGTTCAATAGGGTGACTCCCGTTTTCGCCCACACACATAATTATAAAACTACTTATTGCCTTTGGCAGATAATAGATTTGACATAGATAGCTTTCTTACCATGTGGCGTATTGCATAAAAGTGAAAGGTCTAGTCTGTGGTTAAGCGTTTTATACTGTTTTTAATAATAGCGTCTAATTAGTTAATGATTACTTGACCATACAAAATGGAACAACATTTTATGCAATGCTTCAACACTTTTGTTTGTTATCTGAAGTCGTAACATTAAAACCAGTCCGGTAGATAAAGCACGACAGCGGCGCTGAGGGCAATATGATCATCATATTTCAGACAGTAAAAAAGAAATGTCTCCGTCACAGACCAAACCATATTACATCATAACAGAAAAAAGAGCTGACAGAATCATACAAGTATTCAGAAGAATATTTAAACCGGTTTTCCAAAAGTTGATTACAGATGAAACTCGTAATTCCGGCATTGTGTTTTGGGAATATCATTTATCATCGAAGGCTACAGGGACATTTTAAATATTAAGTCAAAACTTAGTGAATACCAAGAAGTGGTCTTAAGTGAGAGGTTAAAAGGTGACTTAAGATTCAATAAAATTACAAAAAGTGATAATGAGCAGTTCGTGACTGACGTCAACTTCGGTTGTTTGTTCATCTTGCAAACCGCGTTGGTCCTTTGCACTTTCCGTAGCTCTACGCAATCTCTGCCTACAAGAACGCTTTGTGTTTGCTCAGCTTCTGACACGATATCTGGCAATATTGAGCCGGCTGTTGATTGATATTCCACTTGAAATTGTAATGGTGTTCCAATACCATTGAAAAACTCAACACAGCTGACAAACGGAAGCAGACGACAACCACCCTACTCCTGGGTGGGTCCTACCTGCCACTCTTTCCGTTGCAAACACGTGTTGTAGTGCATATAGAATATTAACCAAAGGTTCAAGGCACTTGTTTTGTTCTCTGAAGTCGAAACATTCAAACCAGTCCGATGGACAAATCATTGCACTGGCGCTGAGGGCAATAAAATCGTCATATTTCTGTCATTGATAAGTAATTCCTCCGTCACAGGCCAATCCACATTAAATAATTTTTTAAAAAAAAAAAGAGCTGACAGAATCATGCAAGTATTCAGTAGAAGATTTAAATCGGTTTTCCATGAAATGATTTCGGGTGAAATTCTTAATCCTGACAATATGCTTTGGGATTATAATTTTTTCTCTAGCTACAAAGACATTTTTTAGTAAAAACTTAATAAATACCAAGAAGCGCCCTTTAGTCAGAAGTCAATAGGTGACTTAAGATTCAATAAAATTATAAAAAGTGATTATAAGTACTTAAATATTGACGTCAACTTCGGTTGTTTTTTCATCTTGCAATCAGCCGCTAAAAGACGGAGATAAAAGTCAGTTGATGCGTTGGTTGTTACTCATCTTTCCACTTTCCATCGCTCTACGCAATTTCTGTCTACAAAAACGCTTTATGTCGGCTCTGCCTCTGTCACGAAATCTGGCAATGATGAGCCGGATGTTGATTGTTATTCCACTTGATATTGTAATGGTATCCCAAAACCATTGGACATTTCTATCACTAACTCATAAACGGAAGCAGACGACAGCCACCCAACTCCTGTGTGGTTCTTACCTGCCACTCTAGACCCGTAGGCCACGCCCACTCCCCCGACGCCATTGTCTCTTTTAGCAGCTATCTCTCCAGCACAGCGGGTGCCATGGCTGAAATGTCAAGTATTTTCTTTAAATGTCAATGAAATACCAGCAAGTAATGTAGCAAATATTCCATAATGCTTACCGTCGCTGTGAAAAGTCACCTGTGTAAAGAATTACATGTAAACCTAAAGATTGCACTTGGATGGAATGATTTAAAACCAGTGATAATACCAACATGTATAGAAGACAAGGCAGAAAATATGTCTAAATCGTTACAGATCGTTCGGATAAGCACCATCATTGAATACATATAAAGTGAAGCAAAAATAAATGTGCTAAATATCTTAGGTATTAAAATGCATTACAGATACCAAATAAATGTTTTTGGGGATAATTCGTGATGCAAACAGACCCTATATACATGTATACCAAAAGTTACTGGTTATTCTTTAGATATTGAGACTTAGAGAGCATTCATAGTCAGCTGATCCTAACTAGTCCGCGAATCAAATATGGCGCGACCCACTTGAAAGCATGTGCCGAGATTTAATTGCCCTGCTCCTGCTGGGATGCGTGGGAGGCGGGGATCCATTACATTATTGTTAGGAGATTACGCTAATTGATTTCAAGCGCACGCCATATTTGACCCGTGGACCTGTTAGTCCGCGGAACAACGGGTTGCGGATGCTCTCTTAGAGAAAATTCCGAGGTTCATTTTCACATCCTAAGTGTGAACATGAAAGGAAGTGCCTTGTAAATCTAGAACTTAATGCTTTAGACCACCGCAGATCTTGGCGAAGAAACGTACCTGTTATATTTCATATCTAAAACGATGGAGGTTGTGGATATTGATTAGTAATGTTAATTATCTTTAATGACCATACGAGTGTTTTCCTGTGGTTGCTTTTGAAAAAGCTTCCCCAATCTACATGTGATGCTAGGGTGTTAACACACTATAAAGACAGTCGTCTAACAAAACCTCAAACACACAGAAATGTTACTCCTTCGTAAGCTTCTGAACAAGATGAAAAGTTTTCTCAGAAAATATTCCTTAAAGGCTTTGTTCTTCAGATGCCACTAATGACAAAAACTACACATCTTTCCGCCTTCTTTTTTAATAGCGAACATTCACTGTGGTTAAAGGTAAACCATGTGTCTGTCCTTAGGGATATCGATTATGTATATTAACCTACGTCAATGTAAAAACGGGGAATGGAACTTCCGTTACATGCAATTCCTTGTTGGATATAGTCTAGTTTCATTTGCAAAAAAGAAAAAAATAGAACCTCTTTCAGTACATTAACTCCATATATACGATGAAGAGGTCGCTTTGAAACAAAGTTCAAAACTGATTTTTTTTAAATAAAAGCCGATAATGGAATCACAATAAAACAAATTGTTTAAAAGCAATCAGTTACCTATCTAATGAGTAACGTAGGATGGAATTAGGTTGTTTTATTCAGAACAGGAAATAAGGAAAGCTAAACGGCTTTTATGTTATAAATTATGTGCAGGGTGTACATTTAAAGAAATCCCATCAACTTTTTGAAAATCGAAGAGGTGGTTTATATGCATGGGAAAATTGGAAATATTCAATATTGAGGAATTTATCGTTGTATAAGAAAGTACACTACAACTGATGTTTGAAAACTGCCTTGGTTCATCTATCGTGATGGTATCGGTATGGTAAACTTTAAGTTACGAACCCTCTCTTAAGGGAGTACATTGAGAAGGTATTTTTAAAACCACTGTGACAAGGTGCGAATGGCTTCAAAAGATTATGATTATGCATATTTCATCCTCACATTCTTACTAAAAGATGTTTTCCAGCAGTTTTATAACAGACATGTAAACCTTACTGCGTTGCCAAGAAAAACGAGAAAATCCCAAACATCATTTTGTACGATGTTTAAGGTCTTTAATGTTGTATATTTACCTGTTAAACCAGTCGTCTGTATATCTAGGATATGGGTAGGGGTCGTTACTGCTGAAGTCGTAGCTTGCCTCTGCGTTCTGAAATGATATTAAGGGAACTGTATAACTGTATGAATGAGGGGTGCAGAAACTGTTGTCTAAAGAAACGATCCCAAAAAAAACTCCAGTGTAACACAGCTGTGATCATTCTTCACTTCACTACGTTTTTCTGCATGTTTTTCTGTATTTTTCTGAATGTTTTATTGTTGTTATTTAAACGTATGTTATCCGCGTTTGAAAATGTCCCAAGGTCATTTATTATACACACGTCTACATAGAATGCAAAGCTTTTTAACTTTTCCCATAAAGACCTTAAAAACGACAAACCCAATAAAAGTATCTTATATCGACATTTCCATTTGAGTAAAGAAAGACAGAGTTATCAAATGAATGGCCGGTCATTTACGCCTAACCTATTTGATNCTATCCGGGTTTGAAAATGTCCCAAGGTCATTTATTATACACACGTCTACATAGAATGCAAAGCTTTTTAACTTTTCCCATAAAGACCTTAAAAACGACAAACCCAATAAAAGTATCTTATATCGACATTTCCATTTGAGTAAAGAAAGACAGAGTTATCAAATGAATGGCCGGTCATTTACGCCTAACCTATTTGATGAAAAAATGATGTAATCCAAGTGCATGGATCGGTCGCACATTGATTCGCGAGTAAGAGCAATTTTCTTTTTTCGAAGAAAATTCGATTTAGAGGAACAATCCCAGACATGATACATTTAACTGCATGGATAATTGTTCGTTTGCAAAAGTCGTTTAAGGTTAGGCAGAGTTTGAGGACAAATATCAGAATTCTTTTCACTTATATCAGTTAAATACTTACAAAGTTTTCATATAAATCCGGATGCATGTAATCGATACCTGGAAAATATAAACAGAATTAGACATTTTTGCCATATGCTAAGCGACACTGATATTGAAGCCAGCATAAAATTATGTTTGATTCAGAACATTATGGTTAATATTATGGATATTCAGTAACTAGGAATAAGATACAGACAGTATTTTAAAAATGCCATGTCCAGCAGCGTCTTACCGTCGTCCATAATGGCGGTGGTGACCCCCTTCCCAGTGATGCCTAACGCCCAGGCTGCCTCAACGTTCAAGTCCAGTTTTAACTTGCCTCCCGCCTGTGCTGTGTTGTTCTGAAGTTCAAAACGTGGACATATGAAAGTCTGAACACAGCAATAATGAATAATGGGATAATGAAAAAATTAGAAAATTGGGTACCATGAGACTGTACTGTTTTAACGTAAAAATATTACTTTTTATGCACTGTTTTTTTTTTTTATTTATATATTTCTTCATTTTTTAAAATTAATTTATTCAGTTTATATCTACTGAATGTCCGTGTATTCATGTATGTGTCGCATACATGTGACCTTGATATAGATTACAATCGTGAATGTGAATTAGCGGTAAAATAAGAGAATGATAAGTAAAATATCAAAAGAGTCTTCTCGCCAAATACCAATTAATGGCATTATTTAGATAATTAAAGCTAAATTATCAAAGGAGCCTCCTCACCAAATACCACTGTTTGGGATAAAGAGGGTCAGTAGGCACGGAAGTCTTCGGCGGGGCGGCAGCCTTCGCTTTATTGCTTTTGGCGTGGGACAAAGGCTTCAGGGGTTTATACCCGCGTTTAAGACGCGGGAAGCCAGTCTGTTGTACAGCAAATCGGACCTGAAAGGGGAAAAGAAAAGAATTAATCTTGAAGGCTGACCAAAATGTTTGCCGATATGTCTTATGAAATACATGTACATAGGAAATGTTTTAAGTATCGTGTGGAAAATCTGTTTATTGCTTAACAAACAGCTCAGTACATTTAATAAACAATAACAATACCTTAAGAATAACGGCTGCCGGGTAGCTATACAGGTAACTTGTGCAGTAGATTTTGCAGTGTTTTCCATCAGTAGATAGATGAATAATTAATTTTCTCTATCTTAATTCGAAATTTATTGAAGATAGAATGTTTGTGCTATATCCAAGCAGTATTGCAATCATGCCTGATGTGAAGCACCAGGCAAATCATTCTCAATATAATAATAATACTACTTATAATAATAATATTTTAAATATTAATTTTAAAATTTTAAATTTTAAAATAAATAAATAAAATAATAATATAATAATAATAATAATAATAATATTTCAACTATAACCCATGTTGATCGTTGATCAAAGTTGATATCTGCAATTTTGGGGTTACACTCTCTCGGGGAAATGTGTTATTTTTATATTAGACACTTTCATTCCTGTCGATTCGGTTATGAAGGTGACGGTCTAAGGTACAAAAAGAGAGCGAGCAAACTGTACGTGGTCGAAGACGCCATAATAAGGAAGATTTGTTGTTTATCTTGGACATTAAAAAAACATCCATTGTGGTGAATTCGATGCACGCATAGCGGCCAAAGACGATTAATACCAGAAAAGAAAAAGTAATTCTGTTCTATGTCTGGATATGAGTGCAGAAAGAAAGATAATTTGACAAAAAATAATATTTACATCGATTCTTTACTTATGAAGGAGAGAAAATAGGAACTCTTCAATCAAAAAGAATTTGATGAGAAGTGCTAGCCAAGCGGATGATGAAGAACTTATTGATTGATAGCCAAAAGATACAGGAGGTTTCTTGCTTCACAACGGGGATTAAAACCTTGGAGATATCAGACCAATGCATCACCCTTATCTTAACGCGACATTCGCGCTGGTCATTCTCGGGTAGTGTGTTTCAGAATAAGCAATATCTGCCTTTAGAAAGGTTCCGTATCTTTTGTTCACACTTTGGGGTTGTTCAGCCGACTGATATTGGTCCGACAATCTACTATGGGTGTGAATTTTGCAAAACTGAAATGTCGTCTGCTCCAGACCCCAGAGATGTAAATCGGGTCAACAGCCAGAAAAGTTGATAATATTGTTCCGGGTAATATGCAGCAGTGCAGTTATCAATTTTTGCTATGACATAACCTACAATAATAGAAAGTATCTCAAATGGATTGATCGAGCAATTTTCCGGACAGATGAGTTGTTAGAAATGCCACAGGCAAAACATATCCAGGCTTATTATACAGTAAAACGGCCCTGTACAGAACTGTGCGCTTTCTGAATGCGAGATGGAGAAAGCCACTCTGCTGTTCATAGAAGCATATGATTTATCTCGGGAATGGTTTAATGTGTTTGTAAAAGATTGCTACTGAGACGTTACTTCGACAAACGGGACTGAATGTTGATACAGAACCGCCATGTTGCATCTTGTGTTTTTCCTGCCAATAATAAATCGATAAGTCCCGAGTTCATGAAGTTTTAATGATACCACACTATCAGCTTTACGTGGCCTTCGCTGTTGGGATTTACACAAATTAGTGACCAGCTTCTTTAATATGCCATTAACTATGGGACTTATAGAGCCTTTCCTGTTTCCCCAATTATTTCATAGCAAGAAGCCTCGTTAATTTCACATGTGGGTGCGTAATAGACCCTATTTCCAGAGATTAGATCGATCTACTTTAGGTCGACCTAACTCCCTGGGGGTTCACGCTAAATAGCTGTCAGACGAGCGGACACGAAAGTTAATTACCCCCTTACAGCTTGTAGTAGGCGGGACGGACATTTAAGCCGGATTATCTGACAGTAATCCAGTGAGACTCCCTGCGGGGATAGATCGATCTAAAAGCTCTGGGAATACAGCCATAGACACGTCAGAAAATGCGAACAAAATCAGCTCCTAGCGGACCGCTCCATGATAGGATGGGACGTACAAACAAGCCGTCGGATCAATACCTAGGAGTAGAATCATCACATACATGTATAGTACTTACGTCCATATCAGATGAAGCTAGCAACGTTTCATTTTGTTTTAGCTGCAGATGGATACGACAACCCACCCTGCTGCTTAATACTATGTCATTTCTTTTTCTTTCTTTTTTAGATTTATTTATTTATTTATTTATGTTGAATAATCTATTAACACATTCAAATGCCCAATGGTCAGATTTGAGTTTGTTATGACTTTACAAAAGGGGCAAAGATGTAAACAAATGTGCCTCTTGCTTTTTGTTTACTTGAAGAGATGGCCTAAATTATATACATTTTAACTGATAACACACCCTGCCTGTATGCCTGTCTGTCTGTCTGTCACTTTTCAGTACAGTAGGAGTTCAACGAATATATATAATCGATCGCGTGTGATACTGAACACTGTCATTAACTTCAACGTACAAAACCCCACAAGTACTTTTATGCTTTGCGCCTGTAAGGCTTCGGTATACCACGACCCGAGGCACTCGAAATCTCGATCGATAACCCTTCGGAAATAATTACTGGAACACCTACGCGCCATTTGTTTGACGTTTCCTTGAATTCCACGAGGTGTGCTTTTTGTCCGGCAACTCTTGGCATCGATTGGATTTTTCATAGACTTCACAAAGACAAAGAGAATTAAAACTAGAGTCTATATTGGTCTCTCACATGTATACATACGATCTGTGGTATTACAATCAAGGTCGCCGCAGGCGTGACGCGGCGTTTTAAGTGGCTTGTTTGTCAGCCATCATATCAAGTTCAGGACATAGGGGCCTATAACGCCATATTTTTGCACGATTTTCATGTATAGATATGAATGTAAAAATTATGCATGAGACGCAGTTAAGATTATTATTTTTTGCTCAATTCATGATGCTTGCTCACTTTCATGATGCACAGGTTGATACATAGTTCTTTTTAATGTATCCATTCTAAAGTCAACGGTACAATTAAGGTGTTCTATACATGTAAATTATATGACCGAAACTTGACAAGACCAATTTGCCGTTTACAATGGTTGTGTACCATTAAAATTCTCCAAGATCTACAACAATCTAAACATGACGGTGTTCACCCATTCAATACTAAATCAAACTATGACGTTAATCATCACAAAAATAGATTTAACAGTAAATATTTGTTTTACTCTCACTATAGAAGGATGTCATGTATATCTATTCTGATGCCATTTTCTTTTAGTTTCTATTATATAACCAATTGATGCTTTTGGAAACAATTGCCAAGTTTGATGACAGACCTGCATAATATCAGATATAACGAAAGTTTCCTTTTTTAAAAAATAAACAGTCTTCTCATTATGAAATTACTTTCTTAAAAGATGGTGAACCTAAAATGTCCAAATAATTAGCAGATGCATTTAGCCAACGGAGGGACTCTTTCGTAATGAGAACCAACAGGCCTCTAGTTTCCCGGTCGTGCCAGGTAGTGTGTTTCAGATTTTTCTCGCTCACTGACCTATGTTGTGTTTTTTTCTTTTTTTTTTCTTATACTTATAATTATTTTATTTATTTACTTATTTATTTATTTTATTTTATTTTATTTTATTTTATTTTATTTTATTTTATTTTATTTTTTATTTATCTATTTATTTATTTATTTTTGTTGTTGTTGTTGTCAGAAACACTGACTGGAAACTGTGGTAGACTCATATTTCTTGTTAATAATGTGCTAATATTGTCATCCTGCCACTGGACTTGAAACTGCGAGTTTTTGAAGGAACACATAAAACTGCAAGGAAACTTTAAAGAGGAGTACTTTAATTTGTATCCTAACGACGCTTTACATAGAATCGAGATCGGCTTATATACAATTGTTTATAAGACTTATTTTGTGTACTTCATTGAGATACTGAGTACATTTAAACAAGAGATACTTGCCCTATGGCGAGATGAATTACTAAATATGGACAGAGACAGTCCGTGCGGTTTTCTGTACGCCACGCTTGGCAGTTTGCGTGTTTGTCGCATCTCCGTTGATGCCACATCAGTGCATCGTGGCAACAACATTGGAAGCGGTCTTAATGGTTTTAGCAAAAGATTAATTTCGGGAGGAAGACGCTTAATTGCAAACCCCTCTTATTGATCTGCTGTAATCCCTGTCAGTTAATTGACAGTGGTATAAGCGATGAGGTAGAACGAAGAATAGCGGGTTACAGGTGGATATCAATTAAATTTTACCTGCTGGGACTGAAAATTAAACTTCGTGGTAAAACTGTGCTAAAAGCAACTAATTAAAACGTGTTTCATTCTTTCGTCAATAGCGAAGCATTGCGCATAAACGGTGAAGTGTTTTTTCAACGGAATATTCCTGTCATTCGCCCACTTTTTTTAGCATTGGCTGTGAAAGAAGAACAACTTTATTCTGAAGGCCACTTACCATTGGGTCCGACTTGAGCAGTCTTGTGTGAGGCACACTTCTGCGCATGCGTGCGTTGTGGACAGCATGGTGGACAAAATGGAAATCTGTCTTGGAATTCAGCACCTGAAAAGAAAAAATAGGACATGTTAAAAACAAGTTTACATATGTGTATTATTTTTGGAAAAACGGAACGTTGATTTTGAAACGATTTTGGGCTTTCAAATGGATTATTCATCAATTGTTCGTTTGTCTATTCTAATCATTTCGGATATAGGAGAAAAACAATCGGATTTTTACGAAGATTATATTAATATCAATACATTTGTGCTTAACGAGCACGTCATTAATGTCAGTAATGTTATCTCTGACAAATGACTCTGCTTTAAAAACAGCAGAACACAGTTACTAGAAGGAGCCTAAATCAATGAAATAAGTATAGGACATAGAGGCCATACAGAACAGGAGATCCGAGGATCTATCGATCCACGGATCAAATATGACGGACCTCACATGAAAGAAGAGCCGATCAATCTGCTGATGGTCTCCCCGCCTCCACACGCTCTGTCCTTGCTAGGGGTCTAGCAATTAAACCTCGGGGCCGTGATTTAATCCGTTCAATGGCGCGTTGCCATATTTGATCCGTGCCATATTTGATCCGTGGATCAGTAGATACTCGGATCTTCTGTCCTGAATGGCCTCCTTCATGTAGATCACGCCACGATTTGCGAAGAACCCGCGAAGACAATGTGAAACAGTATGATTGCCTAAAGGTAAAGCTCTTTCAAAGAGTCTTTGAAAAAGAAATCCTTTGATAAAAAGAATTGAAGGCAGGAACGCCTCTCGCGTGGTTAAGCGACTTCTCAGAAATGGCATGGCATATACATAACTTCAGAGGCTTTTTGTGCCATTCCAATTCGTTTTATGGTGATTCATTTTCCCTACACTTCAGATTATGACATGCCAAAGTGGTCGACAGTCGATCTTATTTGCTTTGAGGACCGCGTTAAAATCAGATAATCGAAATTGAGAAACCAATGTTGGCAGTTGTAGAAATACGGCTGTAGCAAGATCGATATGCAATTTCCGCTAGAGGTTTTTATTTTCAATGCAGTGACTTTGCTTAAAAGGCACCGATACATCTAAAACCTGATTTTGGGGTGAAGCAAAACGATCGTTATACCATGGAATATAGAAATAATTACATGTGCCCTGAATATTAAAAATAATCGGAAGCACCTGTTTTATCTGAATGCATAAAGCAATGAAACTCATGGAATGAGATCGCGGATTCAATGCATAATTACATTTTCTGGAAAATGTAACCGAAATCTAATGAGTAAACTAGCTGTCTCTTTTGTAAACAATAGCGAAATTCTTAGAAACTGATCAACTGAAAAATTTATGCTGAATATTGCAGTGAGCTGTATTAAGTTGAATAACGCTGTTTTGCATCTATTTATCTTTTTTGACGGACGCTTTGTGAGCTTGTTTATCAGAGACAGCTCATTGACGTCACTATGTGTCAGAGGACGTGCAACTCCCCAAACCACCACATCATTACTTCAGTTGAAGACAAATCTACTGTTAACTTTCCCTAACCATGTTAAACTTGCCATTTGTCTGATTGAGACTTAATGTAATTTTTTTCTAAAGAAAGATTATATTGTATTTACCCAGAGGACAGATATATATGCCTTTGAGATATATCGGAAGCATAAAAATAGTTGGGTTTGTTTCGATGAATATAGAACTCCCTCGCAAGTCATGCATTTTTTTTCGTGAAAATAACGTTATTTGTCGATCAAGATAACACCCATGTTAAACACGGGGAGGTGAGATTGCACGTTGCTTAGATCTACACGCAAATTTCCGACACAAGTGGCCATTTCACCTGGAGAATCAAGTCAATGTTTTTCAAAGGTGGGCAATAAATGTGTTTTCAAATTACTTTCAGAACGAACAAATGCAAATTGATCTGGCTGTTCTTTAAGTACCATATGGTACACACTTCCGAAGTGCAGCGGAAAGGGGGCGGTACATTTCTATCTGGTGGTAAACCATATAACTCAATAGGACGGTGTCACGTAGGAAAAGAACAATGCATAAAAAGGTGGCAGCCATAAATTCTATTTAAGGGTCACTCTGCTCGCGTTCGAAAACAAATTTCAGTGTCCATTCCCGTAGCCTTGTAATATGGTAAGTAACCTGATATTGGTTATACAAGATTTGAACGGAAATACACCAGTTAGAAACCTTGTTGTCAAGAAACTTGTTATTACTTGTTAAGTCAAGGTTGGGTCAAACACAAATTCTCCTTAGTAACAATTGGATTTAACTGACAATAACTTTACAATCAACTTTGAGATTGTTCGTTATCTTTTTCATTCATGGAAATTGAAGAAAACTAACATCATTTTAAACACCCTTGACTTGATAAAGGAACCAAGAAAGCGACTATTAGGTTGAAAATTAAATCCAAAATTTTGAATTCCAAAATCGAAATGCGTTCATGATTTTCCAGTATAAAATTTTGCATAATATAGTACCGTTTCGGGGACTTGTTTAAAAAGCAGTCAAATGAAACAACTGAAAGACGGAACATTGGTGATTGTGTAAAAGCAAGATAAAAGATGTATCTTAAGGATAATCCAATTTCAGCTATCCACCTTTGGTAACGTATTCAGTTAACTTGATTGATTTAAAATACGAGACAACAATCCGTCTTTGTCGAGGCGGGAAAAGGCAGTCCCCTCAATATGGTGCCCTATATATGTTTTCTGTCTATGTAGGATAGAAGTATTGTTTTCAAACCGACAACACTCAAGGGGATAAGATAAAAAAGATCGATATCGTTTGTGTTGGGGAAATTAAGTATTATTTGTGAATAATGATTATTCATGGTTTTGATATGACAACTAAGCCGCGTTAGGAGATTGTCGTGTGCCAAGGGAAGGAACGCACTTTTACTTGGTCACGCGAAATTGTAGGTGCTTTATTTCAAAACTTAGGTTGTTACATGTAAATAATAACTTTTTACTCCTCTGTTCCAAATCTAAACTTTATATTTTCTTAAGCGTATTTCATAATTGTGTTATTTTTCTTAACAATTTCTTAAATCAAGTTAGAAAATTTTGCGAAATCTCAAGTCAGAGAAATCCAAGATAACGCCGAGGGAAATATGGTTTTTGTTTGGTTTTAAAGCCGTTTGCCTTCACACATTTCTGACTTTTATTGAAATGCCCATTTGTTATGGATCCAACTCTTGATCACTTTAATCTAACTGAATTTGCTTTATTATAGATTCACCATTATTTGCGTCTCAATTTTAACTTTTGNTTATCCGCGTTTGAAAATGTCCCAAGGTCATTTATTATACACACGTCTACATAGAATGCAAAGCTTTTTAACTTTTCCCATAAAGACCTTAAAAACGACAAACCCAATAAAAGTATCTTATATCGACATTTCCATTTGAGTAAAGAAAGACAAAGTTATCTAAATGACTGACCGGTCATTTACGCCTAACCTATTTGATGAAAAAATGATGTAATTCAAGTGCATGGATCGGTCGCACATTGATTCGCGAGTAAGAGCAATTTTCTTTTTTCGAAGAAAATTCGATTTAGAGGAACAATCCCAGACATGATACATTTAACCACATGGATAGTTGTTCGTTTGCAAAAGTCGTTTAAGGTTAGGCAGAGTTTGGGGGAAAATATCAGAATTCTTACTACTGACATCACTTGAAATACTTACAAAGTTTTCGTATAAATCCGGGTGCATGTAATCGATACCTGGAAAATATAAACAGAATAAGACATTTTGCCATATGCTAAGCGACACTGATATTGAAGCCAGCATAAAATTATTTTTGATTCAGAACATTATGGTTAATATTATGGATATTCAGTAACTAGGAATAAGATACACACAGTATTTTAAAAACGCCATGTCCGCCAGCGTCTTACCGTCGTCCATAATGGCGGTGGTGACCCCCTTCCCAGTGATGCCTAATGCCCAGGCTGCCTCAACGTTCAGGTCCAGCTTTAACTTGCCTCCCGCCTGCGCTGTGTTGTTCTGAAGTTCAAAACGTGGATATATTAAACTCTTAATACGGCAATAATGAATAATGGGATAATGAAAAAATTAGAAAATTGGGTATCATGAGACTGTACTGTTTTAACGTAAAAATATTACTTTTTATGCACTGTTTTTTTTTTTTAATTTATATATTTCTTCATTTTTTAAAATTAATTTATTCAGTTTATATCTACTGAATGTCCGTGTATTCATGTATGTGTCGCATACATGTGACCTTGATATAGATTACAATCGTGAATGTGAATTAGCGGTAAAATAAGAGAATGATAAGTAAAATATCAAAAGAGTCTTCTCGCCAAATACCAATTAATGGCATTATTTAGATAATTAAAGCTAAAATATCAAAGGAGCCTCCTCACCAAATACCACTGTTTGGGATAAAGAGGGTCAGTAGGCACGGAAGTCTTCGGCGGGGCGGCAGCCTTCGCTTTATTGCTTTTGGCGTGGGACAAAGGCTTCAAGGGTTTATACCCGCGTTTAAGACGAGGGAAGCCAGTCTGTTGTACAGCAAATCGGACCTGAAAGGGGAAAAGAAAAGAATTAATCTTGAAGGCTGACCAAAATGTTTGCCGATATGTCATATGAATTACATCAAAAATGTTTTTAAAAAATATCGTGTGGAAAACGTGTTTATTGGATATCAAACAGTGTCATTAATACGTAAATAAATAAATAAATAAGTAAATAAATACAGTAAATAAATACGTAAATCGTAAACAATAACAATACGTTTAGAAAAACGGCTGCAACATAACGGCTACAGATAACTCGTACAGTAGATTTTGCAGTGTTTTTCCATGAACAGATAGATAAATAATTAATTTTCTCTATCTTAATTCGAAATTTATTGAAGATAGATTGTTTGTGCCATATCCAACCAGTATTGCAATCATGCCTGATGTGAAGCGCCAGGCAAATCATTCTCAATATAAGGAATACTTTCAACTATAACCCATGTTGATCGATGATCAAAGTTGATATCTGGGGAAATATGTCATTCCTATATTAGACACTTTTATTCCTGTCGATTCGGTTATGAAGACCACGGTCTGATGTACAAAAAGAGAGCGAGCAAACGGAACGTGGTCGAAGATGCCATAATAACGAAGATTTGTTGTGTATCATAGACATTGAAAAAAAAACAACATCCATTGTGGTGAATTCGATACACGCATAGCGGTCAAAGATGATTAATACCAGAAAAGAAAAAGCAGAGTCCAGAAAGAAAGATAATTTGACAAAAAAATAATATTTACATCGATTCTTTACTTATGAAGGAGAGAAAATAGGAACTCTTCAATCAAAAAGAATTTGATGAGAAGTGCAAGCCAAGCGGATGATGAAGAACTTATTGATTGATAGGCAAAAGATACAGGAGGTTTCTTGCTTCACAACGGGGATTAAAACCTTGGAGATATCAGACCAATGCATCACCCTTATCTTAACGCGACATTCGCGCTGGTCATTCTCGGGTGGTGTGTTTCAGAGTAAGCAACATCTGCCTTTAGAAAGGTTCCGTATCTTTTGTTCACACTTTGGGGTTGTTCAGCCGCCTGATATCGGTCCGACAATCTACTATGGGTGTAAAATTTGCAAAATTCAAATGTCGTCTGCTCCAGACCCCAGAGATGTAAATTGAGTCAACAGCCAGAAAAGTTGATAATATATTGTTCCGGGTAATAAGCAGCAATGCAGTTATTAATTTCTGCAATGACATAACCTGCAATAATAGAAAGGATCTCAGATGGATTGACAAAACAATTTTCCGGCCAGATAAATTGTTAGAAATGCCACAGGCAAAACATATCCAGGCTTATTATACAGTAAAACGGCCCTGTACAGAACTGTGCTTTCTGAATGCGAGATGGAGAAAGCCGCTCTGCTGTTCATAGAAGCATATGATTTATCTCGGGAATGGTTTAATGTGTTTGTAAAAGATTGCTACTGAGACGTTACTTCGACAAATGGGACTGAATGTTGAAACAGAGCCGCCATGTTGCATCTTGTGTTTTTCCTGCCAATAATAAATCGATAAGTCCCGAGTTCATGAAATTTTAATGATACCACACTATCAGCTTTAGGTGGCCTTCGCTGTTGGGATTTACACAAATTAGTGACCAGCTTCTTTAATATGCCATTAACTATGGGACTTATAGAGCCTTTTCTGTTTCCCCAATTATTTCATAGCAAGAAGCCTCGTTAATTTCGCATGTGGGTGCGAAATAGACACGTCAGAAAATGCGAACAAAATCAGCACCTTGCGGACCGCTATATGATAGGAAGGGACGTACAAACAAGCCGTCGGATCAATACCTAGGAGTAGAATCATCACATACATGTATAGTACTTACGTCCATATCAGATGAAGCTAGCAACGTTTCATTTTGTTTTAGCTGCAGATGGATACGACAACCCACCCAGCTGCTTAATACTATGTCATTTCTTTTTCTTTCTTTTTTAGATTTATTTATTTATTTATTTATGTTGAATAATCATTCAAATGCCCATGGTCAGATTTGAGTTTGTTATGACTTTACAAAAGGGGCAAAGATGTAAACAAATGTGCCTCTTGCTTTTTGTTTACTTGAAGAGATGACCAAACTATATACATTTTAACTGATAACACACCCTGTCTGTCTGTCTGTCTGTCTGTCTGTCACTTTTCAGTAGAGTAGGAGTTCAACGAATATATATATATATAATCGATCGCGTGTGATACTGAACACTGTCATTAACTTCAGCGTACAAAACCCCACAAGTACTTTTATGCTTTGCGCCTGTAAGGCTTCGGTATACCACGACCCGAGGCACTCGAAATCTCGATCGATAACCCTTCGGAAATAATTACTGGAACACCTACGCGCCATTTGTTTGACGTTTCCTTGAATTCCACGAGGTTTGCTTTTTGTCCGGCAACTCTTGGTATCGATTGGATTTTTCATAGACTTCACAAAGACAAAAAGAATTAAAACTAGAGTCTATATTGGTCTCTCACATGTATACATACGATCTGTGGTATTACAATCAAGGTCGCCGCAGGCGTGACGCGGCGTTTTAAGTGGCTTGTTTGTCAGCCATCATATCAAGTTCAGGACATATAACGCCATATTTTTGCACGATTTTCATGTATGGAAATGAATGCGAACATTATACATGAGACGCAGTTAAGATTATTCCAGTCTTGCTCAATTCCCGATGCTTGCTTACTTTCACGATGCACAGGTTGATACATAGTTCTTTTTAATGTATCCATTCTAAAGTCAACGGTACAATTAAGGTGTTCTATACATGTAAATTATATGACCGAAACTTGCCAAGACCAATTTGCCGTTTACAATGGATGTGTATTTTTAAAATTCTCCAAGATTTACAACACTCTAAACATGACGGTGTTCACCCGTTCAATACAAAATCAAACTATGACGTTAATCGTCACAAAAATAGATTCAACAGTAAATATTTGTTTTACTCTCACTATAGAAGGATGTCATATATATCTATTCTGATGCCATTTTCTTTTAGTTTCTGTTATATGACCAATTGATGCTTTTGGAAACAATTGCCAAGTTTGATGACAGACCTGCATAATATCAGAAATAACGAAGGTTTCCTTTTTTAAAAAATAATCAGTCTTCTCATTATGAAATTACTTTCTTAAAAGATGGTGAACCTAAAATGTCCAAATAATTAGCAGATGCATTTAGCCAACGGAGGGACTCTTTCGTAATGAGAACCAACAGGCCTCTAGTTTCCCGGTCGTGCCAGGTAGTGTGTTTCAGATTTTTCTCGCTCACTGACCTATGTTGTGTTTTTTTTCTTTTTTTTTCTTATACTTATAATTATTTTATTTATTTATTTATTTATTTATTTTATTTTATTTTATTTTATTTTATTTTATTTTATTTTATTTTATTTTATTTTTTATTTATCTATTTATTTATTTATTTTTGTTGTTGTTGTTGTCAGAAACACTGACTGGAAACTGTGGTAGACTAATATTTCTTGTTTATAATGTGCTAATATTGTCATCCTGCCACTGGACTTGAAACTGCGAGTTTTTGAACGAACACATCAAACTGTAAGGAAACTTTAAAGAGGAGTACTTTCATTTGTATCCTAACAACGCTTTACATAGAATCGGGATCGGCTTATATACAATTATTTATAAGACTTATTTTGTGTACTTCATTGAGATACTGAGTACATTTAAACAAGAATTTTCCACTGATGCTTGCCCTATGGCGAGATGAATTACTAAATATGGACAGAGACAGTCCGTGCGGTTTTCTGTACGCCACGCTTGGCACTTTGCGTGTTTGTCGCATCTCCGTTGATGCCACATCAGTGCATCGTGGCAACAACATTGGAAGCGGTCTTAATGGTTTTAGCAAAAGATTAATTTCGGGAGGAAGACGCTTAATTGCAAACCCCTCTTATTGATCTGCTGTAATCCCTGTCAGTTAATTGACAGTGGTATAAGCGATGAGGTAGAACGAAGAATAGCGGGTTACAGGTGGATATCAATTAAATTTTACCTCCTGGGACTGAAAATTAAACTTCGTGGTAAAACTGTGCTAAAAGCAACAAATTAAAACGTGTTTCATTCTTTCGTCAATAGCGAACCATTGCGCATAAACGGTGAAGTGTTTTTTCAACGGAATATTCCTGTCATTCGCCCACTTTTTTTTTTCATTGGCTTTGAAAGAAGAACACCTTTATTCTGAAGGGCACTTACCATTGGGTCCGACTTGAGCAGTCTTGTGTGAGGCACACTTCTGCGCATGCGTGCGTTGTGGACAGCATGGTGGACAAAATGGAAATCTGTCTTGGAATTCAGCACCTGAAAAGAAAAAAATAGGACATGTTAAAAACAAGTTTACATATGTGTATTAATATTATTTTTGGAAAAACGGAACGTTGATTTTGAAATGGTTTTGGGCTTTCAAATAAATTATTCATCATAATTGTTCGTTTGTCTATTCTAATCATTTCGGATATAGGAGAAAAACAATCGGATTTTTACGAAGATTATATTAATATCAATGCATTTGTGCTTAACGAGCACGTCATTAATGTCAGTAATGTTATTTCTGACAATTTACTCTGCTTTCAAAACAGCAGTACACAGTTACTAGAGGGGACCTAAATCAATGAAATGAGTATACAGACCTAGAGGCCATTCAGAACAGGAAATCCGAGTATCTACTGATCCACAGACCAAATATGGCGGACCCCACATGAAAGAAGAGCCGACTAATCAGCTGATGGTCTCCCCATCTCCACACGCACCGTCCTTGCAGGGGTCTAGCATTTAAACCTCGGGGCCGTGATTTAATCCGTTCAGTGGCGCGTATGGAGGCGGGCAGACCATCAGCGGTTTAGTCAGGTCTTCTTTCATGTAGGGCCCGCCATATTTGATCCGTGGATCAGTAGATACTCGGATCTTCTGTCCTGAATGGCCTCTTTCATGTAGATCACACCACGATTTGCGAAGAACCCGCGAAGACAATGTGAAACAGTATGATTGCCTAAAGGTAAAGCTCTTTCAAAGAGTCTTTGAAAAAGAAATCCTTTGATAAAAAGAATTGAAGGCAGGAACGCCTCTCGCGTGGTTAAGCGACTTTTCAGAAATGGCATGGCATATACATAACTTCAGAGGCTTTTTGTGCCATTCCAATTCGTTTTATGGTGATTCATTTTCCCTACACTTCAGATTATGACATGCCAAAGTGGTCGACAGTAGATCTTATTTGCTTTGAGGACCGCGTTAAAATCAGATAATCGAAATTGAGAAACCAATGTTGGCAGTCGTAGAAATACGGCTGTAGCAAGATCGATATGCAATTTCCGCTAGAGGTTTTTATTTTCAATGCAGTGACTTTGTTTAAAAGGCACCGATATATCTAAAACCTGATTTTGGGGCGAAGCAAAACGATCGTTATACCATGAAGTATAGAAATAATTACATGTACCCTGAATATTAAAAATAATAGGAGGCACCTGTTTTATCTGAATGCATAAAGCAATGAAACTCATGTAATGGATCGCAGATACAATGCATAATTAAATTTTCTGGAAAATGTAACCAAAATCTAATGAGTAAACTAGCTTTCTATTTTGTAAACGATAGCGATGATCAACTGAAAAAAATTATGATGAAGATTACAGTGAGCTGTATTAAGTTGAATAACTCTGTTTTGCATCTATTTATCTTTTTTTTTTTTTTTTTTGACGGATGCTTTGTGAGCTTGTTTATCAGAGACAGCTCATTGACGTCACTATGTGTCAGAGGACGTGCAACTCCCCAAACCACCACATCATTACTCCAGTTGAAGACAAATCTACTGTTAACTTTCCCTAACCATGTTAAACTTGCCATTTGTCTGATTGAGACTTAATGTAATTTTTTTCTAAAGAAAGATTATATTGTATTTACCCAGAGGACAGATATATGCCTTTGAGATATATCGGAAGCATAAAAATAGTTGGGTTTGTTGCGATGAATATAGAACTCTCTCGCAAGTCATGCATTTTTTTTTTCGTGAAAATAACTGTCGATCAAGATAACACCCATGTTAAACACGGGGAGGTGAGATTGCACGTTGCTTAGATCTACACGCAAATTTTCGACACAAGTGGCCATTTCACCTGGAGAATCAAGTCAATGTTTTTCAAAGGTGGGCAATAAATGTGTTTTCAAATTACTTTCAGAACGAACAAATGCAAATTGATCTGGCTGTTCTTTAAGTACCATATGGTACACACTTGTGCAGCGGAAAGGGGGCGGTACATTTCTATCTGGTGGTAAACCATATAACTCAATAGGACCGTGTCACGTAGGAAAAGAACAATGCATAAAAAGGTGGCAGCCATAAATTCTATTTAAGGGTCACTCTGCTCGCGTTCGAAAACAAATTTCAGTGTCCATTCGCGTAGCCTTGTAATATGGTAAGTATCCTGATATTGGTTATACAGAATTTGAACGGAAATACACCAGTTAGAAACCTTGTTGTCAAGAAACTTGTTATTACTTGTTAAGTCAAGGTTGGGTCAAACACAAATTCTCCTTAGTAACAATTGGATTTAACTGACAATAACTTTACAATCAACTTTGAGATTGTTCGTTATCTTTTTCATTCATGGAAATTGAAGAAAACTAACATCATTTTAAACAGCCTTGACTTGATAAAGGAACCAAGAAAGCGACTATTAGGTTGAAAATTAAATCCAAAATTTTGAATTCCAAAATCGAAATGCGTTCATGATTTTCCAGTATAAAATTTTGCATAATATAGTACCGTTTCGGGGACTTGTTTAAAAAGCAGTCAAATGAAACAACTGAAAGACGGAACATTGGTGATTGTGTAAAAGCAAGATAAAAGATGTATCTTAAGGATAATCCAATTTCAGCTATCCACCTTTGGTAACGTATTCAGTTAACTTGATTGATTTAAAATACGAGACAACAATCCGTCTTTGTCGAGGCGGGAAAAGGCAGTCCCCTCAATATGGTGCCCTATATATCTTTTCTGTCTATGTAGGATAGAAGTATTGTTTTCAAACCGACAACACTCAAGGGGATAAGATAAAAAAGATCGATATCGTTTGTGTTGGGGAAATTAAGTATTATTTGTGAATAATGATTATTCATGGTTTTGATATGACAACTAAGCCGCGTTAGGAGATTGTCGTGTGCCAAGGGAAGGAACGCACTTTTACTTGGTCACGCGAAATTGTAGGTGCTTTATTTCAAAACTTACGTTGTTACATGTAAATAATAACTTTTTACTCCTCTGTTCCAAATCTAAACTTTATATTTTCTTAAGCGTATTTCATAATTGTGTTATTTTTCTTAACAATTTCTTAAATCAAGTTAGAAAATTTTGCGAAATCTCAAGTCAGAGAAATCCAAGATAACGCCGAGGGAAATATGGTTTTTGTTTGGTTTTAAAGCCGTTTGCCTTCACACATTTCTGACTTTTATTGAAATGCCCATTTGTTATGGATCCAACTCTTGATCACTTTAATCTACCTGAATTTGCTTTATTATAGATTCACCATTATTTGCGTCTCAATTTTAACTTTTGCTCTTTCTTACTGACTGACTGACTTAGAGAAGCGTTATTACAGATAGGTGACCTAAAACCAGAGAATAATGAAACAGGAAAAACATAGCTATAGGCATTAAACTCAAACTTTCCTTATTAAGGTGTGTTTCCTGGTTTGTGTCGAAGAGAAGTAATCACTAGGTTAAATACCAGAGATATAAAAACGACCCGTGTGAGATAGTCTTTACATGATTTTTTAGTTTGTGAAAGATTATTTAGGATGGACTTTTCAAATTTATAGAACAGCCGTTGAAGAAGTGCGATTTATTTATATGTACGATGGCGTAAGATCTGGACAAAATCTATTCGTTCTTGCATGCATTTCTCCCAAAATTCTTCATTTTAGACAGCTTTATCATTAACGTTTAAACATGAAACCGGTAAATTTTGTGTTGTCTTTTTTAAGGTCAAATACGAAAGAGAAAAAGCGATCGATATTTTGAATAGAAATCCTCATACATGTACCAAATTGTGTTAATTATTGCTGAATTGGAAAATCCGAAAAATATACTATGCTAAGAAATTTATGATATGGAGGAATGAAGACAACTTTGCCAATATACACGTTGAAAATCATTGTTATCAAACTGATTTTTATGAATAATAATAGAGAGGGTTAAGTCTACCAAATGGCCATAAAGATGTTTTACACCTACCGGTCCAATGTATGAAAATCCTGTATTTTTGGCAACTCTTTTGGCTATTTCTTCTCCTCCGTCGCCATGAAGGGTAACCAACCAAGAATTGGTAACAACCTCCTTACATAGCGATCTTAAAATATGGCAGTTCAGGAAAACGAGCAACAACCACACGTCAGTCATTCGCCATAATGGTGAAATGGCCAAAATTTTCATCCCTCGACCTCTCTTGTTGCCTGTTTTCTATTCCAACAGTTCGCGTCTGTTCGTTTTCCAGCCCTGCTTCAGTTACCCTTCTTAGTGTCCTTCTGTTTTCTTCAGTCCCTGTATTGTCGTGTCTGTAGTTGAAATTAATCTGCAAACCGAAAAGTCACATCTGGAAGGAGTTCCTGCCGTATTGTCGACCCACGGCACAACGTCATTGGTGGACCCCTACCTACGTCACCGCGCACGTCACTGTTTGAAACAGGCTGTAGGTCCCGGCCATTTCAACAAATAATTATCATTGGAGTCTAAATAAAGCTTATTAATATTGAAAGGAGGCTTTATCAGTGCGGACAATTACAATATATTGGAGTCACAATTCCAAGAGTCGTGTCTGCTGCCATTTGCATAGGAGCACGATAATATATTGATTGCATGTAGGAACATTGCGGTCGATAAAAATAATGGCTGCCCACGAGTATTTTCTCTGCTTTCAAGGAGTAGATCCAATCGTTATGGGCAATGGCGCTTGAAAAGAACATATTTCGCTCCTTCCTTCTGGGTAATATCACACCGCGAACAGCGAAAGTGTATTTTCTGGGGCCAGACATTAAGAGAGTCCATATATCAACAAGATTGCGAACAGTGGTAGTGTGTATTCTTCGTCTTATTCCAGACAATATATGCCCTCTGCCTTGCCAAAAGATATATCTCTCTGACATGTTAAAAACACTTTCTTCAGTTTTGCCTTTTTTTGTCATTTCTAAACAAAATACATACATGCCTAAGCAGTAAGTGTGTTTGGAAATCTGTAGTTTAATGAGATATTGCATTAGGCCTTCAAAGAACGGCCTGGCCGCGCGCTTCAGTTTGAATTGGACTAAATACAACCCTGTCTAAATAGACTTCACTTTTCTTTAGTCAGCTTTCGTGATGCTGTAGATCTATCAAAAGGCCTCTCGAGGATTTCAGCTCGGAAATTAACAATAACCTTGTTGCCACGGCAACCGCGTGCTTTGATGTGTAACTTCCAGTCTCTCGTTTATCATACAAATATTGCGGATAATGGACTTCGTATCTCATCCATTGTGTTATCACTTGAGAGAGAGGGGGGTGGGGGAGAATGACAGTCAGATCTTCCAGTGGGGAAGAATTAAGCTCTCTATATATGATTACAAGATACACTAGGAGGTGTAAGAAAGCAACCACACGATGGTTTGAAATCGTTCTATGACAAGCTGGGAGACGTGTAGCTCTACAATTATGTCGATACAGGCGTTATAACTGATTAGTACAGGTGTGAAGGGCGTCACAATGCTTCAATATTAAGACGATATATATCTTTTTCCCAAAAGACGTTTGATAGGTTGGTCGCAATACGTTAGACGTAGCCTAACATTATTTATTGAAAATGTCGGCCCTATGTCGTCGATAGTAATGTATCGTTTATTGCTAGTATCTCCTCCTTTGTGTGACCGTATTAATACTTAAATCTATCAAGGAACTAATTACCACCAGGAGACATCAGCGTAGTCGATATTCTTTATACCGGCTGTGTGTATCAGTCACAGCAGGCGAGACAATGTATAATATCTATTCTAATTAAAATCACCGGTGTATGTAGATAATACTTCCTGCCTTAACCAGAATGGCCTCGATTTGCTAAATTGGTAATCAGCATGATCAAGTCGACAATAAATTGGCAATCCGCTTTATTTCAGGCTTTCTGAATCTCGTAATCTGATAAGATGGCGTGGACGTATATTACACAGCGGGATCAAAAATCATCCGCTAGGTGTGTGTGTGTATATATAGTCCAGGGATTTCGCCTTTGCTCATTCATTAGTTTTACGTGTTCAGTTGAAGACACTGCATGGGCATTAATCCACTATGTTCACTCAATATAAGCATAGAATTACTTCTATGACGTAAGCAAACACTTGAAGAGAACATAGGCTGAAAAAGCTCTAAATTTGAATCTGCACTCTTCATAAAAAGCCCTTTAAGATTAGGAGAGGTTGTTTTTGCCTTTGTTGCTTACTTTAAACTAAACTACTTTAAACCTAACTAAAAAAACAAAAATTATGGGCGGTTTGTGATAAAATTGTCAAAATAGGCCAGAAATTGGCTTTCTAAGAATCGATCACACAATGTTGGTGATTCACTGAATTTATTATAATGAAAATTGAGTTGCCAGAGCGGATGTCTATGGTGGCCCCTATTGGATATTTCGACTTTTAGAGTTTGCGACTTTTAGAGTTTTCGACTTTTCGAGTTTGCGACTTTTAGAGTTTTCGACTTTTCGAGTTTGCGACTTTTATAGTTTTTGACTTTTCGAGTTTTCGACTTTTTTACCAGTCATACACTGGCTGCGCGTAGGAAGATATTCAGAAGTAAGAAGCAAGGTAGATCTCGACGAAGTCATGCAGCCAACTGGTCACTTTTTGGCCATAGCAACACTAACATTTTTAGATATCTCATGTCACAGAAACTGTGCAACTTATTCACGTCAATGGAAGGTGGCTTTTCGCATGAGAAAATTGACTATCAAGTTTCATTAAAATCTAACCTGGCAACTTTTTTACCAGTCGGAATANCACGGCACAACGTCATTGGTGGACCCCTACCTACGTCACCGCGCACGTCACTGTTTGAAACAGGCTGTAGGTTCCCCGGCCATTTCAACAAATAATTATCATTGGAGTCTAAATAAAGCTTATTAATATTGAAAGGAGGCTTTATCAGTGCGGACAATTACAATATATTGGAGTCACAATTCCAAGAGTCGTGTCTGCTGCCATTTGCATAGGAGCACGATAATATATTGATTGCATGTAGGAACATTGCGGTCGATAAAAATAATGGCTGCCCACGAGTATTTTCTCTGCTTTCAAGGAGTAGATCCAATCGTTATGGGCAATGGCGCTTGAAAAGAACATATTTCGCTCCTTCCTTCTGGGTAATATCACACCGCGAACAGCGAAAGTGTATTTTCTGGGGCCAGACATTAAAAGAGTCCATATATCAACAAGATTGCGAGCAGTGGTAGTTTGTATTCTTCGTCTTATTCCAGACAATATATGCCCTCTGCCTTGCCAAAAGATATATCTCTCTGACATGTTAAAATCACTTTCTTCAGTTTTGCCTTTTTTGTCATTTCTAAACAAAATACATACATGCCTAAACAGTAAGTGTGTTTGGAAATCTGTAGTTTAATGAGATATTGCATTAGGCCTTCAAAGAACGGCCTGGCCGTGCGCTTCAGTTTGAATTGGACTAAATACAACCCTGTCTAAATAGACTTCACTTTTCTTTAGTCAGCTTTCGTGATGGTGGAGATCTATCAAAAGGCCTCTCGAGGATTTCAGCTCGGAAATTAACAATAACCTTGTTGCCACGGCAACCGCGTGCTTTGATGTGTAACTTCCAGTCTCTCGTTTATCATACAAATATTGCGGATAATGGACTTCGTATCTGATCCATTGTGTTATCACTTGAGAGAGAGAGGGGGGGAGAATGACAGTCAGATCTTCCAGTGGGGAAGAATTAAGCTCTCTATATATGATTACAAGATACAAGATACACCAGGAGGTGTAAGAAAGCAACCACACGATGGTTTGAAATCGTTCTATGACAAGCTGGGAGACGTGTAGCTCTACAATTATGTCGATACAGGTGTTATAACTGATTAGTACAGGTGTGAAGGGCGTCACAATGCTTCAATATTAAGACGATATATATCTTTTTTCCCAAAAGACGTTTGATGGGTTGGTCGCAATACGTTAGACGTAGCCTAACATTATTTATTGAAAATGTCGGCGCTATGTCGTCGATAGTAATGTATCGTTTATTGCTAGTATCTCCTCCTTTGTGTGACCGTATTAATACTTAAATCTATCAAGGAACTAATTACCACCAGGAGACATCAGCGTAGTCGATATTCTTTCTACCGGCTGTATGTATCAGTAACAGCAGGCGAGACAATGTATTATATCTATTCTAATTAAAATCACCGGTGTATGTAGATAATACTTCCTGCGTTAACCAGAATGGCCTCGATTTGCTAAATTGGTAATCAGCATGATCAAGTCGACAATAAATTGGCAATCCGCTTTATTTCAGGCTTTCTGAATCTCGTAATCTGATAAGATGGCGTGGACGTATATTACACAGCGGGATCAAAAATCATCCGCTAGGTGTGTATATATATATATATAGTCCAGGGATTTCGCCTTTGCTCATTCATTAGTTTTACGTGTTCAGTTGAAGACACTGGGCATTAATCCACTATGTTCACTCAATATAAGCATAGAATTACTTCTATGACGTAAGCAAACACTTGAAGAGAACATAGGCTGAAAAAGCTCTAAATTTGAATCTGCACTCTTCATAAAAAGCCCTTTAAGATTAGGAGAGGTTGTTTTTGCCTTTGTTGCTTACTTTAAACTAAACTACTTTAAACCTAACTAAAAAAAACAAAAATTATGGGCGGTTTGTGATAAAATTGTCAAAATAGGCCAGAAATTGGCTTTCTAAGAATCGATCACACAATGTTGGTGATTCACTGAATTTATTATAATGAAAATTGAGTTGCCAGAGCGGATGTCTGCGCTCTCCGAGTGTTTTTTCCAGTTTCATACATGTAATTAATAGGTCTGGTTTCCTGCGATGGCATTTCATGTTCATTACTATAATATGCAAGGTATTCGTGATTACTCCTTGTGTACAAGGTAACGGCAGGTACCTTTTGTTATTTTTTTAAATGTGCGAACGAGTTCGACTTGTTCGATGCTTGTTTGTTTGTACGTGTTCGAACTTATTCATGAAAAAAAGAGCTTAAATTCTGCACTTTCGCAATCACCTCAATAGATTCACCTTCCTAATTTTATATTTTATTATAAAATTTGAATCCAATAAGCTTGTCAAAATAAAATGAAAATGTATAAAAAGCTTCTACACAAATGTACGATACCAGTTATGCGCTATGTACACTGACGCTACTTTTACGTTAACTAAACAATATACAAATACATATCTGGCGCAGAAAATTATGTTCAAAGACATATTGGATCTTATTAACTATTATAAACGTTCAACATTTCCATCCACTTACTTTCCAGAAATGCAAAAGAAAAAAAAAACATTTGTGCTGTGATGAAATGCAAATACAACTGTTTCAATTAACACTCCAATAAATTGATATTCCCCTAACAGCAAAGTGAGGATTACCTTCACTGCGTTAATTTACACATTTCTACAATCATTAAACAGGAACAAACATAATAACATTTTGTAATCTGGAATGAAATTTTTACAGCAAAACAAACTATAAAAGAAGAAACATCGAAGAAAGAGTGGAAATAAGAAAGACTATTCATAAACCAAAGAGGAGAATTATATACATTTTTGCTTTGTTCAATAATAGGAATAATGGTAAAACTATTAATCAACGTTTTGCGTCACTTGCCGTATCCACACATTTTAGATTTTAACTGAAATTATTGGTTTCATATTTCAAGTTAATTGCACGTTTTATGGTACATGGTTGTTGGTTGCATTACAGGGGGGAAACATGAATTAAATGGAAAAAACAAAACTACTACGCCAAAAACAGGACATAAAAAAGAGCAATCATACTAGCAAAGTAAAAAACACGCAAATCTATCCAATACATGTAGCACCGCATTCATGGAACATCTACTGCATAGTATGATAGTATGTACAAGAAAATAAATGACATTAAAACATGGAAAAACCATAAACATACTAAACTCAACACAGGTCATATTAGGACAAGTAATGATGACGTCATTCTACTTTTCATTTTCACAACCTACGTAAATTGAAGGAGACATTTCACTATAATACTAAATATACAACCTTTGCTTTCTGGTCCCAAGTGTTATAATACATATATTTACTCCATTTTGATACTTAATTATTTTAAAATACAAATATTCAAATAATCAGTCACTTTTTTCACAAAAACCACTGATGTCAATTTTGTTAAAAAATCCTGTCACTAACTTACATTTCCCTTCACATAATAAAAAGCAATCACAGGACTTCATGGTGAGACTTACAAAATAGTATGTTAATTACTCTATCATGGGTATGATTGTGAAGGTTCACATATCTTGTATGCAGTTTTAGTCTTAGTTTAAGCTGTGTGTGTGTGTGCGCGTGTGTGTGTGTGTGTGAATTAACAACTGAGATAACACATCAAATAATTCCAACAAAATATGGTCCCTGGTTTAACAGTACCTTCTCTCAGGTATAAAATTCTGAACTGTTGAAGCAAAACTACCTCTCTTTCAGCTATAATATTCAAGTTCCTCTAACTTTGGTCACTAATGGAGTCACTGGTGTCAGCCAAGCAATTATCAATGACTCTTATGAGGTAATTATTCTCCATGAGCAAGCTATTCATGCATAACAATTAACTTTGGCTTTCTCAGACCACCCATGGTGGTGGCAAGTATAAAAATCCATGTATCTAAATGTATATAAACAGCCTTCAAATTCTTCAAATCCCTGATTGCTAAAAATAACAGTTCAATGTTTTTTTTAAACATAAATGCTGTGCTAGGCCACACGATTCAAAAACCTTAGATGGCACTTGGAAGCCGACTGCTGTCCTCCAGCAAAATTGCTTGCTTCATTTGTCATGAAATTGTTACTTCGGGAGATCCTTCTGGTTCGTGACACACAGCCAGAACTAATTTGCAACACATTTGCTCTTTTTTTGTATTGATTTTTTTCTGCTGTTCCAATTTTTTTCCATTGATTCACAACAATGCTTGAACATTTTGCATGACTTTTCACTCAATCAGGATTATCTTTCACAAACTTCATCTACATCTCATATTTCAGTTTCCTGAGGAGGTGGGCGCTGGCCGTTCCTTAAAGAATTAACGCTAGAATTCAGGTCTGGTTTGACATCGTCATCATCAGAGTCTGAATCAGCTTTGCTCAGTGATGCTTTGTCACTCAGACTGTCTGAGTCATCACTCAGTTTGCCAGCTGGAGTGTAAGCTTTAAGAGTTTTAGGGCGTCTCTCAAGGCTGTCCTCATAACCCTTGTTTTCAAACTCTAAAGTCATCCTGGTTTGTTGCGGCGTGCTCACGGAACGCGGAGGGGTGTCGATGCCGCTCCTACTGTCCAGACTACGATCATCATAGCCCATGTTTTGGTAGATCCCATAGACTGGCCTGGTGCTCAGGTTAGGAATTTCATTCTCAAGTTTGGGCGGATAGTAATCATCATGGTCACTGTCAATAACACTGGGTTCAGCAGACCGGTCAGTGAAAGTGGTCACTTCATTTTCCAGTTTCGGTGGGTACATGTCCTCCTTGTCACTGTCATACATAACACTGCCATTCCTGGAGGGGTAATCAAAGGTGGAGCCTGTGCTCAGACCCTCCAATTTGGTCTTGTCCATGGAGTCGTCACTTGTGTCGTCTATGGTGACTCCGGACACGGTCAGATCAGGATGCATGTTGACGTGGACTTCGGGCTGTCGTGGCTTCTTTTTCTGAGCACGGAAACTGTTGAAGCCGCCAGTGCCTGTCGACTTCACGGAGCGCATGGAATTACGGATGACTTCTCTGCGCTCTAGCCTTTCTTTTGTGCGACGCTTGGCTTTAAGATATGCAAGGCAGATGATGATGATGAGGATGAGGACGATAACTCCCATCACAGAGACCACAATTATCACCCAGCTCCAGTTGAACGGGAAGTAAGGCACCACAGGAACTGAAAGTTACAATAATCAAAAACATCTCATTAAATATCTTATTATTTATCAAAACAAATCTTTTAATCAAACTTAAATTTAAAAATCTTAAATGTTATTCAAAATCACTCAATTCTTGCATCTGTCTTTCAAATCTCTCAGCTTTATTTTACCTGAACAGAAGGAAAATAATTTTCCAATTATACTTAAACATTCAACATTAAACAAAGTATACTGAATTTATTCTTTTTTGATTACTCCAGTATTTTTTGTGTTCCAATTCACAAGAGCCAAAAGGCGGATTTCCTAAATAAATTTAACTTGGCCTTCACTTAAACTTAGCTTAAACTTCATGATCAAATTTTGGTGAAAGCCCACTTGGTACGTGCCACACAGCATCTATGTATCTGACATTACGTGGCCTATATGAACTCTGTCCAGTATTACAGCTAAAATATCTGTTGAACTTACAGTTGGTGATGAGGAAATAAAGGTCCTGTCACACTAGAGAGTATAGCACTAACATGTGAGAAAAATTGCCCATACACAGACAAACGCTAGGGGTTCGTTAAACTGATGTTAAATGTGTCTTGATTATGTAGGCAAGCGCAGAGGGAAATAAAATGTACAATCTTAACACAGAATGAACTTACTCTTCTCACAAATGTACGGCAGCCTCTCATGACAGTCGGTGGCTATAGGCTGGTAGTTCAACATGGCGGAACAATAACCCTCAGTGATGGTGTGGTAGAGCCAAACTTTCCAGAAATGTGTGTAATCAGCCTGGTCCTGGATGACCAGACCACCCAGGAAGTTCAAGGCATCTTTGGCGTCTGCTATAATACCCCCCTCAAGCTGAAAGTAAGGAATATGAAGACATTTACTTCAGTCATATTTGGGCTTGAAATCAAAAACAGCATCATCAATCACAGATATTGGGTCATATTATCCAGCACACAGACAAAACATTAAAATATAAATAACCCTGAAATTTTACAGTTGTACAAATAAAATTTACCAGGTATATGCCTTCAACAGTTGGTATAACTCTGAATGATTATTTTACACCAAATTCAGAGCCTAAACTTTTAAGTGTATAAGAAATGAGGAGATTCATCTAAAAGTGCTTTATTTCAGACATATAGCAATCATAGTAATGACAAATGATGCCAATTATTAATTAAAAAAAAAAAGAAAAAAATATCAATCTCCCAGAAGCCTTCCCAGGCTTACCTCACACTGTTGTTTGGCTCTGTAAAATGGCAGCAGTCCACCCATGTAGTAAAAACAGCGATTGTTGTATTCATGCCAACCCGGCTGACAAAATCCTGGAAAAATTTTTAACAAAAAGTCAGGAATGATATCTTTAATTCATAATTTCTAAGAAAGAAAAATCTTACATAAATTGCAACATAATTTAGGTGTGTGAAAGACGTCACAGGATTTAATGTCCAAAATTCAACACCTGCCTTTTGATGAGAATGAAGTGCAAATTAGGAAGGCAATATGCGCACTTATACAACACCTGTTTATTAGTAAAGGACCTTTAAACAGGTAACCAGATTATCATATTAGCAAATTTTTTGTACTGTTTTCAAGAAATCATTACAGTCCAACTACACAGAATCCAACTTTCAAATTTCACATCAATTAATTGGAGGCTTTCCACGGGTAACTAGATTATTAACCTGGGAACATTTTTGTACTGTTTTCAAGAAACCACGACAGCCAAATGCACAGAATCCAACTTTCAAACTTCACATCAATCAATGAGAGGCTTTCCATAGCTTCACCAGATTATCAGCTTGGCAAAATTTTTGCAATGTTTTGAAGAAACCATAACAGCCCAACTACACAGAATCCAACTTTCAAATTTCACAACAATCAATTAACAGCTTCCACAGGTAACCAGATAACTAGTTTGGCAAACCGCTCTCACCTTGTAGCAGGGATTTATTAGAATAAAGCGGAGGGTCATAGGTGACATTATAAATCTGGTAAAAAGTTTCCTCGGGGTGTCTCCCCTGCCACTCCTCTCTCCACACATTCCAGCGCCACCAGTCTTCCCAGTTCTTGGGTGCTCGGTACAAGTGCTTGTAGCGGCCATCTTCAAAATCCAGAATTCTTCCCCTGATGGCGAGGTCATAGGGGGATCCCCACCAGTTCCCTGGCGCCTCTATAGACAGGGTGTAGTCATCCGTGCTGTGGAAGAAAAACAGAAATAAAACATGTAGAAAAATACTAACCAATTCTGTGTAAAAGCAAAAAAAATTCAAGTTCCCAACAGACACGATTTATTTTGATGACAAAAAATATTGCAGTAAATGTTTAAGTCTGACATAACAGTGCACCAACATTTAGTTCATAGTTCACATAGTTCAAAATAATTACTGAGAACATAAATTATCAATAAGCCACCATTACAGCTTCATTTAATGACATCATAAAAAGAAAAAATGAAACCTCCATTGGCTACACTTACAAAGTCATACTTCCTGCTGCCAAGTCCAACATTTAGTTTAAAGTTCACATAGTTCACAATAATTGCTGAGAACATAAATTACCAATAAGCCACTATTACAGCTTCATTTAATGACATAATAAAAAGAAAAAAAATGAAATAAATTGCCTTTTTTAAAAAAGAAAAGGCATCTACCTCCATTGGGTACACTTACAAAGTCATATTTCCTGCTGCCAAGTCCAGAGTACAGTATGGATTGTCAAAGTAGTTATGGCGGACTTTATGGCGTACAGTGTGGGCAAATATGGTGGTCTTATAGTCCGGACCAGACGCATTGTTGTAGTAGATGTGGTTGTATTCATACGTCGGCCACATTTGTACTTTTTCTACACCCCTGTAATGAAAAGGATTCAAAGTAAGAAAAGATTTCATCATATCATTGTAACCTAAAATCATTAAGTTATCATTTTAATTCAAGGATTTTTAAAGTTTATTTCTATAATGAAAATAAATCTTGAAAATGTGATTTTTTTTTTTTGCAAGGTAGGCACAGTATCAAGTTTTCATTGATGTGTCTTTAAAAATATTCTTCGTTCATTTGTCAGATTGTTTTCACAAAATATTATGAATTTTTTTCTTATTTTGGCTTCCTACAGATTTGCCCTCAAACTCCCACAAATTATGGATGTCCTCAGACAGGCAGCGAAAGCAATTAGTTCTATTTGAACAAATCCAAGAAGCTGACAGGATATCCACATCCTTGTACAAATAGACTTCTTCTGCCTTCTTACCAAGAATCAATAATGCTGGAACCAGTGTTGTTATGAAGGACATTCCTGGTGAAGTTCACGTCCACACCACGAAAGACAAGAGTACTGGTCTCTGTGTTGTTCACCAGATTCCATGTTATGTAGTTGTATTTAACCAAAATCTGAAATATGATGTTTTGGGGAAAAAAATAATAAACTAAAGAAGTTAGCAAAGATTTGTAATAAAACACACAAAAACATGGAAGCAATCCTTAGGAAATAGTGACAAAAATGAAACACAAATAAAATGTCTAGAAAACTAGAGGTAACATATTACTTCAAATATAGAATGATTTTATATCTTTGATGCAATTATGGTTAATACTAACTCCTCAAATCAGAATACAAAATGACTGTCTTGAAGTTCTTTAACAGACTTTCTTAATAACATCAGTATAATCCTATTTTTAACACCAAACACCAACAACATTCCTCTCTGTAAAGGAAATACAAACTGTCTATTTTTTCACAATCAGTCAGACTGTCCATTTTTTTTATCAATCTCACCTGTTGGAAGTGATGTCCTCCTACTTCCATGCAAGGTCCAAAGGTGTTCCCATAGATGACGTTATTACTGATATTGGCCAGGACAGCTTTAGAGAAGGCATCCGCCACTGTATACATATAGAACCCTCCTTTGTTGCTTCCATAGAAATTATTGGCAAAAGTCACATAGGGTAAGTGTTGGACATTCAGATACACTGTGGGGTTTGAGGTCAAGTTCAACATGGAGATGCCGTTTCTTTCAATTTGATTCTCTGTCATGGCGACAGAAGGGTTGGTCTCGCCCACGTTGACGTACATGACAGCGCCCCCTTCATTGTCTGTTATGAGGGATTTGACCACCTTGTGTAACTTGTTGTTACCTGGAATAACAAAAAGGAGACAGAAAAGTGAAAATGTGAAATTTAAGAAGTTTAATTTCCTGGCTGCAGGGTGACAAGTCTTCCTGTAAGTCTGCAGTTTAAGTTTGCAGGGAAAAGACTGTCAAATATTTACATAATGATTTAAATTAAGTTATTCTAATATATGTTTGGTAAGATATTAAAACCAAAGTCAAGAACACCAAAGCTAATACATTTTCTCTCAGTATTTCTGGCAAGTGTACCAAATAAGTGGCATTTTAATACCACTCTGAATTATACACTGCACTACCCAATGTAAATAACTGCACATCCATTTTACTCATAACTATCAAACATGAGCCTAAGTTTAAAAAAAATTAATAAATAAAAAACTTTGAACATTTATCATGGGACCCAATACCTAACCTTGACGAATCTCAGGAACCAACAGATTTGAATTAAAAATGCAAAATTCCGCTGAAAAAGCTGTCTGAAAAATATACAGAGATATCACCATACCTGAATATCCTCTCCTGGACAAAGGCAAGATGACCACCTCAGCAATAAACCCATAGAACGGTTCCCCAGCAGCAGCATGGATATGAACATTAAGAGTGTTAAAGCCATAATTAGTCTTATACAACTGCCTTCTTTGACTCATAGTTGCATTGGGCCACAGTACGTTAATATATGTGGTGTCGTTGATGATTTTTCCCTCATAAAACTCAATACTGTTCCTGCTAAAGTTGTCTTCTTTAAGGTTGAACTGTAAGAACCTCAAGCCCACTGTGTTGGTTAGGGACCTGGAGCGGATGTACTTGACACAGTCCACACTCCTGTAGGAATATTTATAGTACAAGATAATCCTGTTTTCAATGACCAACTCTTTCTCTGTGTCACACATGTCCACCATACCAAAGGCATTGTAAGGTATGGAACTGTCGTTCAGAGGTTCAAAGGAAGATGCCATCTCTCGGGCGGAGGACTCACCATTCAGAATCAAGGCCCTCACCCCATATCCATGGTTGTTGGTGATGATGTTATTTTGTACTGTAATTTTTGCACGGGGGTCTACAAATTCATATCCATGGGAGGCACAGTGCGTGATGTTGATGTCGTCAGCAGAGGGGGTCTGATACATTGACTGAATGGCAGCCACTTTCTCACCATGCAGCAATCCAGCTCCGTAGATGTCAACATAGAGGAGTTCTGAGGAGCCACCCACATCTTCGTCCTGCATGTACTCAATGTTTGGAGAAGAAAAGCGAATGTTCCCCCAGTACTGGTGAGTATTTGGCAGATTTCTTTTTCCGCATCTCATGTAGACATAATTTTCTGCTGCTAAGCACTCGCCTAAACCATAGTGAATCTTGGAATAACACTGTTCCCAGCTGTCTTCGTCGCCATTACAGATGTACGTTCTCTGCCAGAAATCTTTCTGCGACCTGGCTCCCCAGCCATATTCATCATAGTCATAAAGATTAGTGAAGCGATACTGGACGTTAGTGCTCTCCATTCCCATGCTACGACACATCACTTGCGCAACCTTCTCGTGGAAATCATTATCACAAACTAAAACGTAGCGTTTCAAAGTGCTGTTATAATACTGCAAGAAGCCTTCATTGTCTGGACGGGGAGGGAAGAATTTCCCCCGGTACAACCTGACAAAATTATCAACCCGTGGAGCAGGTGGGGTGACGTACTGGGTCTTTTTGGGTAAAAACCTAATCCGATTATCCTGCCTCCCTCTGGCTATCAGAGTTCCCAGGACAAGTATCCCAACATTAGGATTGAACTGCAACTCGACTCCAGGATCTATTTCCAGGATAACATCAGGCATGACGGTGACATCTGAATCCACAAGGTAGGGTCGCCCTCTGTTGGGAATACGGGTGTTACTTAGTACCCTGCCACCCAGGGGCAAATTTAGGCTGAGCTGATACTCCAGCTTGGGCTCCGTGGTGAGAGGAGACGTAAAACTTGGCTGCGTGAGGAAAGGATAATACTTCGCAACAGCATAGTTATTCCAGTTATCAAAATCAAAAATGCTCTCTCCAATCTTGGTCTGATTTGTCGTACCCCAGTAGTTCTGATCAACATTCAGGGTCAAACCAAGACGGCTAGACTTCAAACCAGCAATCATGGCATACTCCAGATAATTGGAAATTAAAAGATTTCTATGGAACTGGACTGGTTGCACACCTTTCAGAGCCAGGACATAGCTGGTGGGGTTGTTCATGAAAATGGTGGGTGTGGTGGTTACTACGAGTCTTCTGTTATTAGAGAACCGATTGTAAGACACCAGACCATGAATCTTAGAGGCATTTTCTACATGCGACCACGTGTCGATCTCCAGCATAAAGCGTCCAGTGTTTCTAATAACCTCATTGTCATGGATGTATAGGTCTTTCTCCATGCCTGATATATACATTAGCCCATTTTTACAAGTGTTATCTCTAAATGTGTTCCTATAGATGGTGGTGTTGGCATAATGTCCTCCAATAACAAACTGGAATCTGAGATTGTCCTCAAATAAGGTGTCATTCACCTCCACGCTGTGGTTAACACTATGGTTGCCGAAGTAACGGAAATCATCAGAAACCTCAGGCAACTCTATCACATAACCACCCTCTTGGTTCCGCATAAATCTGTTATTTCTCAACTTCCATTTCCACACGTTATTTGAGAACTCCACATGGTTGTGCTCGGCCAGAACTCCTTTGGCATTGCTGTCTATGTCACAGTCCTCCATTCTGTAGGTAATGTTACTGATGTGTTCAGCGCGTAATAACTCGTCCAGATTGGGCTCGTACAAGTATTCTTCTGTGTACTTGGAGACACTGGGAGAGAATAGCGCCTCTGCTTTACTGCGTAGTATTCTGGTTCCTAAAATGATACAAGAGATAAACAATTAGAAAACAAGACAATGGTTTTGATTTCTGTATGCAATCTTTGACATAATTTTAGTGCTTCTTTCTCATATGATAAATTAAAACAGAGTCTCAACGTTCTGAGTTTAGCCGAATTAATTTCATTAACATATAATAGCTGTAAATTTCAGAAAATGTGAGACCCTAAAACCTTATTTTAAGATGTCAAAAAGCTTTAAATCTGATGAAAGATAAAATATGACACTTACATCATGCAGAAATGAACCTTAAATAAAATAAATAAATAAAGAGTTCTTACACAGCAATCTATCCAAACTTACCCATAATGTTAATAAATTCTTCATATCTTCGATGGAATATTTCAAGCCTCCTGTTGGAGGGGCTGTTGTAATGGCGGGTCACGATACCATTGTAGTTGTCTGTTAGGGTGCAGTTCTTCAGCTGTAAGGTTGCTATGGGTCTGTTGTTGGGATTGTTGGCATCAAACCTCACTGTAATCAAGATAAAGAAATATTAACTTTCATTAAGACACTTCAATACAAACTAGTAGGAGTTTTAAATCTTTGTTATCCAAACACTGAAACATAACATCATAAGAATTATAATGTGTATATATTAACGTCTGAACTAGCCATAGGCTGTTACATTTGGCAAGAGTTACTGGCAGCTATATTAAATCTCAGTGTGGGTAAGATAAAAAGAGCAGACCAGAAATAGTCGGTTCAAAAAAAGTTTAGAAATCCTAATTATTTTTGATAGGTGTGTCTCTGGCTAAGATACCTGTTTATCCCTATTTTCTACATCTTACCTCATTTTGTGTAAGTTTTATATAAGAGTACCCTGATCAAGGTCAATATTTTACTGACAATCTGTTCATTACCTGAGGTAGCCAACATGGCCAGTCTCCCAGACTGGGGTCCCTTCACCTTGTATTTGAATGTTATAGTCTTGGAAGTTGACAAATACGGAAACTCCACCAAGTTCTCCTCTATGTCCACTATCCTGCTGTTGGCCATGTTGTTCCTCGGGCCATCATATATCAGCAATTTCTCCACAGAAGTCACTGGGTTGTAATCCAACATTGTTACCAGCACACGGAACCTGTAATCAATTTTGGAATCTTTTTTATTCAAACAAAATCTTTGATAATTTTTCTTAACTTTGAGTACTTTGTACATGTATCTACCTTTATTCAATGGTTTATCAATGACGTATAATTCCTAAGAAAAAAATATGAAAATATCAAAGCTTTTTTCTGAAACAAGCATAAGCACTTAATAATCTAATCCTTCCTACTTCATACTTGATAAAATGACAAAATTAAGCCACAAACACCAACCTAGAATCTTGAACTTCCACTTCAAAGGTGGTTTCCATGTCCAGCGTCTGTCCCATCTGCTCCGTTAATAAGAACAGGTAGTCACCTTCATTGTTGTCCCCAGTTCCGAGGATAATCTTCTGGCTCTGTCCCGCAGGAAGTGGGATAACCACAGTCTTGTCACGGCTAAGGGCCACCCAGGAGCGCACATTCCAGGCATCGTATTCGCTGAAGCGGGGGTCAAAGCGGAAACCAGCTTGCTGATTATGAGATAAGGTGGAGAAGGAGACAGTGAGGAAGGAGCTGCGGGTGAGGATGCCGTCACCAAGGTTGTTGTTAATGTCACAGTGGTCAATCATCTGGTCCCCCTTTGGATTATTAAACATGACTGCTATACCTGATGACAAGGTGTCACTGAAAATAAATATAATATACAAATAAAATTTCACTTAGTGAACTGTAATGCAATTTTGGACATATTTTTATGCACTTAAAAACACTTTTGTATGCATGTTTAACAAAATGACACAAGTAACTTTTCTAAGTGAAAATGTTCATTAACAATGTAATTTGAAAAATATCTTTTCTTAAATGAATAACTATACTGTAGGGTGTTATGTATCACACTTGAACTGACTTTGGAATATAGTTACATGAGAAATCTGAATCCTGACACAAATACATTTCTAAACCTTTTTCCATCAGCTCAAATTCATTCAAACCTTTATGATTCAACAAGTTTTCTGCCATTTACTTTGACATTTCAGCTCATCTTCTGCTAGAAAAACTTACTTTATAGAGATGTAGGACATGGTATGTCTGTTGTAGTCTGTCTGTAAGGCTGGGACATACTGCATGGTGGAATGGTCCAGCAACCCTGCCTTGTCCATCTTGGTTCTCACAATAGAACTGGCACTGGCAATAGCTATCAATCTGGTGCCTGGAAACGGAGGAAAAAAAAATTTATTTCCAAATATATCTATACTACATATTGGCTCTTTTTCCAAAAATTGGACAACTGACCATTTGGCAATTATTTCACCTTCATAAAATGCATGTAATCTGATGAAAATGTATTCGTCATCTTGAAAATGTCAATGGTATATCAGATCAGTTATACAAATTTCTAGTAACTGTTTTTTTTTTTTCTGATAAACGGAAGTTGGTTTAATAATATATATGTCTAAATCTCACTTTGTGTTTGATAGAACTTTGATATACTTTGACCCCAACATATTTATCTATTATTTATAAGTCATATGATAACTAATTCTCCCCTCACCTGCCCAGGTAGGCTTCTTACACTTCACATGCACATCCATGCTGTGATCACACGAGTGTTCCATACGACTGTCAGCCATGCATTCCGTGATATTGGTGTCATAGACCGTGCATTCCACAGCGCTGCGCCAGATGGGCATGCTAGGGTTGTCAACGGGAACCTGGTAGTTGGTCTCCCAGTCATCAGGGTGAACTGTGTACCCCAGCATCTGACATACAACAGCAGCGTCCTCTATGTTCCAGCCCTAGCACAGAGATGGAGAGAGAGAGAGAGAGAGAGAGAGATTGATAATTCATTCTGGTAAACCATTACAAGAGAAACATTACAAGATAATCTTATGTAAGCAAACTGTCATGCATGTGTTTACTGTTATGAGAGAGGCATGGGAGAAAGGGCGTGTAATGGAAAATTGTTCTTGCTGGCATTGATGAATTTTGAATATTTAGAAACATGGAAATAAAATGTTCACTGGTTTTTCTGCTCAGCTGTAAATCAGTTTTTCAATCCCATGAAACAGCAGTAGTAAAAACAGAAATCAATGCTTAAATTAGTTTGTTCCATTACTCACATGCACTAGACTTCAAAATCCACTGACACAGATATCATTCCTATTATTTGACCCATTCTGCATATAACTAAACAACTATTTTTATGAATTTTGCACTCAAACAATTTCATACTTACAAAACTGCAAATCGTTCCCCATTCTCCATCCACCATGACCTCCACGCGTCCCTCCATGGCAGTGTCGTCTGCTATCCCTGACTGGCCCACCAGGCGGACAGTGCTGCTGTTATGGAAGTGAAGGTCATCCTGCAAGGTCATGATGACATCATTCCCTGGGCTGCCAGAAACCGCCAGCTTTCCCTGAACAAGAACACCAATGGAGTTTTCAAACTCGAGACGCGCCCCCGCATTAATGGTCAACTGTAGCCCCAGGGGAATATTAATGTCCTTGTCCACTCTGTATGTTCCAGCTGAAAGCGTTGTCGACTGCCTCAACATTCCTCCAATAGTTCTGCCATTTCTTTGAAACAGAGGCTGGTAGTTTGGTTGGTCGTCGGTATAAAATCCAGTTGATAATTCAAAGGTTTTCAGAGCAGGATAATATTTGATGGGGGCGAGATTGTATCGATCATTGTTATCAAAAAGCCCGCTGAAGATGATCTGGTGATCTGTTGTCCCCCACCAGTTGTGTGTGGCATTAATGGTGCTAGTGATGTCCGTAGAATGGGTCGCCATTTGTCGAACTGAGGCTGGGTTTTGTATGTGATTACGCCGAATTATGAGATTTCCAGATGATGCAATAACCACAGCACTTGCACGGCTTCTGGGATTCAACATTTCTGTTTCGAATCCACCCATGATGGTATTCTCCCGGACTTGATTGTACTCAAAGATCAAACTCTGGATATTGGTAACTGTTAGCCTCATGTTGGTGACGTACATTCCAGAATTGTTGTGAAAATTATTCCCGACTACAACATAGCTAACAGGCTGAGTCTTGTAAAGTCTGTTCCTTTCAAAGTTATCTTCATTATTAATCATAAGAGCTCCAGCTTTGTGGCGCTCAACCGTGTTGTTTGCGAAGCGTCCAATGGTGTTCAGCATGGGAGTGGCGCGGAAGGCATGCCCTACATTATCACTGAACGTACTTAGGCCTACAGTTACGTTGTGCATATGGCCAATACCATGGTAACAAGGTTCATATTCCACACAGTCTCTATGGTTATCAGAGAAAGAAGTAAAATTCACCACAGATTTGCCTGTCTTGCAGTAGTTCCCAAACTTCACTGCAGACTTCCAGTTAAATTGGAAATTAGAATTGATAATCTCCGTGAGATATTCACTTTCATTGCGGGTCCTGTTCAACAACTGGTAGCCCACAAATGCACCGTAATCATTTCCAATAAAGTCTGTCGTATTGATGATTCGCCTCCCACCCGCTGTGGTGATATTAAGGCCACTGTCAACATTATACAAGAACTGCGAATCTGAGACGAAAACATCGCCTGCGCCACCGTAGACATGGATGCCAGCATGGAAAGCATTATGGGATATATTGGAGCTCTTCACAACTATGCTGCTGCGCATCTTACGCACTGTGATTCCACGCTGGGTATTGTTGTAAATTCTGCTTGATGTAAGGTTGAAGTCGGCTGATGGGCCTGCAAAAGGTTTTTCAATAAAAAAGATATTTAGAAACATTTTGATGAATTTTGCATGGCAGAAACTGGCCCACTTCTTCTAATTCAATTTCTTAACTTTCGAATCATATGAACCTATCAGCTTGATAATCATAAAAAACATGATTTGTTTTAGTTACACTATATCTCCAAACAAAAAAATTATCTAAATTTTCTAGCATTGTGCATTATAAGCATAGACTAGTCATCATGTACATTTACAATGACACTGACTCAAACAGTTTACATATAAAATCAATGCAGAGTCAAACAACACTTACTATCTCCAGCCGACACTTGGATCACAAACTTAGCACAATAACGCAGATTGTAGCACTTGTAGTCCAGCATGAAAGGTGGGCGTGTCCAGTGATAGCTAATATACAGACCATTCGTACTGGTGTGAATGGACTGCGGGAGGCCATATTTGGTGCCATTGGTGACCGTGATGTTGGCAATAAGGGGGCCAGACCTGGTGTTGCCTTCCCTGAATACCATGTACCCAGTGACAAACACTTCGGTGTCCATTTCCAGAAAATCCACAGTCAGGACTTGGTCACGCCGGGCGTTGAATAGCTGAAAGTGACCAGGAATCAATCATATCAATAGAACTACAATTACAACATGTCTTTAATATAACCACTTAAGTTCCTGTGAATTCAATATTTAGAGTTTAGATAACACTTTTTAAACACATGCAACTGTCTACTACAATACAGAATTTCTGCCATTAAGCAGGATATGTGTATTCATTAAATTATTTTTTCTTTCAACTCACCAGCCCACATGGAGGACTCAAGTATGGATGGCCACCAATGACCATTGGATAACTAGGGTCTGTCAAGGTGGGACGGCTGCAAAATGCCAGCCTCTCCTCATCATAGACATAGTTACGGATATCCGCCACTTCCACAAATGCACCATCCCCAAAATTGTGGTGAAGGTCAGAGTTTATTATGTGAACTTTCCCAATATGTGTGTGGGCTGTTATCCCATGACCTAAAAGATAGTGAATAACACTGATCATTAGCTTTGTTATGTAAGTCAAAACAAAGTGAGCATAATAGTAGATTTAAATTTTATATATAAAAATAATACTGTGCCTCTAATATATATTTATCATCATAGTGAGGGAAAATAAAAACCTTCTTGATAACATAAAAAATATGTTACAGTACTATTTATCAATACAAAATACTGATCATTATTAGATGTTTTCTAACTCAAATAAAATGTTCAGATTATTAATCAAAATACCACTACATAATTTCAAGTTAAATAAAAAGTTTTATTCATTTAAGAAAACTGAACACTACCTGTGACAAATATTTCTTGTACAATACAATACCTCTATTTTCATACACGTTACTGTCGTGGACAATGACTGGAGTTTCACAATAGGAAAAATTTGTCCCATGGTGAGCATTCCAGCGGAGATTCACATTTTTCAAGATAGGTACAAATGGACTGGCTGCAAGGGCTGACCTGGGGAAGCCGTCCCTGTCCCTGCCAGCAAACTGAATGTCCACATATTCTAATACTGAGGCTGATACATTGTAGCGTTGATTGTAGTCCACTATTCTCCTTCTGGTTGAGTTGTACAGCTCAATGCCTTGCCAGTGATCCGTGGCAAAGTCTGAGGCCAGTTTATCTTCACAACGGAGTCCCACTGTGTCTTGATGAGCTAAAACCAAGATACATATTAGGATGTATTAGAGAATTGAAATGATGCTTTACTGGTCTAAAACCAAGATGTCAGAGGGTTTAATTGCATTAAATATAATGCTTTAATTATATGGTAAAGGTAATGAAGGAGCCAGGTTAGGGTTTCCTGCAAACAAAAAGTTTGTTTTACAATGAATACCTATTACTCAAATATCAGTCATAGAACTGATTTTCACCTCTTTTGCGTGTTTTTGTAAATATATGCACATAACTGTCATTGACGTAAACATAATTTTGAATGGGAGATGAGAGCAAATTTACTTCTTTCTTTATTTTTTGTTTGTTTGAACTTGGTCGACCAGTTAACCTAGCTGTAAATAACCTTACCACATATAGTTCTCCCAATTTTAATGTCAGTGTTTCCTGGGCAGTCAAATATACTGCTTTCATGTCCATAGCAGGCAGGCAGCTCATACATCATGGTCCACGTGTCATTGGTCCACAGTGTACTGTTAAAGGTGAAGTTTCCCGAGTTGTAGCCAAGCTGTCTGCAGGCAACTTCGGCGTCTATCTGGGTCCAGCTGAAAAGTAAGTGTGTATATATCCAATTGAGTGTTAATTTTCTGTAAATGTTTTTTCTCTTTGGCAGCCATTAATTCTCGTAGAAATTATAAGCACGTTTTAACCACTTTATCAACTTTATGTTCGAATAAATAAAGAGCAATTATTATTAAGTTTTTTTTTTTTTTTTTTTTTCTGTAACAAAACCAGAATGGTCTAAATGAAAGTGAAACTAGCTGAAAACTATAAATATCGTATAGTTATAGTATCCCTTCCTTTTCTTCGATAAGTCAGCGTAAGGTTGTTCTCTTCCCATTCTGTGCAGTATCTCGAATACCAAAGTATAGATAATATAACTTTTAAGAAACTAGATTTTAAATCATCGATGAATTCATTTAAATCACCCGGCTAACGCAGACTTGCTTGATAGGCAATAGCGCATACCTTGTAGATGTCGCTCAAAACAAGATAGTCTAAATACCAGTCTACATGCTGTTATTAATCAAACCAAAAGAAACCACGTAGAGCAAATCAGGCGAGGAAAAGGAAAAATTTCATAAGGACATCAGCTGCCTTAGACTTTGAAATTGTCGTCCAATAACACTTTAATATTTACACGATCTCCTTCTCTAACGGCTCCGTGGTGTAGCGGTTATCACATCTGCCTAACACGCAGAAGGTCCCCGGTTCGATCCCGGGCGGAACCACTTTTTTTTTTTTTTAAGTATCTCAAGCTTTTATTTATTTTGTGCAACATACAAATAGCTTTATTCTGATCTTACTAGACTATAGACTTTGGTAGACACAGAAGATAACGAAAAATAATAAAACCTTCAGTAGGCTTATTGAAAAGTAGGCATACTGTCAAGAACAGCAAGGCTGGGTCAGGCTTCATGCTGACGGTTCCATAATTCTAGGAATCTAAATGATGATTAAAACATCTATTTGTATGTAGTGGATGTATCTGAAATTCGTCAAATAATGCATGTGATTCAATAATAACCCCAAATTCAAAAACAGACATAACGAAAACATTCTACCAAGACATTCACGTTTTGATCTTAATTCCCTGAAAATGAGAGGCAGACTTACTTTCTGTAGTTAGAGCAGACGTATCGCCATCTTCCTCTATGATACATCTGCACGCGACCCTCGAGGAACCTGCCCTCTTCTCCCTCCACCATGCGGATATCACTGGGCCAGCGAGAGAGGTCCGGGTTTCCCGAGCCGTCGTCATTTTCCTTGGTGAACACAATACGGTCCGTCGGGGTGCCCTAGACAAAAGAGGAATTTGATTTATTTTAATATTAATGTTCAAAGGGGATTTTCTTATTTTTTTATCGTTAATTTGGCGTATTTCTTTCCATCTTTTTTTCTCTCTTTGTTTCAAATCAAACCTACGAAAAATCAAGCAGCCATAGCATAAGAGGTATCTTAAACGGGAGAAGCTTTTGAGCGGGACACTAATGCAAATAAGACCAGTAAAAAATATACATGAAGCTGTTGAACAATTACATCCAGTTATATAATAACTGTAATTTCATTTGTATTTTAAAAATTGTTTGAGCTTTCTGTAACGAAACGATGTACACGAGCGCCTAAAATGTGTAAGACTGAAAGCCATGGGACGCGTACCCTACCCTACCCTACCAGTGCCGGGCAATATTCAATAAAAAAACACTTCCTCTACGATAACGTCGGAAAGCAAACACCATAAACTTTTCTCAATTATGGACATGTGATATGTTCTATGATAAACACGTAGGATCCCATAACATAGAATATTTAATCATAATATATATTCACAGCGAATATCCAACTAAATACATGTAGAACAATTAGAGACAGACGCCGGGGTCCTCACATGTTCTGTCGCGCGCTATAATTAGATATATTTATATTACATCATTTCGTACCATAGGTCTAGTATCATGTCATCAAAACATCCTCGGCAACTGGCCACTTACGAGATATAACTATATTATCAGACAATTTTATCAGTTACTTCATCGGTACTAAGTTGTGAGACATCTGAATCTGCAGTGTATAATAAAAGATACAGACTGATTTTCCAACAATTTATTTCAATTTAAAAAAATCATCAGAAAAAGAGGAAAGTCCATTACAAACTTTTTTAATATTTTGATATTCATTATTTCTGAGGAGAGGAGTGACGATGTTGACGATGTTTCAAGCAGTAGCCTGTTAGCTAACCCTATGTCACAGCTACAGGAAAACAGTTTTAAGGAGAGCTTCTCCCTACAATCTTCTCATGCAAGAAATAAAGACGTTCCTATAGATCTACACCGATCTTATGTGCGCAGAGCTCTCTGTTATTCCAGTGTATATCAATGAAATGAAAAATCGACCCAAAGGACAGACAATACACTTCCATTTACGTAATAACCATGCTGAATGTGTACACTTGTTTTCATGATCTTCGTGTACCAATAAAGGATAACTACGGCTGGGGCAAATTGACAGTGAACTTGTTCGCTTCTGGAAAGTGTGTAATTAAATCTAGTTCCCTTTCTTTAATAAACGCTACACTGTTTTTCTTACATTTGTGACTGCTCCCAGTGTCTGTGACCGCTCCTAATATGTCAATCTAAAGCAAACTCGCTGCTTTTTAATACCCATGACTATAGATGTGATACCTTCCTTCAATGCCACATCAATTAATCGTTATTTTTCTACTTTTTATTTTTAAAAAATGCTATAATTCAAAATCCAATGAGAAGTACTTTTTTGTGATTCATGCCTTCCTAGAACTAATTTTTCCGTCCTGAAAATTTGTCGACAGTAGTTCATACCAGTTATTTTGTCAGCTACAAAAATAAATGATTTACTTTCAAATTTCGTTGTAAAAACTACTCCCGGTGCCGAATGATGTTGTTGGACATCCTATATTGGTGACTTAACACACTCTCTTATGAACATGTATAACAATTTGCTGGTGGGTGGCTTTAGATAGGAAATTTAAATCCATTACAGAAAGACCTAATATGATTAAAGCCACGAAACTAAAGACAATAGTCAATCATATCATGGAAGATGTACTTCCATGATCACATACATGTACATGCATCTCAGTTCAGATATCACAGCTATGAAAAAGAACGCAGTAAATCAAAGACATAAAAAGTAAGATATAGCATTTTTATATATATTCTGACTCAGATTTATACAGCCACTGAACCTTTTTGTAGAAGTGAGTCACAACATTCCGTTAATCTAGTTTACAAGCTTAATCTAATATTTTTGGAAATACCACGAGCCTGTGTATTGTAAACATAAGATCTAATTATATTGACCTAGAGGATAAATCAAACAGGTTGTTGCTGATTTAAGCTCTTACCTTAGCTATCAAGGTACCATTCACCAGAAATTTCACACCTGGAGAAAATTTCACAGTGACTCCAGGTTGGACGGTCAAGGTACTCCTTTTATCAACATGCAGGTCGTCTTTCACAATATAAGGACTGTTATCTCGTAGTAATGTGGTATCGCTGTCTATAACTCCTGATAGTACTTCTTCACACGCCGTGTAAGTCAACGTAGAGACGATTATCAACACACTTAACACTGTACCTGAGATGGCCGCCGCCATCTTGGTTTGTGACTAGCCGTTAAAGTGTTTACCTATGTCTCATACCTGGCCTCGACCTGGAGGGACTTGACACACTCAGACCAGGTGGGAGACGCCGAGGACGGCGTTAATTACACCACTAATTATGTGCCTTTAATCAAACACACTGATGAGATTCGTAATAGACCTCATCAAAAATCGGTTTGGAGATATTCAAATTGCATAGCATTAATCGTAGTGGTGAATTTAATGCTGAGGTGTATTGAGGACGCACATCGGTCACGTGACTTAAAGAGTGTCGCTTTGTTTGATACAGGTGAATAACAATCTTCTGAATCACCGCGCTGCTCTGACAGTAGGCGGGAAATGCACTCCTACGCTAAACACCAAGGATCAGAGCAACGATTTTTTTCACAACACAAGGGAATGCAGATGATGGATAAAAAAATTAATCTTTTTTTATGTGTTTAAATTGTTTTTATTTATTGCTATTATTACTATTGCGGTTTTCGAACACTTTAGGCAAATATAAGCAAAAGTTAAGTCAATTAAAAGGAAAACGATTCATTTACACATCACATGGAATAAACCTATGCAAAACAGCTATCCGATATATTAACAAACATTGAAACAAATCGAAGACCTCGTTTCCTAAGACCGTAAGCTAGTGCGTTTTACAAGACTAAATTCTGTTCGAAAATCAAAGACAGGTTTCCACTTTAGATTTTTGCGTGAATCTGCTCCCATCCCCACCCCAACACTCCGATATTGAGGTGACTGTCTTGAATGCTTGGTTCTCCAAAAGTTTCGTGCCCACTTAAAAAATAGGCACGCTCTTTTCTACATAATTCTGGCTTAACTTGAAAGTCTGCACCCAACGTGTGGGTAAATCGAAATTAAAATTAAGATGTTCAAGTTTCAAAGTCCATGTCTGAAAACTTAGAGCAGATGACAATTAAAACAGCCCGCTGAAGCTACGTACGGTTGAAAACCTGGTTAAAATCTGAATTCACCTTAGAGGGCGTCTGAGCCAGGCGTTCCGCGGGGGAGGGGGGGGGGGTCGGAGTTATGTATTGGCAATTATTGAGGCGTATGACGTATGTTTTAATAATCCGACTAAAATAATTTAAAAGATCATCAACTTTATGAAATTACTTTCACCTTCCACTCTTTTCATTTCTTGTGTTTAAGGTTTATGATACGATATGGCTAAATGACCCCCCCCCCCAAAAAAAATAAAAAAGTGGAACTTTCTTAAAAGGTAAATCACAGTTATTGATGTTTAGTCATTGTTATCGGAAGCAATTACGCAACATTTGATAATACAGTGCAAAAAAATGTGTATCTCATATTACCTCTCAATCGTATTGTTTTACTTATTTAGTTATCTCTGTACGCTGTATACGCATAAACGTAAAGCAGTTTTTAACTAGTTGTCACAGTAGAGAGCTTGTTAACATTTATTTGCAAACACGTGAGTGCTAAATAAAGTATCATTAATATAAAAATTACGGTAAAAATTACCCATGGAATCTTTTTTGTCTTCAACACAATTAAAAAAGTTATGAGAAACAATAATGAGTGGTATAAAAGCTGGTACGCAATTCGCTTACAGTTTCTATCAAAACAGAGCAAACATAATATAAGTACATATATATTAGCCTAAAATTGCAATTTACTATAGTTGAAAACTAGGAACTAATGAATATGACAACAATAATGGCTGAAAATGCAGGAAGTTTTTTTGTGATTTGTATAACGCCATTCCCTTTGGGAAATTCTTGACACAAGAATTTGTAAACATTTCATCAACACAATCCTTTGGCATTCAACCACAAAATTACAATTACAGAGACTAATTAATAAGTTTCAATATCACATACTACACTGCACTAAATCTTTAACAAAAATCTTACTCTTGCAACCAGCAGACAAAACGCATTTGCAATACAAAATCATTTACACAATCACCTTTAGCAATAAAATTCCTGAATTACTGATGAATTTCTGTATATGGACTTTCTAAAACTAAAAAGGAAGCATAAAATTTACAAAAATAAAAAACATATATCTTTAAACCCACAAAAGAGGAAAGAAATAATATTAAATGAAATTTACTACAGTATGGGACAAAGCATTGAAAAAATCACCCACATCCTTCCCCCAACATAATATAACTTTACACTCCAGAAAAAAATATTAGATATTTAATCAAAAAGACTTTCAAAACCATCACTGACATAATTCTTTTTCAAAATATTTCACAATAAATGGCAAAAAAAAAGAAAAAAAAAAAATTAACCAACAAATCTTTGTGCTACTTTACCCACATCACTGTGTCTACTAACAAAAAGTGAAAATTTTCCCCATAAGTTAATTAAAACTGAAAAATGTCCAAGTATAAAATCCTGTATTTGCAATATCAGTAGTAGGCCTCATAGGTAAGTAGGTCAGTCTTACTTGTTTTGACATCCCTGCAATTTAACACAAATATGCAATTTCTTCATAGCAAAATGCAATATTAAGAAGATGTGATATAAATTCATTACAGTAATACTACATGGTTAATTCTGAAATAATGCTATAAGTAGATTTTGTACATATTACATAGATAAGAAATATAAATCTAATAATGTCTTATGGAATGTAAACCTTCAGCTTTACTGAAGCAATGCAGAAAAACAATTGTCTCTTATAACAGACTAGATCAACTTTTACTATCTACCAGAAGCCAGCAGAACGCCTTCAATTCTGGCAAAAACCTCTCTCACAGTACCGAATATGTGCACAGAATTAGTCAGAACATATTTTGTGAAAATTCAGCAAAAATAATTTTTGACTCTGTGACATGTATTACATCATGGATACATTCTTTGATCAAAAGAAAAAACTCAATAAGTAGAACCTCCAACATTTAGAAACATCTAGCAAGATAAATTAGAAGAACAGTAGTAACTTTCTGATACATGATCTTATAATTACAAAAAAAAAAATATATATATATATTTCTATATAGCATTTGTAGTGCTTTTACTGCATAAATTAGAGGTGTAGGGTAGCCTGTTTTTTATTTTGTTGCTATCATTCAATAAGAATGTTGCAACTTTAAAAAATAATGACTTAAAAATACATTATCTGTTAAATTAACAATTTCTTCCCCCCTGAATAGAGATACCGACCTTAAGTTTATATATCATGTAATATAGCAGCTCATTTCACAACCTTCATTGCACACCCATAATTGGTTCTCTTTGACTGCACTCCCACAGATTTTAGATCGATCTTTCCCCTTGGGGAGTCTCACTAGATTACTGTCAGCTTAGCCAGCTTAAATGTCTGTCCCGCCTACTAAAAGCTGTAAGAGGGTAATTAACTTCCGTGCGCGCTCGGCTGACAGCAATTTAACATGAACCCCCAGGGAGATAGGTCAATTCAGATGGATCGATCTAAATCTGTGGGAATGTAGTCTTACTGAAAGACACAGCACCTCAAAAACGGATGAAGATTTTCATAGAATACAAAGCACCTAGTAACATACAAATTTTATACTGTCTAGGTATTTTTATACATATGAATAGTTTTATATGTATTGAACACTCAATAGAGTAACGTTAAGTCTGTGTAATATCCAATTTTGTAGGAAATGTATATATAACCCCCCTTTTTTGTAAAAGAAAATACAAGTATGTCCTTTATATGATAACAAACATTAATAGAAAAAGGGCTTTTGGTCTCCCTCTTTAATTACTATAATTATACTGCACCCTTTGTACAATTTTGTATGCATAAAAGGGCAAAACTATTAAGACATTAAATCATAATTCAGATTCTTAAATCTCCAGGGATATTTTCATGTCCATAAGTAGTAAATATATCAAAAACTTCTTTTCATTCACATATTTCACATCACAAAAATGTATTACTCATATAAATAAAACTGTAACATTAAAATATTTGTGCCATTTTTTTTCTATTCTATTTCTGTGCAAACCATGATATGCCTTCAGAAAGAATTACAATTCTTCTATCACTAACCTCTACACATTCAACTTCTAAAATTAATTAATTCAGTTTGATTAATCATTGCCTCTCATACAATAATTTCAATAAGCACTGAATATATTACCACTATTTCTAATTTCAAACATGGACATAATGTCCATGTTTCAAAAAAGAAAACTCTAATCCTGGTTGTATCTATTTTGTAGTTTTCTATATGGATTTTTTAATAGGTATTTGAATTTGTCAGGATTCTTAAGCAAATAAGATGGAGCAAAGAATGGATCCGTTTTAGGTGTTTCATAAACAACACCTCCCTCTCCTAAAGTATTGCCGTCAAACCAGGTACCCGTCTTAATCAGGTTTGCAATATAGGTAAGGTTCTGCTTCTCTGGGAAGTCACCCCAGCGCGGGTAATCTCCATTTTGAGCTGAGGTCAGTTTTGTCGCAATTCCTTTTGGTTTGAAACACCAAGAGCAATGCCAGCCCCCCAGGTGGTTGTGGGAACCAAAAAACCAAGGCTCTGTAGTCACGTTATCAGCTAACCAGCGCAAAGAGGGTTTATCAAGTAAGTATGTGCCTTCCACTGCTTTACGTAGAGCACTTGTGTCATATTGAAAGACGTATTTGAAAATAAACATTGAGCAGCCAACCATTATCCTTGAAATTTCTGGCATTTTCCAATAGTACCCATACACCGACCAGCGGAATTTTATTCCAAAAGGCTCTGGGAAGCCATTGTGCCATTTTAGAAAGAGCATAAGGTCTCGTGATGGTAGTTCATCAGCATCCGTTATAATCATAATGTCGTCTGGTCTTAAATCCCCAATGTGTTTTAATCCTTTCTTTCCACAGTAAGCTCGAATGTAAGCATCAGCAATCCAACCATCTTTACGTCCTCCTTCTGGAAAATGGTCTAAAAATATGTATAAAATTTTGGAATGATACTCTGCACCAAATCCAGAGTTTAATGCTTTCAGCAGTCGTAACTGTTTCTTGTCTCCATATGCACTGTAGTTTGATTCCACGATGATGAATTGATCTACAACATCTCCGACTTCATGAAGAAGAGTCGTTAATGCTTCAAACTCATGATTAAAAGGGAAAGCATGAATGATACGTCTTGGATTTTTTCTGACATGAAGTGTTCGTGGTGGATAATCAGCGAAGTGTACACAGGCGGGAATGCTGCATTGTGGGCCATACCAGTTAGGTAAACAAGTACATAATCCTTGGTTAGTAAAACTTTTTGTCCCTTCCTTAAAACAACGTTTTGTACCAACTATGTGGAAATATGATTTTTTATCTTCACCAAGAATCACTTTTTGCGATATATATTTGTTGAATTTTTTAAAACTCTTCTGTTTTTGCAGTGTTTCTGAGAATTTCACTCTCTGTGACTGTGTTGTATATACTGAAATGTTACTTTTGATTTTTGGAAAAAAATCTTGCTGTTTTTTACTCAGATTTCCTATAACTTTAGCTACCTTCTTGCCTTCAATTTTGAAATTGGAATCCCCGCCTGGATGCAAAACTTCCTCAAGGACCTTGACATTATACACGTGTGGATCACCATTAGAATCTTGTACATGTGATGCATTCTTTTGTCTCTGTTTTCCCAGTGTGAAGACAAGATAATAGCTCATCCCACATAACTGCATCAGCACCACTGCTATGATAACACCCTTGATGCATTGTTTACTGTTGAAGATCTTGGAGGGGTGGCTCATGGCTTCAGCCTGAAAAATACAAAGAAAGAAATATTACTTCATAATATCAAAATGAAAGGTTTGATTCTTCCAGGTGTTCTTCATGAGCTTGTTAAGACAGAATTGTAGGCCTTTAATTGTTAACCCCCCCCCCCCACACCTGATGACCACCATCTCATAACTTCACTCCTGTGTGAGATTTATTATTAATTGCATCTTCATCTTACTTCACTTCATATATTCAGTGCCATCTGTCATATAATTCACTAAATAACAGGACTGCACTTTTTCCAAGGAAGAAGTGATATTTTCTCCAGGGAAAAGTGGACTTATCACCTCTTGGTTGTGATGTCGAAGGGCAGCTCATGTGCTGCATTAAAGAGCAAAGGGTTAAAATCATAATCAGCCGACACTTTTGCCACAAGGACAGTGGGACAGGGACTTAGATCCCATTCAGATAGACACATTGTACTAGTTGGGTCGGTACAAACTCCAGCGGCAGATTGAGGCCATCTTCTGGGTCTGTCAGAAAACAGTAAAAAATAGAGGATGGATCAACAAAGATAATTTAGAAGACTATCAGAAAATATCTCTGGATCGGCCCCTGAACTTTGTGGGTAATGTAACTTGGAAATTATCTTACTGATCCATACTGTCAACATTAGTCTAGAAGAGTCTTACCATTAGAAAATCCCAGATTTTCCACCTCACTATCTCCTGCTGGACTAAATCTTATATTTACTCTCCGACTAGTGAGCTGACATGGCATTCAGTGATAGGAGGGGCAAGGAGTGCTGTAATGACCCCTCTGTGTGGACAGGTGAATCCTGGTTAGGAGGGAAGAATAACTGCATATGTCTGTATATCTATGTAGGTGTAACATGCAAACATGGCAGACTAGTCCACAGTATTGATTGCATGATTTACAACAATTTGGTTACCAGAATATCAGACATTCTTGAAGATGCTTACCACAGACTCTGCTCTCATCTGGTCATGTGTCTTAGAGCGCATTCAGATTCTCACATGGCTGGATCAGTCTAGCTTTGCAGGGTATTCTCATTAAAGTATAATCATTTTAATCAGCATACAAGAGTATGTGGTTGGGAGGGGGGGGGGAGAGAAAGAGTGCCTGACAATTAAGGTGACTACAATGACTGCACTTCAGTGTGAATCCCTGAAGAGATAGATTGATCCTGTTGGTACTGTAAGTTCATTCTGAATCAGGGCTTCAAAACATTTTACATTGACCCATTTCCCTCTCCCCAGTGCCTGTTTAACCCTTTCCTAGTCACAAAAGTTGGTCAAGTCATCACCAGGGGAATTCTATTAATTCTGCAGACTGACACAGAAAACTTTGTGCTTTACTAAAAATTTCATAACATCTATATTTTTTTATCCTAATGGTGTGAAATATTCTGTTGAAAGAAAACATGTGAATGCAAGTGTAGAAGAATACTTTAAATTAATAATTGGTGTAGCAAAAGCCAGCTTTAATCAGTAGCCTCAGATATCTCTTCTTAACTGTGACAATGTAACCATATCATTCACCAGGCATTTTTTTTAACAATAACATGCTTGATACTACTGTACCCAATTTCATTCTTTTACCAACCATTTCAGACATCCTCCGAATATTGTACAACACCATGAATGTGCTCCATATCCCAGCTCTATACTACATCTGTAATCTCAGCCATAAACCCTCATTGAGCCTGCATCAATAATGGTTGGTGCTCCTAATCCCATTATCAAAGGAAAATGTCTAGGGGCATGGTAACAATATATTGCTCAGCCAAGTGAGGCACAAAAGTCCCATTTCCAATTTTCCAAACCTGGAGCACAGGGCTGTGAGAGGTGCTATCCTTGTACTTGGACAATGCATTCTTACACCCCAATTCCATAGATTTTTAGATCGATCTATCCCTGTGGGGAGTCTCACTAGATTACTGTCAGCTTGGCTGGCTTAAGCGTCTGTCCCGCCTACTAAAAGCTGTAAGGGGGTAATTAACTATGGTGCTCACTCGGCTGTCTGCAATTTAGCGTCACCCCCAAGGGAGTTAGGTCGATCTAAATCTTAATCTTTAGATCGATCTAAATCTCTGGGAAAGCACCCTTAGGGACCATTCAGAATAGAAGATCCGAGTATCAACTGGTCCAAGGCTCAATATGGCGGACCCTACATGAAAGGAAGACCGCTTAATCCTGTAATGGTCTCTCCGCCTCTCACACGCCTACCCACGCATCTAGTCAAATTGAGACGAGATTTAATTACTGTGCCCCATCAGGGACGAAGCGTGGAGAGGCGTGTGAGAGGCGAGAAAGACCATTTCAGGATTAAGGGGTCTTCCTTTCATGCAGGTCTGCCATATTTAAGCCATGGACCAGTTAGCACTTGGATCTTCTCTTTAAGTAACACGAAAGCAAGTAATGACAGCCTCAATGAAGACCTAAGCCATTATTCAATATCAAAACAGCTTGTTGCCATAAGCACTAGTGTATTAGCAAGGTATATCTTACAGCATGTAACCAAGTGATGAGAAAAAACAACAGCAATCTTTACGTGCCTTTAATTCATTATCATGTACCTGTATCTTGGTAAATCTGGGCATGTCCATATTGTCAAAACTGATGAGTGAATTTTTAACATGTTTATGTCCATTAGATTATTTTATTTGGATGTTATTCACTAGTGTCACACAATATACAGTGAACACATGAGTAAGCAAGGACACCACAGTTGTCAATAAAACATATCATCCTCATTAGCAGCAGTGTTATTGTCAATATATTTAACATCATTGTAGCAATCAGGACATAGTCTGCTGCTAAGTGAAAAAGTCTGAAAATATGGTGGGGTCCAGAAGGGCCTTTCCATTATCTCAAAAATGATACTTTTGGCTCCAAAAGTTGGGAATCCGCTGATAGGCAGAAAAATCTCATTACTGAGTAATTATTGGGAAGCTACCAGCAGCTGCAATGGAAGGGACACTTTAATTGGTTCTAATATCATAAACCATATCATAGTGTCTCAACATCTACTATTTGAAGCGTGAACTACATCCAGGCCTCAGAAACTATTATTGTCCTTTATGATTGTGATCACTGAATTAAAAATTTAATTCACAATTTCATGGTCAAATTGTAAACACAATGGCTGTGATAATCATTTCAAAAATCTCATTACTGAGTAATTCCTGGCAAGCTACTAGTAGCTGTAATGGCAAGGTAACTTTAATTGGTTCTAATGGTGAAACCATATCATAGTGTCTCAACATCTATTTCAAGAATAAACTATATCCAGGCCTCATAAACAATGATTTTATGTTTGACATCACTGAATTAAAGATTTAATTCACAATCTCATGGTCCAATTGTTAAAATACTGGCTGCGATAATCAATTTTTTACTGCACACAATTTTTGAGATTATGTTAGGCTTTCATCCATGTCTCTCACTGTTTGCATAAAAGTTCTTGTTCTCAACCATTGGGTATGATCAATATGGCAGAAGAATTTGAAAGAAGAGTTTGAAAAACTTGCACCTGCATCCGCCATTGTAGTCCCTGTAACCTTCTCATGAAATGGCGATTATTATCAGCAAGTTGGTCAACTCCACAATATTTACACATATTCCATGTATCATTTGCTATCCACTTCCATTGTTTTCAGGTGTATCATTAACAACAAGTCAAACAACAGATTGGAACATCTTGAGCATTGTGATTTTGACAATGTTGACATGAATTATTCACGCCTATAAATATTGCTGCTTACCAAGTCTCGAATAGGAAACAAGTACAAATTTGGCTTACAAATGTCTCCATAATCAAACTTATGTATTTATATAATTCACTCTTCCTACTGTGTGGTTTTTTTTAAATAAATGTGATTATCATTATGGTAATAAAATACCAGAGTAATGAGTCTATGATAATCTCATATGGAATGTGCTGAATAGGACAGGTAAGGGGGCTTACAATTCACAGTTAATAATTTGATGCTGGCAGTCAGTTTTTTTTTCTTTTTACCATTAAATCAAATTTCAAGCCATTAATACAATGACTGTAATCACTATATAACATAAACGGTAATTTCATTTCTAAGGCCTGATATATATATATATATATATATATATAGAGAGAGAGAGAGAGAGAGAGAGAGAGTGTATTGGTCTGAGTCAAACTAAGCTGGTGCAGTCTTTTCAATAGGATTTATGATGCCTGACAAAGGCTACAATACAGTGTGTCCACACCACTCTTTCCTCCACAGACCATATCAGGCCTGACTACATATCTGGAGAAGACAAGATGTGGACAGAAACTAAGACCCCATTCCCAAACCTAGATCAATCTAACAGGATCGATCCATCTCTGGGGGTTTCTCTTTAAATTGCTAAGTGGCTTAGATGGCTGGCACAGCTACTGAAGCTGCTAAAGGACACTCCAAACACTTGAATACTACTACTTTATTCAGTGTCTACTAGCAGATTGGACAACAAGCTTTGAAGTGGGTTGCCATATTTGACCCTCAGACTAGTTAGTCCACTATTCTGAATGTGGCCATAGAAAGCCTGTTTAATCTCAATGGTTTAATTTAAGTGAATTTTAGTTTAGGACAGTAGATTTTGCTCTGGTGCACCAGATGACCTATAAGTTTAAAGTATTTGGCAAATCCTCGAAACTGTGGATATTACTGCAGAGGTACAGTGTATCTGCCTACCAGTTCTTTCACTCCCCTCTCATCTATAAAACAAGTCTTCAACAACCCACCCCCCACTGTCATGATAGTATTCACCCCCGAGACAATACGCCATTCAAGATAAAGGGGAGTTGGGTCAGACAAGCTATATTACATAAACAATTATGTTCTATATATCTGACTCTTTGTCTGTAGACTCTATATATAACTCCCCCTACTGAGCAGAGGACAACAGACTTCACCTGAACCTGAAGCCTGGGTGTAGTATCCCTCTACCAGGGCCACAGGTTGATTTTTTACTAAATATTCACGGTTATGTCTATGGCTAATTCATGGCACATTTCTTGGTCGTTGCATTGGAGAAAAGTGCACATGATTAATCTACAGCCCTGGAAGAGAGTGGGCTGCAGCTCACTTTTTATATCAGACTTTCTTATCTACTAGTAACTGGAGAGAAATGAAAGCAATACATGATAACACCTTTGAAAGTCTTCTGGGCATTTTTAAACATGTAGTCTTAACTGGTCTTAAGTCCAAGCAACATCATTTATCACCAACTCAAGCTGCATTACCTCCATTCATTTCTAGCCTCTTGTTACCTGTTCTGCTACCTGTAGTACCCAAGTCAAGCTCACCAGCACATCTGATCCCCTGTGTTTTGTTGTAAAAGGTCAAGTTACATATATATATATATATCTACAGGGGCCTTTGTGCTGGGTTGGTGAAAAGGCTGACATGGGAATGAACAGGACGTGAAAAGGAAAGACGGAAGCATCCATTGTTGAATGCAAAACTGGTTCAGTCAGTTATCAAATATCAAGGGTTACATCAAAGATAGTGGTTGTATATTGGAGGAAATGGTCAACACACTGTTAAAGTTTGTGCTGGTTCTCCAAAATTAATGATTTACATAATACACAGCTACTAGTATATAAAGTGTACCAGTATACCACTGTGCAGAGAGCTATATGTGACTAATTGACAATCTAAAATTCATTGAAAAATTGATCTTCATGCATCTACATAAATAACAGACATATCACTACACAAAGAGAAGCTGAAATTAAGGATACAGTCTATAGAACGTGTGGTTCTAGTTTTGATAGGATACAAAATTTTGTCCTTTCTAATGTACATGTACAGTGTATATTTTTATAGATTTCTAAACATGCTATGAATGCTGTAGACTTCGTGTCTAAAAACGTTAAAAATCGCGCAGAAGCCGATGATGTGGTCTTGTTGGTTATATTTACCGATATCAAATGCTCTAGAGCGTTGTTTTCTGACTTCAGCCGGGCTTGCTTCTGGACTCAGTCGTTGGCTTGGGCATTGCCGCTTCTCTTGCTGTCAAGGATGTTCACTCTGGATAGTTCTGTACTCCTTAAATTATATAATTCTTTTCCGTCAACTTATAAATAAATCTAGCGGTCGTAGCATCGTATGTTACGTAGACTCATGAGAAGAATGCGCGGCATGTTACGCTACACTACTAACAGTGCTGTCAAAGTGCAGGGGGCGGAAAGACATTTTGCCTTATCAAGTTGAACTTAGGGGATTAGATGTAGATCTAAACTACAAACAACCATCAAGACTTGTGTGTATATACTTCACCGTGACTACACAGAAACAAGCCCAGTTAACTCTAAGAAGTCTTACCTCCATACCATGCGAGTCTCACCAGTTTGACAATAACTCGGCTTTTTCCGTAAAATCACGACAATAGCCGATCGCTATTCGATATTAGAGGCGCCTGCGAGGATGTAAACAAGCAGCCAAAGTGAAACTCTGCGCCTGTATTTTGTACACTAAAGGCCCTGGATATCATTGAGCGTTTTAATCAAATAAAAGTTGGTATAAAGGGATTTAAAAAAATCAAATATTTGTTTTACAATCACAAGACGGACAAGTATTCGCGCAGTCAGGGTCTTGGCATACACATGTACATGTATGATCAAGAATTCCAAGATGATTGATCATTGTCATCATTATTTCATCGTTTGTTTACATAAAAAGGCGATTAATGGTGACTTAACAAGACGGGTTTATGCCTCCGTCTCTCACAAATATAGTTAAATCATGGGCATTATATGCTGAACCTTATTATGCTACATTTTTAAGCCAAATAAATTAGCCGATATTTAGGTGGACACCGTTTTCTTCAATAACTCAGGCATACAAAAGATCTTGTAAATCGTAAATCTTGTAATATTAGTGTTTAAACTTTAAAGAACTTTTCTATTCATAGGGATAATAGTTATACTTTGCAATAAGTTTTATTTGTCAAAGGTTCTCAACTATAGTTCTGTATATTTTTTTCACCAAATGATCATAACCAAGTTTTGCATGACAGGCCGTTTTATTTTTTATTTTTTTTCACGTGTAAAAATAGCTTTAAATAATAATTAATGACGTTAGAATCCATGTGACATAAATATACAAAATGCATTTAAACTGAATTAAATGTGACTGACATAAACATGAGCATTATATGCTGAACCAATGACATTTTTTTCAAAAGTTAACTTATAAAATGTTTTCAAAGTTAATTTCACCAAATGGCCAACAGTTTTTAGTACATAAAAGAGTTTTTTTTTGTTACCCATGTTAAAACAGTTGTAAATAATTTTTAACATGTATCAGCTTAGTACAATGTGGTTGATATTTCTGGAAATACACAAAACACTATTAAATTGAAAATTTCTCATAAATCTATGTTAAAAAATCCATTTACTATACTGTAAAATTCTATTTCTGTGGGAGTGAACTTAATTTGACTCATTAAACTAATACAGATGACCTTAAAATAGAATTGCTTTTTTACATTAGCACAAATAGAAGTGGATGAATCACAAAGAAATTGCCTACAGACTTCCAGCAACATACCATAGCTGTAAACCCTAGAACAAGTAGTCTGGTATATGACATGCCACACCCACTCCAGTCAATATTTAAGTACTTTCCCTGCTTTTGTTCTGCATTATAAATCCTTGCCAAATTACTTCACCATTCTTCGAAACAAAATTTTTACAGAACCTGGTTTGAGATATTTTTATATGATTTAGTCTTTCCTAAAATAATGCATGTTTTACCCTAAACAGCATGAACGTCAAAACCGAATTGTGAATGGGAAAATTTTTTTATGTAATCAAATGCACAATGGCACCTGTACTTTACCTATACTACACGTTTTCCTTTCAACACTTCTCATACTTTAAAAAATCCATATACATTATAGTTTTTAAATAAATATGGAAAACACCTGAAAAGATTTCTTGCAAAATCACTAATTATAAACATATTTATATAATCATATATGCTGACTATAGCACTACTAAATGTACAGATTGCACTCCTGGCTCACTTTTACATACAGGACTGTATTCTTGATTAATTCAACAGCCCCTGATTACAATGAATACACCACTGATGGCAATATATAATTTTATAAACCATGCGTCATTGTACAGATTTATCATACAGTACACGGGCTTACAAATTCTGAAATAGTAAACAGGCCAGTAGCAAGCAATTTTAAATGTGGGGGTACTTTATCTGAAAAAGCAGACCTTTTAACATGTGTACCTAGACCGAATTTAACACAGAGCGGACCTTTTCTCAGAATAAAGGAAGGTTCATTGGAGCCCCCCCCCCCCCCCACTCTCCCCCCCCCCCTGGCCTGGCTACTGACTTAGTAAATTGAAACCTGTTACAGTAATGAAATCAGAAACCCCTCCCCCACCCTCACACCCCCTTGGGATGAACTTTGTTGAACTCCTTACTCCTCTTTATTTCAAGTCTGTCAACTCCTTAATTAGTAGAACCATATTCATTGTCAGTAACATTTTAAATATATACAGTTTTCCATTGAATTTAATCAGATTTCATGAGCTATTTTACACAATATTACACTTCATTTCAATAACTACTTTTGACTACATATGCCCAGAGTATACTCATTTCTTCTGTATAGTAAGTCTATAATAGTAAATGTGTGAACAAAGTAGTTTCTTGGTGTGGTCATAACAAAACGATTATCATTATGATACCACACAGCCACTATTATTTCTAGGGTCTTTTCCAGCGTGCTTGATATCTTCTTCCTTTACAGGTGGGATCTCCTTTCCTTCACCTTTTTCTTTCTCCTGAAATGAAGCAAGATAACTTATATTTTTCTCCACCTATACCCAGACTAACAGGTTATAACCTTAACTATCAATAGCAAAAAGAATTAAAAATCTTGTTTGTGGATCAATGTAATAAAGGGAAGTCAACAGTATTGCACTTGTCATAAATTGTGCTATTTTCTGGAAGCCTAAACTGATCATTATGCACAATATGGCAATTTGCACCTTTTACAAATTATAAATTAAGTTCCCCTGCTCAAATATAATTGGAAGTTGACTAAGGAAAAAATATGTTGAGGGAATTTTGAAGTTTGGAAAATTCATAGTACTGGTCGATAACTGAATGAAGGAAAATGTGTAAATTACATATCTAATGACAAATTCCTGATATCTGATATGGTAACAGCCACTGCAATTGTCCTTCATTAAGAAATCTAAAAGACGTATCAAACTTTGCACCTTTTCAGGAACAGGTGGGTTGTTTTCCACCTTGAACTCAGCATACACAGCAGGATTCCATGCAGGACTTGGTGGTGGGAACTCCACCTCCTCAGGACTGGCTAAACCATAGGTGGCCTTCAGTGCCAAGTCTGGTAACTCCTCTGGAACCTTGTGATGGTAGCTGGAATGGGGAAAAGTCAGAAAAATGGATGATTGTTGCCATTTTTTTCCTTAAAATACAAGGATGTAACTTTGCTTGGTGGTAGCTGATATATAGGGAAAAATTACAGTTGTGGTGATATTTTTTATTGTGTAGCACACAACAAACAAGAGTGGTGTACAGAGTGTAGGTACAGGTAAATAGTGATGACAGCTGAAATGTTGTGTTAATTAACTGATTGTTCCCATATTCTATTTTTCACTTTTCTAATCAACATCTGTTTCATTGATGCACATGGCACACCAAACCCAGCAAGTGTTTAGTTAAGCCAAACCAGTGTGCCCCCAGTTATGTACTTACATAAACCCATTCTCTCTCTCACATTTCTCCAGTGTTCTCTTCACAATGGGGCCTAGTCTCCTGAAGAACAAGTGTTCCTCTGGTCTAGCTGTGGTACCTGGACCCTTGGCCTGCTTGTATTCCTTGGCTAAAGCACCTGCCTTCTCATACTCTTATTAAAACAATAGAATATCCAATTAACATGCAGTTTATGCCAAAGAATTTCGGACTGAAATTCCTATTCAATACCTGCCATGTTTTTTTTTTTAGGAAAAATCCTCATAAAATGCAAAAGGTAAAATACTTTAATTTACACATTAAGTCTTTGACACAAATCAAAATTTTTTGAATCATACACAAGACTGCTGAAGATCTCGCACAATAAGATTTGTTCATATAGATTTAAAATGAAAAATGTCATAAATATAACAAACCTTTGACACTTTCTCTCAGACATCTGATTGCCTCTCCACACTTGTCCTGTGCCAGTAGAGTTTCACCATGATATGAGTACGCCTGTAGAAGAAAAGGTAAGAGTCATACATATGTGGTTGTATGATAAAATACACACCATACCATACCATACCATACCATACCATGATATGAGTATGCCTATAGAGAAAACGGCAAGTTAAAATTCTTACATGTGTATCTATGGTAAAATACATACCATACCTTACTATGATATGAGTATGCCTATAAAGAAAACAAAGGGATTAGAGCAATGTTTTTCCCAGTGAAATGTCCAGCCCTCATTTGGACAGCTACTGGCATCCCCAGACAGCCTTTATCTGCAAAGATGGCTTGACGGCTCATGAATTTTTTGAAAAATAACGACTTGGACTCCTTGAAATTTTGTAGGAAATTACAGTTGGTATACATACCCTAACCATGCCATATCTTATCATGAAGGCATTGTCTCCATACCTACACAATGACACAGTAATCACAATCAACTCATAAATGAAATAAAACCTACTTACATAAGCCATATAAAAAGCTCTCTTTAATTGGAGATATTTGCGCCATTTGGTGACTAATCTTTCATCTTCGCCTTTAAGTGAGTCATCTGAAAATATAGCATTTATGATTATAATTCTGTCACAGTTTTAATCCACTACTTTAAACTGATGGATCTAGTCCTCATAATGTCATCAGAAATAAACAGAGTTCACTACAAATATCAACTGTTTGGTATATCAAAGAAGTATGAAGTGCAGAACTCCAATAGATGTTCTTAAGCATTGAGTGCATAAAAAGAGTACAGTGCTTGTTACTTATTAACCGCTTTAGAAATATCAGTGTTAAAATGACAATGTCAAGGAGTCAAAGAATAAACATATTACCTACAGCTCAACATGTGATATGGCCAACAGACCGAACAGTTTCATTTTTAAAGCTTAAATTATGCACAAAATAACGCTTGATTTTTTAAATGCGAAAGCGGAGCTTTCGTAATCTTTACACCCATAACACAGTTACCCACACTTACCTGCGCTCTGAAACATGTTTGAGGTTTCAAAAGCCAGAGCAGATATAAGACTAGCAGTGTGTTTCAGTTCCACAGCTCTTGCCAAAGTCACTGAAAGAAATTAGTAAAGTTATTACTATAAAGGGACCATAAGTCTACTGACTTATTGTAAAAAAGAATCACTTCAAGACAAAGTGAAGTAGTTTCTATGATAACATACAATAGAATTTCTGAGAAAAGACATGAACTGATCGATTACATCTGGTCTGTGCAACAATGTATTAAGCTTGGAACCAACATTAGATGGAGTATAAATATCGCAAACTCCATAAACTCTCTTTCTCTCTCTCTTTCTCTCCATCATTCTTTTAACATATTTATCCATTGGTCCATTCACACACATACGCCATACCTCAGAAGACCACATGGCATGTAACTATACAAAACTGCACAATATTCTCCTAATAAACACATAACACTCATTCCATGTGACAGCTCTCCTCACCTTCCTGTGCCTCTGCTGTAGACTGGTGCATATAGGCAGTGACGACCCTGCTGTCCAAATCTGTCCCCTGCTCCGGAGACTCTATCAGACCAGCAATGCACTTGTCCTGGGTTAATAAATGAAAAACAAATTAATAAATCATTTCAGTGTAAGTAAGACTTAAATTCTATACTAGAGAACCATCTAAATTGTAGACACTATTGGCCAAACTCAAGAGCTATGGTAATGACTCGATCTTTTCAACAGAGAAAAATTATCAATCAAAAATCATCAATCTTTAAATGCACAATTGTGAAATCATTACAAAACATGCTCTGTATAGCAATATGGGTGATTTTACTGTATAAAATAGATTCAATAGAACTATTTTGTAGCCTACTTTTTAGTTTTGTTGCTACCATTTAATAGGATTGTTCTTATTTTTATAATGTTCTGTAAATTTCACAATTTCCCCCATTGAAAGATTAAATCAAAAATTAATTAAAATAGCATGGTCCCTATTTGTTTCATTACAAGTTTGATCATCTTATACTTCAATTAGCTTATAGCAGTCTTTTCTGTATGAAAAAAAGAGCATATGTTCACATAACTCACCCGTAGATGTACAAAAATCCCAGCTGCCTTTCTTAAGCATGTGTGTACTTCTTTAGCCTCATCCATGCTGGGTCTGGAATTAAACAGAGAGCAGCCTCAGCATGCATTTCAAGATAGGGGATAACTATTCAATATTCTACACAAGTTTCTGTGTCCTCACACTTTCTTTCTTTATTTTTTATGTCATACAAAAGTGTGCAAATTCATTAAAAAATGTAAATAGCATTGAAATATAGAAAATATTGTTATATTCTGTAGTTGTTATTTCTATGATAACATAAAAAAATTTTTCCCAATATAATTTCTGAGTACATAAAACATCATGTTAAGGTATTTATAGACATTTTTATTTAAAAAATTATTATTGTTAGAAATTTAAAGCTATTCTTAAAGCTTCCAGCGATACAGTCTGTAGCATTAGACTTTGACAACTTATTTAACCTTGTTATTACATAAGACAGCCATGTTAATAAGGCCCAAATAGTGGGAAGAGAAATTGTGAAAGCGAGTTTACAAAGAAAACCCTGCAGCATAATAACAATTAAAGTCACTCTCAAAGTGTCCTGGTGCAGACTGTATTACTAAAGTATACCGCTCAGTGAAGTTAAAGACAATGTCAAATCTGCTCACTCATCATTCTCTGCAGCAATTTTAGCTGCATGCTTTGTATACCACAGGGCCACATTTACTGCCATAGAGACAAACTCATACATTGCATCATACTGTGCCCTGAAAACAAAAACAATAATCATAATAATGATAAATTGCTAAAAAACATATTATCATCATTTAGGCATTAACGACAACATGTCATCATTTATCACCATTTCATCATTTATTAAAGTGAATTTGTTTGTAAGAGTTTTTTGTGTGTACAATTAATTCAGAGAAAGAGGACCCATAAAATGTTGTAATATCTGACAGCTAAATCCTTGTTTCATTCTACCATTTTGATGCATTACATATTCATTCTTCATGTGGAGCTGCATCATCACTTAGAAACAGGTGCTAATTTTAATATTTTTTTTTTTTCATTATCATAACAGTGACTTAAAAATCAGACTCTTAAAAAAGACTCCCTGACAACTCACGTAGGTGTGTTTCCAGTCAGTGTGTTGGTCCATCTGAACCTAATTATATGTCTGAGTTTGCTCTCTCCTCCCTTTTCATCTACAGCTGTCAAAAACCCTTGTAACAAAGAGAAGTATTCCTTGGCAACATTGTCTACAGTCTCCATGTTCTCATTGGGATTTGACAGGATATCAAGCAGCCGGTTTCTGTGTTGCCTTAAGTCACTGATAATAAAATTTAACAAAATATATATCACACATTCCATACTGCTCTAGATCTACCATTTTATGTATTTTTTACTTGTTCCAATAACAATTATGAACAAGTCCACTTTTAGTGTGGTCGGGTGGTCGACTCTGAAAGGGGGGAATATGATCATCAATTCGAACCCCTCACGTAGTGTGGGCCTTTCACTATTCCCCATAATCTCTTAAAATGAGATTTTAGTGTCTTTGAGGACAAAATGCTTCCTTAAAGCTGAACACTTAAAAGTGTAAGTTCAACTCGGTCTCGTGACACTGACAGATCTGCGTTATTTCCTTGTATATTGTGTATCAATTTAATATAAATCGGATTCATAAAATGAATCCTCACCAAGTAAGTTAACTTACCTGCATATTTTACGTGTTGGGCCAGTACTAGTTACCCCTCTAAGGTCGAACGTGACCGGCGCTGTCGCCTTGATAGGATTCCTGTGGAACCAGTGCGCCATGTTTGTTGTCGATTCTATTTTTGGAAGCAGACGTCCTCGTGACGTCATAGCCTAACTCACTGCATAGAAGTAGAGATGCTCACTGGCTGAGTAGCGTGAGGGGTGTTATTAAATCCAAAATAAAAGGACTTTTCTAAGTATTTAGGGAATGACAGGTGAAAATAGAAAATTATAAAGAAACATAGTGCAATTTGGGATTTTTCTTTTAGTCCAAATTGTGGATAATGTACAATTTCACAATTTATTCTTTCAATATTTAGGTAAAAAATCCAATGCCCCACATATAAATTGTCACGAAAAAAGACGATCAATATTGACCCTGCATTTATTTATGATGACTTCCAATGGGCTTTAACAATGATATTTTAAGAATCAATCACCTTTATTAATTTATTTCTTTTGGAGTTGAGGCAAATACAAACATTTCTAGCACTGAAAGACAGATGAAATGCACACATTTAATAATATATATATATATATAATAAAAAATTGTCTTGATATCCTGATGACACAAATACCCAACTTGATGGTGTGTCAGTCAATAAAGAGGCACACCCGATAACCCACAGCGGTCACGACTTGAGCTGTCTAAATAAATGTTCTGCTCAGAACTATAAATAGGCTAGATTACACGGCACCAAAATAAAACTAAATATATTACCATCTTTCAACCATCTGCTGAAGTGTACATGATTGTTTCATTTTAATTTTTACCTAAACTAGAGATACAAAATCAAATTGATATCAATTTATTGGTACTCTTTTTCATTAAAAATTTTCCTTGTTCAACCAATTTAAGAATTGGTATTGCCAGAAAATGAATGAACCCAAATCTATTCCTTTTTATAAAAGTTTTATTCATGTAGATCTCACCACTCTACCACCAAGAGAAATTGTGGTGATACAAAACATAAATTAACAACAGAGTTTAAATGTCTTTGTAAATTGTATGGCACAGAAGTGTTTTATTTTCAAGAGTAAGCTGCAAATGTTGTTATATTGTATAAAACACCTTTAAGTAAGAAAAGTTTTCAATCAAATCTAACAGGAAATAAAATCTTGAACATGTTAATATCATTAAGGACTGTGCTTTCCCCTGCTTCTTTCATAACTTAGGGTCTTTCTTCAAATGTTCCAAAACAAATCAATTTTTTCATACAATTATCAAAAGAAATAAAACATTTCATATTTATATTTAATATATAGGATAGGAAAGAAATTTGCATCAACACAAGTTTACAGTAAAGTGTTCATCAGTGTCTATCATCAGACCAACCAATATATGAAAAAAGAAAACTAATTTTATTTATTTCCTCATAATTATGTCATTTCTAGGAATTAAAATCACATTTGGCAAAAACATTTTCCACATGGAAAAGTTTTCCACACAAGGCACACAGAACCTGTTCCAATCTAAGTACAGATTGGTGAATTAGAAGATAACAAGGTTCAGGATTATGCCGATCCATTAATATTATATTTCTCCTTCTTCGATTTGGCAAATTCTAAAGTTCTCTGAAGTATGGACTTTTCACATATTCTCAACTGCAGGCAAAGTCTTGCATTATCTGACAGAGTGTCACCATCTGAAATCTTGCCATTATCCTAAAACAAGAAGAATAGGCCTAAGTAGTAATGTGGAGAAAATAACCTTAATAAACAATGCAGGCTTAGAATAGTAATGGAGAACAGGTTTTAACAATCTCCAAGTTTGCCAAATAAGAAATGAAAATGAAATTGAGATGCACATCGGTATCAATTTTTCAAAAACTTAGATAAAATTAGTTGCATGCAAATGGAACTACTCTAACGTAATAAAAGGTAAAGCTAAAAGGAATGGAATTTGAACAACATTTTAGCCAAATCTAAATTAATGAAGAGAAATATCAGTATTTTGCCATTTTTGTTTTGATAAATTATTCAAAGCCAGTTTCTGCAACTTCCAACACCATAACGATTCCCATACTTTAATTTTGACAGAAGAATGTCAGCTTACCTCAAAGTTTTGATAAGACCTCAGCAACAGAGAACATCTTGTTTCCAGAAAACTCCATACTTTCTGTTCTAACTCCTGGGACACATCTGACTCCAGATCTCCAAGCTTCTCCAGGCATCCTTCTTCAGAGATCTGCTTTAGTTGTTCTGAAAATGCATTGACACGAGCACATTTTCATCCATTGTTTTATAATAACATGAATCTATCTAATAAGATATGCAAACGCAAACTAAAAAATCTTCTGATTTTCTATTCAGTGAGTGAACGCATTTAAGCTAACTTTGTTACACCATAATCCCATTAAACTTTGCATCATGCAAAGATAGCAAAATATACAAAGAGTTAGGCAATCTTAATTCTATTCATTGCTATCCACCGAAAAAAGGAAGCACACATAAAGAAGCAATAAAATCACCTTCATTCATGTTAAATATCCTAAGGAAGGCCAGTAGCTTGCTATCAACAGGCTGATCTCCACAGTACAAGCTGAACATGCCAGAACTGGAGATTAGAGACAAAACAATAAAAAATCACTCCGGGATGGAGACTTTTTTTTCTTAATTAAAATATATAATTAACACATCCTTACAGAACAGCTACAATTTGTGTTGGCAAAGATAAATGCTGCATTTTTCAAGGCAGTGACTTAATTTCAGCTCTGCAATCGATGTTTTTATTATATTTTTTTCCTTGTTTAATGTTGAGTGACAGGGTATACAATTCTAAAGTACATCATAATCTGTAACATCTGAACAGTAAGATTAATTAATTCAAAAGAACATGTGTCAATTTAAATTATTTTAATACAATTAAGAGATGCAATCAATTAATGTATGCATGAAACAACATTAAAATGTACTAGGTCACTTACCCTATTATTCCTAACTTTGTGAGCAAATTTATCTTTAATGTATATAATGGGTCATTTTTACTTATCCCTGAAACAAAGAAGACACCTTTTTCTTAACACAAGATATTTTATAGCATTTCATTCAAACCATAATTTGAAACTATTATAATATTATGCTCCAAAACTGTTCTATTAAAGGTGTTGTCCAATACTTTTGCAAATCACATCATCAAATTCTTTTCTTTTTTTAATCTCACTGCAATTTTGTTTTCCTCCTAAGGTTTGGTATAAAATGGTATAGTATAACAAGGCAGCAAAGCTGTCAAATGTACAGACAAAAAACAGAAAATAAAGATGCAAAAAAGGTCATTTTGTCAATTTTGATGCAATAATAAATAATGCTTAAAATAGCACTGTCTGTCAACACTGAATTTTAATCATGCACAACAGGTAACATGGTCAATAACAGGAGCGGACCCTGAGATATTTTCTGACAGTATTCCAAAGTATCTATTTTGATCCATTCTCCATTTTGATGGTCTTCCAACAGAAAAAAATAGATACCAGTCAATATAAACTTAATAACCTGTCTTCCTGAAGACCCAGAAGATGGTCTCAATCCACCCCTTCAATAAGATTACAGTTTCAGGACCATGAGAGTTCAAATTCACATGATGAAAGTCTCAATATTTGAAAAATGATGACAGTGCATAAAATAATATTACATAAGTAACATAATGTTTAAGGACATAAAAAACAATACAACTGCTTATGTGGAAATAGAGAAATGTCAGAGCCTCAGGCGGATGAGAGGTAAAAGTCACAAATGCAAGTGCTTGAGAAAAAATTATAAAGGAAAACATAACAAAACTAGAAAAGCGCTCCGAGAGTGCAGACCTCTGCCAAGGCAGAAATTGTTGATTATTATTGATTATTGTCCTCTTTGGCCCATAACTTTTTGAGTTATGTTGATGACAGACAAACAGGGGTGAAAATATAACCTCCTTGGCAGAGGTAAATATAATTCCAATGAAGCTGTAAAGCTGCTATTCAAACTTTTAATCTTTGAGTTTGATATATATATATATATATATATTAAAAACTTATTTGCAATATTAAACAAAATGTACCTGCATAATTATCACTGCTTTCTTATTATTAATCTAGCAGAGAGCTTAACCTTTGGGAGTTTACAGGGAAATATCAACAAGTGTGCTTTATGTAATCTCATTTAATGGCCTATTAATTAGGCAAATAAGTTTATAACACTGAAATTAGCTAAGTGATACCCAAGGGAAATTTACAGACTGACCCTCTCAAAGGTCTGTCAGGCCCATAAGTCACAACTTAAGAAAAGCACAAAACGATAATGCGCAAAATAGGAGACTACCAATTTTGATGCAATAATACATTATGTTTAACTGCACAGTCAACATCAAATTTTAATTTTGCACAACAGGTAACACAGACGAAGGTAAAAAGCATAAGGCTTCAGGCCCATCAAAGTTCAAGTTTTTACTTAGAAAGTGCCAGAATGAGAAAAATAAAAATTTCACACAAAATTGCATAAAATTCAATAATAAATGATAACCCAATTGACCTGGCTTTCTAATTTGAACTGCCTGCCAATCCTAAAAATCATACTCATAAGTTAATAATAATGATAAGTTTTCTTTTCATAATGTTTGCAGTAGCAGTGCAAAAAGATATTTGTCAATTTTGATGTAACATTTCATAAAAAATTACAGAATAATTTGCTTTTCCAACTCAGGCTGCATTTTAGTCCTGTGTTTCTTTTTTGAAAGTTTGACAGTAACATGGTTTTCCCATAATGGTCATCATGGCAGCAGCACCAAAAATTATGTTTTCTTCTATTTTGATGCAACATTACATAATGCTTAACAGCAATTTTTTAATAATAAAATATACGTATCAAGGATTTTCAGAAAATGTGACTAGCATGGGTCTTCAAGCCCATGGAGGTTCTAAGTCACTTTTGAAAATGCCAATAAGTGAAAAATAAAAATTTCACAAAAAAACAGTTTAATTGCCAGAAAAATTTACCAAACAAACTGCATTGCCTACTGACGNAATATTACCATCTTTCAACCATCTGCTGAAGTGTACATGATTGTTTCATTTTAATTTTTACCTAAACTAGAGATACAAAATCAAATTGATATCAATTTATTGGTACTCTTTTTCATTTAAAATGTTCCTTGTTCAACCAATTTAAGAATTGGTATTGCCAGAAAAAGAATGAACCCAAATCTATTCCTTTTTATAAAAGTTTTATTCATGTAGATCTCACCACTCTACCACCAAGAGAAATTGTGGTGACACAAAACATAAATTAACAACAGAGTTTAAATGTCTTTGTAAATTGTATGGCACAGAAGTGTTTTATTTTCTAGAGTAAGCTGCAAATGTTGTTATATTGTATAAAATGCCCCTTTAAGTAAGAAAAGTTTTCAATCAATTCTAACAGGAAATAAAATCTTGAACATGTTAATATCATTAAGGAGTGTGCTTTCCCCTGCTTCTTTCATAACTTAGGGTCTTTCTTCAAATGTTCCAAAACAAATCAATTTTTTCATACAATTATCAAAAGAAATAAAACATTTCATATATTATTCAGGATAGGAAAAAAATTTGCATCAACACAAGCTTACAGTAAAGCTTTCATCAGTGTCTATCATCAGACCAACCAATATATGAAAAAAGAAAACTAATTTTATTTATTTCCTCATAATTATGTCATTTCTAGGAATAAAAATCATATTTGGCAAAAACATTTTCCACATGGAAAAGTTTTCTACACAAGGCACACAGAACCTGTTCCAATCTAAGTAAAGATTGGTGAATTAGAAGATAAGGTTCAGGATTATGCCAATTCATTAATATTATATTTCTCCTTTTTGGATTTGGCAAATTCTAAAGTTTTCTGAAGTATGGACTTTTCGCATTTTCTCAACTGCAGGCAAAGTCTTGCATTATCTGACCGAGTGTCACCATCTGAAATCTTGCCATTATCCTAAAACAAGAAGAATAGGCCTAAGTAGTAATGTGGAGAAAATAACCTAAATAAACAATGCAGGCTTAGAATAGTAATGGAGAACAGGTTTTAACAATCTCCAAGTTTGCTAAATAAGAAATGAAAATGAAATTGAGATGCACATCGGTATCAATTTTTCAAAAACTTAGATAAAATTAGTTGCATGCAAATGGAACCACTCTAACGTAATAAAAGGTAAAGCTAAAAGGAATGGAATTTGAACAACATTTTAGCCAAATCTAAATTAATGAAGAGAAATAGAAGTAGTTTGCCATTTTTGTTTTGATCAATTATTCAAAGCCAGTTTCTGCAACTTCCCAAACCATAATGGTTCCTCCTACTTTAATTTTGACAGAAGAATGTCAGCTTACCTCAAAGTTTTGATAAGACCTCAGCAAAAGAGAACATCTTGTTTCTAGAAAACTCCATACTTTCTGTTCTAACTCCTGGGACACGTCTGACTCCAGATCTCCAAGCTTCTCCAGGCATTCTTCTTCAGAGATCTGCTTTAGTTGTTCTGAAAATGCATTGACATGAGCACATATTCATCCATTGTTTTATAATAACATGAGTCTATCTAATAAGATATGCAAATGCAAACTAAAAATCTTCTGATTTTCTATTCAGTGAGTGAACACATTTAAGCAAACTTTGTTACACCATAATCCCATTAAACTTTGCATCATGCAAAGATAGCAAAATATACAGAGAATTAGGAAATCTCAATTCTATTCATTGCTATCCACCGAAAAAAGGAAAAACACATAAAGAAGCAGCAAAATCACCTTCATTCATGTTAAATATCCTAAGGAAGGCCAGTAGCTTGCTATCAACAGGCTGCTCTCCACAGTACAAGCTGAACATTCCAGAACTGCAAACAAAACACAAAATTATTTAAAAAATCACTCCAGGATGCAGCCCTTTTTTTGCCAAATTCAAATATTTAATTTAAACATCTTTACAGAATTTTATATTGGCAAAGATAAATAGCTGCATTCTTCTCAATTGTGACTTACGTAATTCCAGCACTGAAATATATGCTTTTATTTTTCTGTGTTTTATGGTGAGTGACAGGCCTTACAATTCTTAAGTATGTATGCTCAACATAATATGCAACATCTGAACAATAAGATAACATAATTCAAAAGAACATGTGGGTAGTTGGATTTAATTAGTTTTTTACAATTTCAACGATGTAATTAAGAGATGCAATCAATTAACATATGCTTAAAATGGCATTAAAATGTACCAGATTACTTACCCTATTATTCCTAACTTTGTGAGCAAATTTATCTTTAATGTATATAATGGATCATTTTTACTTATCCCTGAAACAAAGAAGACAAATAACTTTTTCTTAACACAAGACATTTTTAGCATTGCTTTGAAGCCATAATTTGAAACTATCATGACCCAAAAAAACGTTCTGTTAAATGTGTTGTCCATACTTTTGCAAATCACATCATCATATTTTTGTTTTGTTTTTTTTTAAACAAAATTCCAAACTACAATCTCATTTTCCTCTTAAGGGTTGGTATGAAATGGTATAAAAAGGAGAAACCGATTATGCTTAGCAGCAGTATCCAATGTCTCTGTGGCATCACACACCTAGTTTTATGTCCAATGTGTCATTCTGGTTTTCTGGGAAGACAAAACCACTGTATAGGAGAAGTTGTGCATTACTCCGGGAGCCATAGAAGATGTAGATCTGCAGTTGCAAAAAATTACAAAACCATGTTAATTTATACCATTAGTTTTAAGTTGTGATGAGAAATTACAAAAATGTCTGCAGGACAGAATAACCATTGCTTTTTTACTGCTCTGCCAATTCTGAGTTAACCCCCGCCCCCAAATGGCACTTAATTTGAGTGATCTCTACCCCATGCAATCGTTACACCTCCTTACCTGCTCTCCTTCCTTGAAATTTCTGAGGGCAAAACATTCACTGCAGTCCTTCTCTAAATTGTAATCTGTTGTGAACTACAAAATAAAATAAAAAACTTGCAGATTACCTATCTTTCTTTTAGTCTAATGAAGAATCACCTTTCTTATGAGTAGGGCAGTACCATTTCCATGTTACTGTTACAGTAGTGGAGGCAGCAGAGAGGAATTTTTCTCTTTCATTTCATAAATCAAAATAAACACAGCAAAATATAAAATAGTTACTTCATTTAAAATCAGACAGAGTAGATTTAAAAGAAAATGTGAGATCATTCATTCACCTGTCCATTAGTATGATTGCACATGTCCCAGAAGGGAATTAAAGCGTTGATCATCTGTTGTCCATCTGGTGTAGGAATCTGGTTCTGTCTTGTCATTATTGCTGACACTGCCCACCTAAAACATTAATAACAGACTAATTAATGTTTGCAAATAAGACAGATAATCATATGTTTGCTTCTATTATGTATTTCCATTGTTGGTCACCAAAATATGTAGCAATTTTGGGTCTTCTTATTGCTGCATCTTTCATTTTGTGGTGGTAGAATTACAATACTATCATATACATATTTAAATACACATCACAATATATAAAATTTCATCCTGTTGAACATGACTGACACCAGAGTAACTTTCCCATTCTTTTAATACTTATCACATTTATCTGTGTCAACAAAATTACAGATACTGTAAGGTTACTAGTGATATTTGACAATATTTTAATATAATATATACCATAGGTTGTACCCTCACTCCCAGCACCAATTCTAGCTACAGGGGCCCATGCCATTATTTTATTGTTAAGAAAACAATGTGCATTTTAAAAGGGGGTGTGAGCACTAAAGGATCCTGTCACTCTGTATGTCATATTGCCTAAATAATACTAATTTTCCATTTATACTTATTTTCCCTTTATAAAATTACCACATAAGTAGAAATCCACAAGCCAATATGCCTACTGTGCTTTATTTTTTCTTATTTTAATTAAGCACAATTAGTTTTTACTAAATTTGAGACATGAAACAATTAGCTCGAAGACTATTTGCCTGAAACTGCTATGCCACTATTGCAAAATTTTAATGCCATATTTTTCAATAAAGAAACATAAAAGTAATGCTTCTCATATGCCTGTCATGGTTATACTAGGTCCATTCCCAGGTCCATGCACAATATCTAGTTTCAGGGAATTCATTTCTTCTATCATTATATTATTTCCTGTTACTTATTTAATTAATTAATTATGCATGCCAAAATGTTAAAGAGTCTACACTGCAGTCCTGCCACCATACTAAGTTAACAGACTGGAATCTACATTTAAATAATAAATAAGGACCTGTGTCAATTATAATAATGTCAGTATTTCCTCATTTTTACTTCAACCTGATTTAAAAGTGTATTCTTACTTTCAGTTTGGTGTCAATCCAATGCTGTTGAAAACCATAATGATCTACGGTACCCTCATTTGCACATTAAAAACAGTTGACAACTTCAAACCAGAGCTCAATCTGATGAATATGAGCCTCCCAAAATAAAGAGATGAGAATGTTTTTCAAACCTGGAACCCAGAATTCATTTTAAATACTTCTAAAAATCTTTTTTTCTGACCCACTGGTTGATATGTTTTGTGTAAAGACACAGATTCCAGCAACAAACATGTGCTGTATCAAACATGTTACTAGCCTAAGGGTGTTCATGCATTGATTTTTCTCATATTACAGTGGCTAAACAACCTGACTAGAGTTAACTGACCAAGAATTCCCCATAGTGGTAATATACACTCACCAAAACAGTGGATCTGGAAATTATCATCGTCACTCAGTATGAGACATGCATACCCAAGATTTTGGTATATTGTATAATTAATAAATGATTCAGGATAATTATTATGCATGAGGTTAAGTATTAAAGAGTCACTTATTTGTATTATGCTTCCTGAATTTACATAATTATTAGGTAAAAAAAAACAAACCTATAAGGCTAAAAAACTGAACTCAATATCAGGTCACTCCAATATGTTATGTGTGGTTAAAATAAAAAAACTTGAACACAATCCTAAGTGGTTCAGGCAAGTTTTGTGCACTACATCAACCACAGTCCATAGAGTTAATACCTGTAGTCATCATAGGTGAACTGGTGTTTGAGAGGACACTTGCCATCAGGTAAACCCTAAAACAGAAACATTTCAACATATCAAGCTCAATGTCAACACATCCAACATTTACATCATCAAGAGTTTTTCTTTCTTTTTCTATTTTTAAATTTCAGAACGAGGCAATTCGCTGACATCATGTGATCATGTAAATGAATTTTGCAAAATAGAACTTTGGCTTAATAATGAATAAACTTTAGAATGTCACCAATTTGGCTCAAAACTATCATTTGACAAATTCTTAATAACTTAAACAAAATATATGAAATCCACAAGCTAGCTTAAGTCTATAAAAAAGACAATTAAATATGGCAGAACACTTTTATTTCCTTACTTGAAATAACTTGTGAAGATATGCATATTGTCTTGCTATGTGTTTATATTGCTTCAGGACTTCACCTGAAATTATTTTCATTAACATGGTATACATATATATTTGTGCATTTACTTTTACTAACATTTGGGCATTATTTTTTATCATCAAGTTGATTCTTTCAAATTTTCTAAAACTTAAACACCTTTTTCTTTCCATAATATGAATGAAATAATGAGCAGAAACCAAACATTTTGAATCTTGACATATTTAACATATCTAACATATCAGAATATAAAGCACATTAAATCACACTTACTCATGACAGGAGATCCTTTCAGTAACTGGATTTCATCTGGGGTGAAATACAGCGGAGTTGAAAAACTTTCTGGTAGAGTATCTAATAAAAGTTAAAAATGATGAACTTTGTGCATATCTCTTCATGACTACAAATTCCATAATTTTCCAAATTAGGATAATTTAATGCAACAGTTTTTAATGAAACCCTTTTCATGGCGTAATGATTTTAAGGAGTTTTCTCTAAATCTCGTTAGCAACACAATTGCTTTTTTTTTAGGCAGCTGTATTAACAAAAACTGGTTGAATTTCCAAAACTTTGTCATTTACAAACCTTTCCCATATTTTGATGTCAGACATTTTTCTGAAATTTAGCAATAATGTCAAGTAATGAACTTTCAATTCTGAAAAACCACAAATCTAACAATGACCGTCATGTGTTTTTAAAATATTACAGAATACCTATGTAAGGTCTCCATAAGGAATTCACATCACATCTCTCAATAAGGAGGTGTAAGGCAAGAACCACTGTTGGCATACTCTGCAGTAGAGGATCACTGTCAACAAGTGAACCTGGAAAAATGACAAAGTGAGAGACAGACTTACAATTTGTGCACTCAAAAATCCACTTATATCATAATAAAAAGTATTGAACCAAGATCTAATGGAAGACTCTTTAAAAACTTTCAAGGTAACAATAAAAGTTGAATTTTTGCTAGACAAAAATTTTTGTATAATGGAAATACATATTTTATATTGCTTATTTTTATCAATCACACAGTCATTATTTAAATACCAAAGAACTGTTTGCTGTTGTTCTTAACTTTACAATATACCATTAATTATATATACAATAATGTAACCTGTACAACCTGTGCAGAAATTATTATCTGTTGTTGTTGTATTTTTTTTTTTTATTTGTTTGCTATTTTCTCACCGAGACATGTTAGTTTAGCAGATTCTGTTGTTAGCATCAATTTCCTGGGGATGGTCAGGAGGAGCTGACTTTCCTGTAAATCAAGATGTTAATAGGTGATCAAAAAAATTATCACTATAAAAAGACAATCGTACAGATGTGATGTGCAACATCTAATATCTACAACAAACAATCAATTTTTGGTGTAAAACATTTTGAATTTTATTTAACAAAGGTACATATTGGATCTATGACATGACATCAGTAGTAAATAACATCAGGCATCCCTTTGAAATCTGTTCTAAAAATCAAAATGAAAATATACAATTTTTTACCTGCACTTCTTTTTTAGCTTCTAATCCATAACCAGTATGTTCAAACTTTCTGATGCTGACTGCTGTTGTATCTACCCAATTGTCCTTCAGCCAAGTCAAAAATACTGGGAAATGTGTCTCTCTGTCTCCAGGAAGGAAATTATGACCTGAAAATACACAAAGTGCTCTAACTGTACTATAGAAATGATGCAGCATCTAAGCTACGTGTTATATTGTAATAAAAGGTGATTAAGTTTTTCAGTAATCTGGGATTATGCACTTGAAATTCATTATTTGCAAATCTTTATGACCTATTTCAAAATCAGTGCTCCACCATAAGGTGCAACTTCCCAGAGACTCAGAGACTTAAAATATATCCATCACTTGATTTGTAAGTCACAAACATTAAAGTATTTGTTATTGTTTTAAAAACCATTATAAAATGACAATCACTACATACCCTCTTGTAGCTTTCTGACTCTTTCTACCAAATCGTGAATTTCCAGAAAGTTCCCCCATTCATTCTGTTCACTTGGCTTCACACATTCTGAAAACACAGAAACAACTATAATAAGCAAATGAGATTCACTGTGGGGTTCTACTTCTTTTTCTCGCTTCTTTAGTTTTCTCCCAGCTGGTTGGTTTTGATTATTATTTGCAAGCAACTTTCTTTTTTAATTACTCTATGACATACATGTACTTGCACTGCAAATTAAACTGTTAGTCTTTCAATATTATTCACAAATTGTAAATATTATATAGTAATTTTTCAAGTATATTTTCAACAAAAATTATATCAAAATGAAATCAAATGTAATTGCGCGTTCCATAAGATATGACTTTTCAATACACTCAAGTGCTTTATTCTTATGTCCTTATAAGGCGAACTTTCATCTGAGACTGATGCTGCTGCTTGTAAACAAACGAGCTGCGCATTTTAAAGTCTTACTTTCGAGTAACTGCTTGGTCAAATCCATCAGTTCTTTCCTCTGAGATTTGCTGAGACCACCGCTGTCCCCATTTTCATTTGATGCAGCCTTCGAGCGTTTGCTTTTTCTTCCCATTGCAGTAATATCAAGAGAAACCAGCGCACATGCCTTCGCCTAAATACAACCGGTTGTGTAGCTGATGTGACGTCATAGTTTTATGCGCTGCTCAGTGTCGGATATTGACAAAATGTATCTTTAACTTCAAATCTTAAAATCAAAACATATAAATTTCAATAAAAATCAACAAAGCTCTTAAGTTTTTAGACACATGGCATTATCTTAAAGAATTCGATCAAAATTATCGAAGTGGCCTCTCTTGCTTCCATCTTACGTCATCAATACATGTGCTCCGAAGCTGTTACCGAGAAATGTGGAGAAATGCTGTAAATGCCGGCTGCCGGGATAAATGACTGTTTAAAAGTTATAAGAGAAGCATAAACGTATTTATCTACAACGCTTGAGTAAGTGGGTATATATAAATCCTAATAGTTGTACATTTCATAAGATATCCTTAGAAAAGACACCTTCACATGCTACTTCCAGTCAGACGCAAATTGCAGACACTAAAATAATGTAATCTGAATCTGTAATGTGTTATTTTTTATGAAAAAATTATACAGATGTGAACAGATTCACATATCTTAGTTCTGCCCTACAGTGCTTTTCCTACGTAGTTTGCTTTTATAAAAAATAATGCAAAAAAATCCGTAGACCTTAAACTTTGAGCAATTTGTTTTTGTCATTTGTAAATGTAGACTTGTAGTATTCTAAACAATAATAGGATGTAAAATACAACAATGACACTGTCTTGCCATGCCAGTGAGGTAATATTTTCACCTCTCTAAATTTACCACATGATTCTTTCAGTATTCCCAGCATGCCTTGTTGGTACTATGATAAAGATGAGTTTCAGAAAACTCCGTCCCAGGCAGACGGCATTGACCAGGAAACAGAGGCCCGATACCGCAAGGAGGGGGCCAGGTTTATTATTGATGCTGGCAACAAACTAGGACTGTATCCTTATACCACATGACTCATGTAGAGCTAGGCTTAGGTCTGGAGTTGGAGTCTTACTATTTTCTCAAACTAAAATAATGAAATAAATATGAGAAATGTGAAAGTGGATGTAACAGGTTATTTGTGCAAAGATTTGTTACTGTACTGCTTGTATAGCATGCAATGAATTCTACCAGAATTAATAACCCAGTTTGGCTATAAAATAATCTTATAAATATTTAGATTATGATAACACTGGGGATGGGGAGTGGGGAAGGCTTATATTGAAGATATGTGAAGTCATGAAATCTTTTATACTTTAAGAACAAGGTAATGACTAATATATAAGTTGAATACTAACATAATGTATGTTATCAAAATAATTCCTAATTTCCTTAACTGCATCACCAGTCGTTATGACACGTGTGCCACAGGAGTCGTGTACTTCCACAGGTTTTACATGTACCATTCCTTTAGAGAATTCCACAGATATGTGAGTGGAGAGTAATGTCTTAATTACGATAAGGTGTCAGTTGTAAAATATGATAAATGAAGCAGTGTAATATGAATGTCTTGCCAAGCATGAAAATCAAGCTTGATTTTTAATGTGAAAGTTCTGATTTAAAGAAATGTAAGGAAATATATCAAGTTAACTTTATGAAAGTAACTTACTAGTACCAGTTATATAAGTATGGTGTCAGTCAGGGTTAACTTTAAGATAAAACATAGAATATGTAGAGATTTATTTACTGCTATTAAAATACTGTGTACATAGAAGCTGTTAACCCTCCACTAACCCCTGTGTCCTCCTGTATCCAGGTGATGGGTGCCTGCTGTCTATTCCTGGCTGGGAAGGTAGAGGAGACACCTAAGAAGTGCAAGGACATCATTAAGACAGCAAGGTCCATGTTGCCTGACCAACATTTCATGGTGTTTGGAGAAGACCCCAAGGTACATCATATATATACTAGCCTGCTATCTGTTCTCAATGTTTTGTTCTGAAGGTGAAAGCATGGAGGACATTAAATTTTGGTCATGTGCCTTTTAAGTTACCATTGTTGGTTCAGTACTTGTTGCTATTTTGTCTGTTATTATTTATCTGTGATTAAGATAAAGCATCAGTGAAGCTATATTCATACTAAAGAAACTCATAGTACTTATTAATCCATTATTATTTTTATGCAGTAAATTAACATTTATTTGTAGGAGGAAGTGATCACTATGGAGAGAATTCTGCTACAAACCATCAAGTTTGACCTGCAGGTGGACCACCCCTATTCATTCCTGCTTAGGTTTGCCAAAGGCATCAAAGGTGAGCAAAATTATTTTTCTTGTTTAATTTTATCTCATGATTATGTGCAGCATGTATAAAGCATAATTTGCTTTGTGTATCAATATAAAAATGAGAGTGAAAAAATGTTGGATGTTGCAATTAAATTTTTATGTGGGTCTTATTTTAGACCCTTACTGATAAGACATGGCTATTAGACTCTGTTTCAGTGGTGGGGGGTCAGTTTTTATTTAGATGCATGAAGAACCCCCCCCCCCCCAACCCACACACACACACACACACACACACACGCTTG